GGATACCGTAAAACTGAACGGATTCAAGATAGCCCTCACCAATAGGTTCCAGGCCTTGCACTATATACTCAATGGAGAGGAAGCAACATTGGAGAACAATTGGAAAGGGATCAAGGAGGCAATCACTTCAACACCTCACGAAGTTCTGGATCACAAGAAGTACCATCACAAGGAATGGATCTCTGTTGATACTCTTGCAAAAATTGAAGAAAGGAGGAACAAGAAGGCAGCAATCAATGTCAGTTGAACAAGAGCAGAGAAAGTGACCGCACAAACTGCATACACAGAAGCAAACACGGAAGTGAAGAAGAGCATCAGAGCTGACAAACGACAATATGTGGAAGATCTAGCAATGACGGCGGTAAAGGCTGCAAGAGACGGGAACATGAGACAATTGTACGATACAACAAAGAAGCTCGCCGGAAACTATCGTAAACCAGAGCGACCAGTGAAAAGTAAGGAAGGCAAAGTAATCAACAACACTGACCAACAGCGAAATAGGTGGGAGAGCACTTAAGGGAACTCTTGAATCGACCTGCTCCACTGACCTCACTCAACAGCGAAGCAGCATCTACGGACCTCACAGTTAATATTGGCGCACCTACAATTGAGGAGATCAGTATGGCCATCAGACAAATCAAGAACGGCAAAGCAGCAGGACCAGACAACATTCCAGCAGAGGCAATGAAAGCAGATGTAGATGCAACTGCGAAAATATTTCACATTCTCTTCAAGAAGATTTGGGATGAGGAACAACTACCATCAGATTGGAAAGAAGGATACCTCATCAAAATACCAAAGAAAGGCGATCTCAGCAAGAGGCATCACTCTTCTTTCAATATCAGGCTAAGTCTTCAACAGGGTATTGTTAAACAGAATGAAGAACTTCGTAGACGTCCAACTTCGAGATCAACAAGCCGGATTTCGTAAGGATCGATCATGTACTGACCAAATTGCTACATTACGGATCATTGTGGAACAATCAGTTGAATGGGACTCACCACTATACATCAACTTCATCGACTACGAGAAAGCATTCGATAGCGTGGATAAGAAAATACTGTGGATGCTTCTTCGACATACGGTGTGCCTGAGAAAATAGTTAACAACATACGGAATTGTTATGATGGATTCAACTGCAAAATCGTACACGAAGGACAGCTAACAGACTCCTTTGAGGTGAAGACCGGTGTGAGGCAAGGTTGCTTACTCTCACCCTTTCTCTTTCTCCTGGTGATCAACTGGATTATGAAGACGTCGACATCTGGAGGGAAGCACGGTATCAACTGGACAGTTAGGACGCAGCTGGACGATCTGGACTTCGCAGATGACTTGGCTCTCCTATCGCACACTCTGCAACAAATGCAAGATAAGACGACCAGTGTAGCAGCAGCCTCTGCAGCAGTAGGTCTCAACATTCATTAAGGAAAAAGCAAAATTCTCTGATACAACAAAACATGCACCAACCGAATCACTCTTGACGGAGATTCCTTGGAGGGCATTAACACCTTTACATATCTTGACAGCATCATCGACAACCGAGGTGGATCCGGTACAGATGTGAGGGTGAGAGTAAGCAACCTTGCCTCACACCGGTCTTCACCTCAAAGGAGTCTGTTAGCTGTCCTTCGTGTACGATTTTGCAGTTGAATCCATCATAACAATTCCGTATGTTTTTAACTATTTTCTCAGGCACACCGTATGTCGAAGAAGCATCCACAGTATTTTCTTATCCACGCTATCGAATGCTTTCTCGTAGTCGATGAAGTTGATGTATAGTGGTGAGTCCCATTCAATTGATTGTTCCACAATGATCCGTAATGTAGCAATTTGGTCAGTACATGATCGATCCTTACGAAATCCGGCCTGTTGATCTCGAATTTGGGCGTCTACGAAGTCCTTCATTCTGTTTAACAATACCCTGTTGAAGACTTAGCCTGGTATTGAAAGAAGAGTGATGCCTCTGTAGTTCTCACACTTGGTGAGATTGCCTTTCTTTGGTATTTTGATGAGGTATCCTTCTTTCCAATCTGATGGTACCTGTTCCTCATCCCAAATCTTCTTCAAGAGGATGTGAAATATTTTCGCAGTTGCTTCCACATCTGCTTTCATTGCCTCTGCTGGAATGTTGTCTGGTCCTGCTGCTTTGCCGTTCTTGATTTGTCTGATGGCCATACTGATCTCCTCAATTGTAGGTGCGCCAATATTAACTGTGAGGTCCGTAGATGCTGCTTCGCTGTTGAGTGAGGTCAGTGGAGCAGGTCGATTCAAGAGTTCCCTTAAGTGCTCTCCCACCTATTTCGCTGTTCGTCAGTGTTGTTGATTACTTTGCCTTCCTTACTTTTCACTGGTCGCTCTGGTTTACGATAGTTTCCGGCGAGCTTCTTTGTTGTATCGTACAATTGTCTCATGTTCCCGTCTCTTGCAGCCTTTACCGCCGTCATTGCTAGATCTTCCACATATTTTCGTTTGTCAGCTCTGATGCTCTTCTTCACTTCCGTGTTTGCTTCTGTGTATGCAGTTTGTGCGGTCACTTTCTCTGCTCTTGTTCGACTGACATTGATTGCTGCCTTCTTGTTCCTCCTTTCTTCAATTTTTGCAAGAGTATCAACAGAGATCCATTCCTTGTGATGGTACTTCTTGTGATCCAGAACTTCGTGAGGTGTTGAAGTGATTGCCTCCTTGATCCCTTTCCAATTGTTCTCCAATGTTGCTTCCTCTCCATTGAGTATATAGTGCAAGGCCTGGAACCTATTGGTGAGGGCTATCTTGAATCCGTTCAGTTTTACGGTATCCCGAAGAAAGGCCGTATTAAACTTGTGCGATGTCGTCTGGTACGTTGTCCAGTGCTTCTTTAGTTTCCGTTTCATTTTGGCGATCAGCAAATGGTGATCTCAGGCTTTATCAGCTACTATCCAGGTTCATTACTGACACTCACCTAACCTAAAAGGGAAATCAGATCGTAAGGTACAAACTCAATTCCTGGTTAAGTCCATTTAAATTTTTGACATACATATTTATTCTTTCTGTCATAGTGATTGTGTTGTATTAGTTACTGCAAGTGCCTCGGTAGTCAACATCGAGGTTGTAAATATATGGACGAAATAAACAATCAGGTTCAAAGAATATGGCCCATCTGTGTCGTTGGAGCATACTGCACAATTTGACCAGAGGCAACACAAAAAGAGAGGAAAATAAGTGATTATTTGATTGATCACTCCTGTTACACCAATGGAGCATTCTCTAACATCCTCTGTTCTGGGACTTCCTGTCCAGTTCGACAAAATTTCTGTTCAATCTTCGATTCTCGACGTAGTGTGTTCTTTTGATCCACTCTTTTTCTTGGGCATTAAGGACTCCAAGCGAGGGCTTGTCATATGACGCAATTGTGTGCTTTCCTCAATTTGTTTCCTATCTACTTCCGGCTATCTTTCCTAGATGGTTCATAATTTGGATTTAGAAATTATTTCTAGAAAAAGCGCTTCCATGCACATCGGGCATCGCGATATATACTAGTAAACTGTGTTGGGGATGTTAGATCCCCGGAACTCGCTTGATAAATGCCATATTTTGGATTTCACATTTGCGGGCATGGGCTGATCAGTTGACCTTGAGATTTCATTTCCCACCAGGAAAATTCCTGGCTGTGTATTTTATAGTGCTATTTTTTGTGACTATCCCAAGGAAGTTTTTATGATATAAAAATAAACGATAGTTATGTGTTTGATTGCATTGTGCTTGCTGGGTGTTTGTAGAATATACTTTCTACGTTTATCAAGACTTCTCTTATGTAGTTTTGGGATCCAGGTAGCCTACCTGGGTGCTGGTTCATTCTCTCGTTCGCGTTTATCGACTAAGGTGAACTCGTAATAGCTTCAAGCGTACCTAGTGACGAACCTAGCAGACTGTTAACGGTACATTTTGGTGTTATGGTCACTTTATTGAGCACTCAAGTGTTTTGATGAGGATACCTTTCAGGTTTTATTCCGTATCTGTGTGGGAGTTCGTCTAAAGTTCTGAAGTAAAGCAACCGGTTCAAGCCTGACTTCAGATACTATCACAATACGATCCAGGGTTGCGATGAGCGCTTGATAAGACTTTTCGCTTTATCATAGAATGTAAGGGGATCTTATGAAGTCATTCCATATCTTGAATGACGATCTAAGTGTTCAAGTGTTGTATCGCTTTGTTCCATATAGAATTAGTCATCTTCGAGGGCATTGCAAGACAGTTTAAAAAATACGATCGAGTACACTTAAATCGAGATTAAACGTTTCACTTCGAAGGGTCAATGAATAAAACACCTAACCCGAACAAGTAGTGTAAGCCACATCTGTGAGCACTTTCAAGGAGAAGATAGATCTTCAGTGGGAAACAATTTGTAAGGACTAACACAGTTCTAACGACCTACGATCCTTATTACTGAAACCAAACAGAAACTGAGGTTATCATTTTGAGGATTTCACGCATAATCAAGGTTGGAGAACGCTTTCGTCCTTAAAATCATCCAGAGCGAGAGTATCTGAAGCCAAGCTAAACTGAAATTCAGTAATGAGGAGGATAGACGGTATATTTGGATGATGGGATGTCGAGAAATAAGTGAACTAAGCTTGCTAGTTGTTGGAATCAAATACATTTCATGTCGTATCTACGGTGGTCTGGTTAGGATACGTGACAAAGCGTGTGTTCAAAAAACGATTTATCTTGAGGACTTAATAACCGATACACTTGATAAAATTACGAAAATCGTAAGAATATTTTGCAAGCGCAGCTTGTAAGTCAATAGAAATGCTTCAAGGGAAAATTTTTGAATATATATTATACATAAACCGTATCTCGAAAGAAGCTGTGGACTGCTTGAAAAACCTTTATGGTGCCGGAACATATTATATAAGGCTGAAACCTATGAGTTGTTAACACCATAGATCGTTATAATACCTAACTTTCAAGGTCGTATGTATGTCAACAACTAACTGCTCATTTAAGTTATCACACCAATTATCATTTTTACTTGTCATCGATAGCCTTCATTAAAAAATGTGAGTGCTTATTATCTTCTTAGTTAATTCCTGGCTACTTTGCCTCCTATTCTTCTTCTCCAGATTATTCTGCATATTGTTTTTTACACTTTTATAAAAACAAATCAAGATAGTCGCAATTTACGAAAGGGAGAACATTACAATACTAAGTTTTCGACTTGAAATGTCAGTGTCTCGGAAGTCTCTTCAGTCTCATGAATCGGAAAATGATAAAAATAATCACAGGAAGAGATCAGGTATTCTAAGTCTTTTGGGTCCAAACAAAGGAAGATTATTTGGAAGCAACGCGTCAATTTCTGATATGTCTTGCAGCGTACACTTGTTGGACGATCGCTGCATGTCCGTTTCAGTATCGGTAAGTGGTTTATCAAAAGTTGACTTCTTACATTCAGTTTTTCACCATAATTATTGTCGTTAGTTTGTCGTTTCTACTCTCAGCCGTTTTTAGTTTCAGTCACTGTCCGGATGTTGTGTGTGGCATGAAATTATACAAACGTGTTCTAGAACTCCTTTTGATGACAAAAAGATGAATAGCTAGAGTGGATTATACTCCTGTTCACATATGTTTACCTCCCAGGCCATAAAATGGTATCAAAAATAGTTAGAGGTTATATCTTGGCGTTTGTGCAGAGAGTAGATATACCTACGCTACTGAGTCAATCGACTTACGTGACCCATTCATTAAGTTCTTTGAACTCTAGTGAAAATTAGTGCTCGATGACAAAAATATAACACTGATAGTTAATCCATGATGCCTGAAGCCTGATTCCATCTTTAATGAGAACGATGAGATATAATGTTATATGGGTAGGTATAAATCACAAATTTCAAGTAAATTAAATCTCTATTCATAGTTCCACTTACAATCACTAATAATTATTGGCTAATATAAATGGTTCAAACCACTCACCGCAAAATGAGTTTCTATGAGTACCAAGCCTACTGAATTTTATGAAAAGTGACAAGCAGTTTTTCGTTATTTAATCGTCGTTCAAAGCACTTTCAGATTTGATTTTTAAAATATTACAGGACATTTAGCAGTCTTCTCTGTTGATCAAAGAGAGGGCTAATTTTCACTGTCTTTTGCCAAGTTCTTTTCACTTAAAAAAATGCCTTGAATGGCTTTTAGCTTGTATTAACTATCTTTTGAATAATTTGTGTGGTTCAGAGTACAGGAAATTAGGGATGTTTGAATTCATAACGTGCTCTCTTCTTTTACTGGCAACAAAGCAATTAAGCCACCTTTTGGAAAAAAAGTGAAACTTACTGCATACTATAAAATACATCAGGTAATTACTTAATGATATTCACTTTTGTAAAGCCGTAATGGCCAGAACAGTCCGGTATAAATCATAATTTCAAAAGAACAGAAATTATAAAGTCAGGATATGGCATTAGTTTACCAAATTGTTGTCTGAGAAAAGCACAGAAAAATGGAGTTTCCGACCGATTTACTCACTTTTTTCGTATAGCACTTCTCAAGATGCTAAGCACTTTATCAAATTATATCTGTTTATTTCATATCTGACAAAATTATCTCATACATTTATTTTAAACTTCTTTCTTTTGACCTCTAATGTATGCAGAGCTTAAAAATTATCATATTAAGATGGCTTATATGTGTAAATGATTTTTCATGATATGTGTTGCTTTTTTCTGAATTGGGCATAAAAATTAGTTTGAAATGGAACTTTTAAAATATCATTGCAAACATAAAACAATATTTTATACCTGGAAAATATCGAAGTTGACATATGCATCAAGTGAATGTGAAACTCGATATAGGATGAAGGGCATAAAAAATTTAACTACAGAAGCATTAAATTTTCAATGTAGAAAATGCGTAAACACTATTTTATGTACGCCTAATCAGGTTTTATGTAAAAATATAATCCACAGAACATAGAGCGACTTTATTATGGAATCTTAGACGTTGGATATAAAGGATTGAAATAATATCAGTCTAAATGACAAACAATTTGGATTATACTCCATGATCGATACTGATTTAACATTGTCAGTACATTAATTTACTTCAATAAATAGGCCTCTGCAGTACATATTTTTTTTCAAAGTAACATTAATGACATCCTCTTAGAGAGTAGAAATGTGTCAGTAAAAGTTTAATTGTAGTTTGATAAGTAATATTTACCATTTTAGTTATAGTATTTGTTAATCATTTATTATTCTGCCGACTATTCTGATGAAGAATTGGTCAGGTCACATATTTCATTTAATTGTACACTGACCCGACTAAGAAATTTAGTTAAGTGATACAAAAATAACAGCATCAGAAATTACTAACACTAATACTTACTTACGCTTGTTACCCCTAATGCAGCATAGACCGCTGACTAGCATACTAATACCAATAGTCTATTGTAAATCAGTAAAGTCTGATTTCAATATTTCATTACTGACAAGTGCACAGAGACTCATGAAAGTGTGCATCTATTTGATAAAAGAAGAATACAATGATCAAAAAATACAACTAATTGACAATATACCATGCGAAATATATTTATCATTATTAAAACAAACTGAATCCTTATAATTTAATTTATTTTATAAACGGAAACTAAATAAATTTCAAAAGTGATGATTTTTAATTACTTGAATTATAGTTGATACTTAACGGGAAATAAATTCATAATTTCTTTCATGTCAATTTTTTGACAACATGTGATTAGTGCAAACGTTTTGCTAGTATGAAAAGTTTGAAAAATGTTTTTGTAAATATTTATATATATATACATCTAAAATAAAATAGCACACTGTTTAAGCTTTGTAATCTTGAGAAAAGTAATACTTCGAGAAATAATGACAACCTAACTTTCATATGACCTTGAATGAGGAATAAATTTTGTTATTTTTACTACTATCCGCTTATAGAATCAAGTTGATATAAGTAAAATCTTGATTGTTGTACTAATAGGATTGTCTAAGAAGAATTAAACACATCAGATATTGAATATTTTTATTCTACAAGAAAAATAAAGCAACCGTAATTCGCATAAGTTTACATCAACTGCGTTGCTTGTGACAATTTATAATCAAAACTAAAGTAAGATGTATGACGTTAGCTATAGGTGGATCCGACGCAGATGTGAGGGCGAGGATCGGAAAAGCAAGGGCTGCATTTCTACAGCTGAAAAATATCTGGAACTCCAAACAACTTTCAACCAAAACCAAAATCAGGATTTTCAATACAAATGTCAAGACAGTTCTACTGTATGGAGCGGAAATTCGGAGAACTACCGAAGCCATCATCCAGAAGATACAAGTGTTTATTAACAGTTGTCTACGCAAAATAATTCGGATTCGTTGACCAGACACTGTCAGCAACAACGTACTGTGGGAGAGAACAAACCAGATTCCAGTGGAGGAGGAAATCAGGAAGAAGTGGTGGAAGTGGATAGGACACACACTACGAAAAGCACCAAACTGCGTCACAAGATAACCCCTCACATGGAACCCACAATGTGAAAGGAAAAGAGGAAGGCTAAGGAACACATTACGCCGAGAAAAATGGAGAAAGACATCAGAAGAATGAAGAAAAATTGTACAGAACTGGAAAGGGGAGCCCAGGACAGAGTTGGTTGGATAAAACTGGTGGGCGGCCTATGCTCGATTGGGGGTAACAGGCGTAAGTAAGTAAGTAATAGATGCCTGTATGTCTGAAATCCTATATTTATCATAAATCGTATAGGTGAAAAGACACTAACTAATGCGATTTACTTATTATGAATTAGAGTACACATACTAATTCTTTACTTTACTTTATTTTGTAATAACCTGAACTAACCTATCAATAGATTATATTCTACGTTGTTATGGAACATTACAGTGACTTTTCATACAATGTGCAATTGATGATTTTGAATTAATTATCCAAATATAATTGAAATTATTTGGTAGAAGAGTTGTTAAACGAAATGGCATGAACAGAGAATAACTTAATAATTGCATAATTGATGCCCCTATTTTCTGGCCCACACCATTGTGTTAAATTACGAATTCGATTTTAAAATTTAGTAGGATTTGATTACGTGCAATATTTGAAATCGCTCAATGTTTATATTTGTTTTTTTTCTAAAAAACAACTGTATGAAAGTTCATTTTTGTTAGTATGGTTGTATTTCCTTCTGAATATTCCTTAAGGTTACCGTTAATGCTTATGTGTGATAAAACTGAGATGTGCATACCATGCAAGCTTCAAGCTAATACTTTTAGTTCTACCAATCAATGAACTTGAAAAACAAAAGCAATGTTGTTGTGGTCGCTAGTAGCTAGCAGTGAAATTTAGGATGCACGTCTCGCCCATTTTGAAACTCGTCAGCTAAATGTTGATGCTCACTCCAAGAATCTAATCCAATATATTACGCTTAGAACGCCATTACGTTTTCTATTTAGCGAGAGTTCAGATAGCCACTGGTTTGTGCAATGCGGTGAAGATTAATTTTACCCATTGATGGTTAATCAACCTTTTAAATAGGACGAAACATGTGTCCTGAACTCCACTGTTAGCCATCACCCATCTATGCTAATAATGCTTGTAACCTGTGATCCACACACGGTGCACATATGCCAAGGCGACTGATTAATTGCAGATTCAAGTAACCATGACAAATGAATTACGTTTATTGATATAAAAGCATGCTTTGAAGCTATTTTGGACTGTAAAGATGATTAGCCCATATAATCAAGTTTCTAAACTAAAAATCACTGTAAAATCAACCTAGACATACTATATAATCAATCTTCTCCGTTCTTTATCATCTCAATATTGTGATCATCGACTGCTGAAAGGGGCAACTAAGTCATCCAATCAATAATCACACTAGTACACTAATAATAATATTCACATTCACATTTATTCTCATTGCTATAAACTAACCAGATACCTTTATCATTCATTGTCTTTTTAACTTACATTTTTTTTTGACTTATAAATCATCTTAGCAAGTTTTTAATACACAGAATAAAATGCAAAAACTATGTAATATTTAAAGGAGATTGTTAAACATACAAGAAATTATTTCAACTCTGATATTATTTATGAAATGAATATGCATATTCATAATACTTATAATTAGTACTACTATGATGTATTAACTTGTTAATGAGGTTTTAGTTAATTGTAAGTGTGTAAGTTTATAATCAAGATGAAGTATTCATTAGACTGGAACATTGAATGAGTAGTAAGTATTACAGATGGTTGGTTCTTTATTTATAGGTCGTACAGAAACATGATTTGGAAATATAAATTAATTAGAGTTATCAACTAGTAATGATTAAAACAACATTATTTGAAAAAAATCAAACAAAAATTTCAAATGAACTTCGATAGATTGATAACAATAATGTTGTATCTTGAAAAAATAAAAACTTAGACACTGATTCACAAAATATGTTATATATTTGTAGAAATTGCGTAGGTGTTGAGTTGATTTTTAAATGTTTCGGTATGTGTAAATCGTTTTCACAGTCATATTTATGTATAACAAAGAAGTTAGCCAAACAACCTACGCTTAATAATAAGATTTATTTTTGAAATCTGATTTTCTAATTCTGTAAAATAAATTCTATAAATGGTTCACTATACAGTGAATAATAATTATCGATTAGTTGTCATAGCAACTATTCACAGTCTTAATTCAATTATGATTCACACTATGGATCACCTGTTCAAGTGTCTTTTTTCTATGTAGATTAGAAAAAAAAGGGATAACTGTCTTCTGACTGACTTAATAAAACAACCAGTTTTTTCATACATTCTGTTTGAGTTATTGACCGATTTGAGTCACAAAGTTAACTTAAAGAATTGTTTCCAGATGACTTGTTCTTGGGGAGTATCGTTGTGAAATGATGTTTAAAATAGAAGGGAGTTTGAAAGTGACCTACACAAACAACTAACTAAAGGATCATTTTTATGAAGTTTACAAATTCTGTTTTTAACAGAATTTCAGTTAATTCAGTTAATTTTCTTTACACTAACTATATTTAATTCTTATGTATTTATAGACAGGAGAAGTTAAATCTTTCCAATATCTTTTTTTCTATTTTTAGAATAAATCCTATGGGAGATGTTTACTTGAAGTTGTTTGTGAACGCCTTGATGTTCTGCCATATTTATCTTATTTTGGGCTTCGTTATTCTGACAACAATGGTATGCATGTAAGTAGTTTTTTATGATGTATATGTAGAATTTGTTAGTCATTAAAATAAGAAAACTCCATAACCACATATCAATGTATGCTTAACACTAAATTTGTACCCTTGTTTATAAATTATCTTAAATTGTTAACATTACACCTAATCTGTTACTGTTAATTATTCAATCCAATGAACAACGATAAAATTTCTGATTCGTTGCAACATCTTAATTACTGTACAGCAGCTCTAATACTGCTTTAAAGATATTGGCAAATGTTGAGAAAGTATGGTACGGTAGAAAGTTCCATCAGTGTACAACCAAATATGGATTTTTTCGAAAGCATAAATTGATCATCATCATAAACCTGGAAGCAGTGGATGGCCGTTTCGTCTTGGCATAGGACTCACCAGCAGTGCGCATCCACGACTCCTGCACCTCACAGGATTTGAACCCAGGATTTTCTGTCTTACCTGCGAGTTCCCAACTCCCGAACTACGGAGCCGGTATCTGACGATGTGTACGTGTAACTTCGATCAATTCACGGATATAAGCAGTTCATTATTTAGCTTCGATTTTCTGAGAATCTCACCTTAGATGATTAAATCTATACAACAAAATAAAAAGCGAAATACTGATAATACTGTTAATACTCAAATCATCTTTGAGTACCTAATCATTCTTCAATAGGACTTAAATAATGTTTACATAATATTTAAATTCTACTTTTTTTAAAATACTTTACAAACAATAGGAATTATGCAAAACAATGTGTTACAAAAAAATCATTTCATCTTTTGACAAACAACAACTTACAATAAGTGTTAATAAATACATTAGAGAAAGATTCTAATTAGATTTTATCATGCCATAGAAACGATGCTGTGGCAACAAATGAAAATGACATGATTACATTATCGACCCATGTCTATATATTAGACGAATAATGTTCAAACATTAATGATGAGAAAAATACTTTTAAAAAAAAGAAGTTAACCAATCTACCACGAACCGAAATTGCATTGTACCTTACTTTATGAGCTAAGTATTGTAACTGTTGTTAGACAACAATGAATGATTTGTTGTGCTCTTTCTGATTTTTTTTAAAATAGAAAATCACGAGATTGAACAATGATTAGCAAAAAAAAACGAAAAACAACTCATTTTTGAAGCATAATGTTTTGTGTTTTGTATACTTTACTTTCTACTTACTGCTGTATTTCATATGGATACATTAATCGTACACTTTAGAGAGTTCTTGTTTTTTTGGAAAATCTCAATGTTTAGATACCACATATGACTTGAATTGTATATTCTTCTTAAAATCTACCATACATTTCATGTTTAAGATGATTTTGAAATTTTTACATTAAATGCGATACACTAATCATTATATATTTATATATTAAAAGTTAAACTATGTAGCTTTGTTTTCCACATGTTGTTCATCGACTATAATCTCTACTATATATAGTAAGTAGCCTAATAAACGGATCAATATCAGCTTGTAAGTCAATAAAAAGCAATGAATGATGTTTTAGATCTAAAAATCAATCTCTGCTACGACAAACAAACTACTTTTAGTCAGTCAAACAAGATAATTAGCTATTCTAATCTCAACTATTGCAAAATTACTGTTTTGATTTCTTACAATCATGGTTAAACTTGTATATTGATCGATTGTTAATATGTTCACGTTACAATTGCTCAGTAGACTGGTAAAATTGGTTTTTTCACATCAACTAACAGTCCTAAATTGTTCAAGTAATAACTGCTGGATTTATTTAAATAACAACAACAAACATTCTGTTTAATGCGAAAATGTTACTGACCATTTAAAAGATATAATACCAGCTGGAACAAGTGACTTATTCAAAAAAGACGCACTTCACTAGCGAATGTGTACACCTTGTTTTGAGACTTCTATTTGCAAAACATGCAGGTTATTGTCTATCGTCTTCCACATGTATCCTAGTCTTTGAGACACTTCTATCGCAACGTTTATCTGGATCCAGCACTCATCTCTTCTGGGTGATACACAGCTGCATGTTACTTATAAGTCATGTTGCAAAAATAATGTACACAATTTTAATTCATCCATTCCTAGAAAAATAATTGGTGCTATTTGCATTGTGGCTTATGTGAAACATACCTAGAAGAATGTGGATTCATTCACATGACATCCACGCACATATAACCGCTCTTATGTGATAAGAATTTCGATAGTTCTATTTGTAGATAGATAAAAAGAAAAGTCAGTATTAGACCTTTAAAAAAACTGTCTCTATGCAAACTGATACACTAAAGCATCATAGTAAAAAAATGTATAAATGACATGTTGTGAGCTAGATGCACAATAAAACAAGGTAAAAATTGAATTCTTTTTATTCGATGTGATCGATTTCGCTTCGTCCAATAAGACTTCATTGGTTACCTGAATTTCAAATCTTATATCAGGTAGAAAGTTAGCTACTGCACTTTTTGATGCCATGATCTGATTCGGGAATATACTACGTAACTCTAGAATTTTAAATTCATTATTCAGCTGAAATTTTAACTGCTTTAATGAGGCTAAAATTGTTGTAGTATTGGTAGTCATATGTCTTCCAACTTTGAGTGATATTTTCTTTTTGTGAAGAGGCACTGGTTAAATTACTTTTCAGTTCGTTCACTTTCATTCAGTGTGTTTGAATATTTCCAACACGTTTACAAGCTTAGCAGTAATATTTTAGTCAGAAAACGTACGAATACTTGACTTTTTATCAGATACCTGTAAACATCACTCATTTATGAAACTTACTTACTTACTTACTTACTTGCTTACTTACTTACTTACTTACTTACTTATGCACTTACTTACTTACTTACTTACTTACTTACTTACTTACTTACTTACTTACTTACTTACTTAATCCTGTTACCCCCAATCGAGCATACGCCGCCCACTAGTTCTCTCCAACCAACTCTGTCCTGGGCTTCCCTTTCCACTTCTGCCCAATTTTTGTTCATTCTTTTCATATGTTTAGGTATTTCTCGGCGTAATGTGTTTCTTAGCCTTCCTCTTTTTCTTTAACCTTGAGGGTTCCATGTGAAGGCATATCCTGTGACTCAGTTAGGTGCTTTTCTTAGTGTGTGTCCTATCCACTTCCACCACTTCTTCCTGATTTCCTCCTTCACTGGAATCTGGCTTGTTCTCTCCCACAGTACGTTGTTGCTGATAGTGTCTGGTCAACGAGTCCGAAGTATTTTGCGTGAGATAGAAAAGCCGAATCATCTGCGACGTCCAGATCGTCCAGCTACATAATATTTCAACACTTTTGCATTTACAGTCATCATTGTTTGTACTATCCGTTAGTTCAATTTTTAGTTCGAATTGTTTTATTTTTAAGTTATTAGCTACTTACTTTCTAATAATATTTGTTTCCTTTATTTCTTGTTTAGCAATGGATCAATTTAAATGACAAAATTAGTAAACAACTTAAAGGTGAGTGCATGTCATATTCTGTGACATCGAATCCCGTTGATTCATTTTATGCCTCGTAATTCGATGATTAAAATCAAACATTCAACCATCTCAGAAAAATAAATATATTTACTTTCCTTAATCCACTATCAGATGTATATATTTGTTGGGGATGTTGGATCCCCAGAGCTCGCCTGATAAATGTCTTTATTTTGGATTTATTTCATCGACCGATCAGTTGACCTTGAGATCACATTTCCCGCCGGAAAAATCCTTCGCTGTGATTGACTACTGTGTCATTTTAGTGTTATTTTTGTGACTGTTCCAAGGACGTCTCTATAGGGTATAATTATACCCAATTTTAGTTCTTGGATTCATTGTGTGCTGGTAAGGTGTTTGTAGAATACACTTTCTACACTATATCACTACTTCTTGCTTGTACAATTCGGTCAAGGGATCACAGTAGCCTACCTAGACGCTAGTTCGTTGTTTTGTTCTCGTTAGTCGACTAAAGTGAACTCGCAATTGTTTTAGCATACCTAGACACGAGCGTAACAATATCTCCATTAAGCATCTTCATTTGAAATATAAAAGAACTTGATTTTATCGATTTTCTTTCTTTGAACAAAGTTTTTGAGTTTGTTATTACTTCCTACAAAATGCCAATTAGTAATCGGCAATTCAGGAATCAACATTGATGTGTTCATTGTTTTCAATGCATGTTGCCAGCCACTGTGATGTCTCTACTTTGTACCTTGTTCAGTGATAGGTAGTAAACTTTTTAATATAAGCACCTGAATAGGTTATACGATTAGTCGATGAACTGGTGTTTTAAAACAGACAAATAAAAAATAACTATTGATTATAACACGATAAACATTGAAAATATCAATCACTGTAAATCCAGCTTTATTTTTAAAATGGTCAGTATGATTAGTGTATGTAAGTATAAATTGGTTTCATCTTCAAGGTTATTAGTGACGCTACATCTTGAGTAGTTCACATGATTAATCAGTTAAAATAACTTTCAATATATGGTTTTGTACCTTGTCTATCAACCTGTTAAAAAAATTCTTAATACAAGTACAAATTTATTTGTATAAAACAGTTTCTTGTTTTATTGCTTTTATTGGTTCACAGAAGTTAAAGATTCCACATTTGGTTTTCGATTCGTTTATTATCCAAACAATCCGTTGACATGTTTCCCTAATGAATCCATTCGGTAAGTGTCAAACAATTTCGTTGTAATGCCATAATGTTAGTAGTAGTAATCCTTGTTCTTTATGAAGAGAATAATTCCATCCTTCCTAAAATAGACATAAAATAATTCAGTTTTGCACAGGTCGATAAATTTTATTTTATAGATTAAGATCTCTTACATTACCATTCTAACACTGTAAATGATAATTTTATTTATACTGGTTATTTGAATCTTTCCACTGGTGTTAGGGATTGCAATTAATCAATCGCTTTCGCATGTATGCATCCCGTCAGGATTGCCTCGATATTGCCTTTAGGTTATGAGTATTATTGCAGAGGTGGATGTTAGGCTAGCAGTGGAATCTAGGACATGCATTTCGTCTTATTTAAGACTTGTCAGCTGTATACATCCGCATCCCAGAGTTGATGCTCATTTCAGCTCCCTGCGTTTCAAACGCTATCACGTTATCCGCTTAGCTCTCGAGCTCATTAAACCTAGATGAGAGCCTCATATTGGAAGAAACATGCGTCCTGGATTTTATTGCTAGCCACCATCTGTGTATGTTAATATTGTAAATGATGGTTTATAATTAAAGGTGATGGATATTAATTTTAACTTCTGGTGAAGATATGAAATCAAACCTACTAGATGAATTCGAGTGTTTATCTTGTCAAAATGCGTTCTTATTCAAGCATTTACACCTATTTTATGTCCAAATATAATTTTTTAAGTATTTTTTTTATTAAACTGACACTAATTATTAACTTGATTGTGATTTGAAATATATATGCAATAAATAACATCGTGTATTCTTAAAATTTCTCAACCCTAAATTGTGGTTTTATGATTACAAAATTATTCAGATAGTAAAGTTTAAGTGAAATAATTGCAAATTGTTACATAATCAAATAAATATATATATTTATTTTTCATGATATATATACAATCGTTCGGTGTGGTGGTGATATTTTTAGCAGATGATTTAACAAATCTGTTTTCATTGAAAGATTGAGTATCATGAGAGCGAAGCTTTACGCTTTATAGACGAATAATTAAACTTCACATACAAAGAAAACATGAAATTTCTTAGAAATTCGCATTTAAATTGTACAGCCTTATGAAGGCGGCAATACCATTCTAATTTTGTACATTAATTAGTAATATCTTTAAAGTTACTTTGTAAGTGATAAGGGACTTATCGGCACTACTCACTTACGACTTCCACTACTCCCAGGGTTCGAACCCAGGACCATCGACCTTGCACACGAACGCCCAACCTGTGGACCACTGAGCCAGTAGCTAACGGTGTTAATATCTAACTTCTATCGATCGACGGTCTTGCACAACCTCATCCACTGTCTTCGTTGAACATTGTTTCACACCCAAATAGAGTTGTACTCCATTGGTCACGACTTCCCACTAGAACTTGTAGAAAATTCCTTACGGATCTAGTCATTAGTGAGCCCATGATAATTTGCCTGTAAGGGTTGTGGAGATTGTTGCGTTACTTTTTGGAATCATGAATCGATCAATGTTAGATCACCATTAGAAACCCGAGTAATGAGAGTCGCCGATAGGTACTTCTGATGAGTCCCATACCGGGACGAAACGGCCGTTCAGTGCTTACAGGTTTCTGCTGGTGGTCTAATATTGGTCGATTCATGATTTAAAAAACTGTAACTCAACATTCTCCACAACCCTTTCATGCAAATAATAATAACAAGTAAAAGAGAGCAAGAATAAAGATTTAAGCAGGATAACATGAATTTTATGTTACTCTGCTTAACTCTTTGTTCTTACTGTTCGCAAGATGATAAAAGGGAACTTGTGCATGCAGTAATAACACATTTGAAATAGTTAAGTAACTACCAAAACTCATACTCAGATTTATCAACTTGAAGATTAATAGATAACGTACTTTACAGATAATATTAATTTACTGATATTAAGTTTTACGCAAAAAAACCATTAGATTAAGTGTTAAAACTCATTAAGCTCCTTAATATATTTGCAACCACATATGGATAGTCCGATGTGTTATGGAAAGTCTTTTTACTCAGATATTAGTGCTACCCTTTAGCGATTTCACATCACACAAATAAATTAGTGTGATTGTGACTAGTGAACTTCAGGTTAAATATTTCATCTCATAACTTGTGACCTACCTTATCAGATGTGTAGTCAGATTCTAGTTTACAGATATTATGCACAGTGGTTTAAATAACAATTCTGCTTCGAAGACAAATCTTTTTTATCTTTAATTTGCATGCAAACACAGTAAAACAATCGGTAATTTTGTTGAAATTAGAATAAGGAGAAGAGTTGAGCGTTTTATTGATTAACAAGTTAGAAGTAAAACTTAAAATTAGCTTGTTTCATTTTCAACAAACGAATAATCTGTTCATATTTTAAACATCACCAATGTAATCGATCATCTATGCTGTAATTCTCTATAGGGGAATCTTTAAAACAAATTCTGATTTATTCAAATAAACCACTCAATTTATTTTTTTAGTTTTAAATTTAATGAGATTCATTATAACAAAATACCTGTAAATTTGCGTTCGGTTTTATTTTTTGAAAAAAAAAACACACTACACTTATTGTTTTTACAATTCATCAATAATGAATGAATGCAGAATTATTTACAGAAAAAACATACAAGATAAAATAAAGTGTATATCTTTCACGTGGTACACAAGTATGTCCTGTTTTTAATAATAACTTTTGGAATATGATTAAAGAATTTGTGATTACTATTATCAGTAATAATAAATAGTATTGTCATGTATGAAATAAACATCAGACAAAAATGAATGAACATTCGACAAAGCACAATGAGTTTATTCAGTTAATTAGTTAGTCATAAGATATAGAATGATGAATTTCATTGAGTTGAAAATTCGTCACGGTTATTTAAATGACAATATATTTTTATTTTCAATAGTTTCTCGCCATTTTTTAATTTTGATCAAAATAGACATAATAGTTATTCCTCTGTCTCTCTCTCTCTTTCTCAAGAAATTTTATCTTTATAGACTTATAATTTTAAAATGTCTAATTTTAAAATCATCTATTAAAGAGTCTTATACTATTATGTCTAGAAATTATTTGACTTTTTTTCACAAGAGGAATCTATTTTTCTTTCTAAGTGAAGTCAATACCTCATGTATAGTTCAGCTATACACCGATTACAGTAAGTATTTCTAAGCAGTGAACAGACTATCTTAGAAAGTGTATGACTTTGTGAACTGATACTATGTTCTCACTCTCTCTCTCTATATATATGTATACCATTATTTCCCAAATTAGCTCCAGTCGAATTTTTTAACAGACAACTTGACCGGTTACTTATTCGCTACTTAAAAGGATGTCGAAGTGTGGGTGGTAACTTTATGACTGCTAGCAGAAAAGTGTTATGTTAGTCACTAGGTACGCTTGAAACTATTACGAGTTCACCTTAGTCGATAAACGAGAACGAGACAGTGAACCAGCCTCCAGGTAGGCTACCTTGAATCCCAAAACTGCAAAACAGAAGTCTTGATAAGCGTAGAAAGTATATTCTACAAACACCCAGCAAGCACAATACAATCAAGCACACAATTCTCGTTTATTTATACATCATAGAAACGTCCTTGGGACAGTCACAAAAATAGCACACTAAAATAACACAGCAGCCAATCACAGCCAAGGATTTTGCTGGTGGGAAATGAAATCTCAGGGTCAACTGATCAGCGCATGCTGGCAAACGGGATATCCAAAATAAGGCATTTATCAAGCGAGTTCTGGGGGTCTAACGTTCCCAACAAAACGATTATGAAAACTAGCAGAATGTGAACAAAACATTTGATATCTTAATTTCGTTTACTTATCCATATTCTTTTTTCAAAAAGATGAATAGTCAAAAATGCTTTATTCTTCATAAACTGATGATCATACTGACCCTAAAGCAAACACAAACTCACACTTGAATAAGGCTTAAGAAGCATAATTATATTGCACAGCATCATTTGGTAAAGTACTTAGATATAGTTTCTAGATTTTTATAAGATCAGTGACTACATTTTATACTGAGATGGTGAATCAATCATTGTTAGACCACTGTTAGATCCTGGAAGCACTAGATAACCGTTTCACCCTACTATGGGACTCATCAGCAGCGTGCTTCTACGACCCTCATCCGCGATGATCCAACCCAAGACCTTCGGTTTCGCGCTTGAATGCTTAAGCTTTAGATCATTTGGTCAGCATCCAACGGTGTTAATGCCTAACTTCCATCAATCGGAGGTTCTCACGCTACCTCACTAAGTGTCCTAGGTGGTTTTTGCCTACACCCGACTGGGTTGGACCCCACTGGTCAAGGCTTCATGATTTTAGTGTAAAACAACAATCTATTGAAAGGCTACATTATAGCTTAATAATGATTTATTCTTCTTCAATGATTAAAAAGTTTATTTATTGATGACAAAGTTTTATGAATACAGACAAACAACAGCACTTATTATTGATATAATTAATCATTAATTTCTGTTTATAATAAAAGTTGTTTAGAAAGAGTGAATAAATTTCCTCGATAACTTTCAATTATTTCTATCATTTAAACTTAGTAAAGAAACTCAATGTTTTCAATGTGTCAAAGCAAAAGACGAACGATCTGATGTTATAGTACTGAGAGGTGTATTAAGTTCTGTGCTAGTTGATATGTTTACGGTCAACTGTGGAAAGACTAAACTTAAAGGAATGAATAGTGAAGTGGAGTATTATGTAAGGTATATTGACAAAACTTATATTATATACAATGATCATCCGCTAAAGCCTTTCGACAACGCTCAGAAAAATTCCAGTTTACTATGGGACATAGAAAGGAAAATAAGTTCCACTTTCTTGGTTCTACAATATAGCGGAAGGAGGATGACACAATTCCACGTTCCATTTGTCAAACAAACATGTAGTGGAGTATATCTGAATTTGAACAGCTTTTGTATACGTAATTACAAAAGGTAGAATTGATCCTACTGACAGACTAGAAGAACTAGAGAATGTTAAAAAATGTCCAATGATCAATGGATACCCATAGAAATTTAATAAGAAATATTGAAAATGTGTGTACATTAGGGTCAAATGAACTTTATTCGACCTCGATTTAAAGGTGATGAAGTTCCAGGGAAAATAAAAACGCTCAAAAACAACACTGATCAAAACAAAACCTGACGTCAAACTGACCATCTTATTTAGATAACATGTTATTTATGGTAGTCAAAGATCATCAGGATCCTCTTTAATTTTACCTCCAACTACGTACATAAATTTACATGTAACTGCTGAAGAAGTTACATCAATAGGAGAAGAACCTACTTCCGATTTCCAGAACACATACCCACTAGCCATGGGTCAATACAGTGAAACGCTTCAAGTTTTACTATTTCAAAATAATTCTTTGGCGCAGGATTTCAAATTGGCCTTCTGAAATCTTCAAAGTGAAAGATAGACACAAACTCTACTCTTTTTAAACTTACTGAAGGTGTAGTAATCGAAGGGTTCATTCAGCATGGATTTGTGTCTTTAAAAAGTAGTTAATTAAACTAGCTCATTCAAAAATATCAACTATTCGCTGTAACAAGATAATAAACTATCTCTTTTTTTTTCTCAAAAATAAAATAGAATTTTTTTCAAGAACTGATAGACAATTAACTATTTTCTAGGCTTAAAATTTATTGAAATTTAACTTTGTCTTATTGATTAATGTTGTTAATATTAGTTATGAATGATGTGTGTCAAGAAATGTGTGCACATTGAATTAGTTCATAAACGTAATTATAAATTATTATTGACGTTGTGATGAAGATTTTATTATCAATAATGTTCTAGTGTCTGATTAATTATTTCAAGGCAATTATCAGTCATCAAGTGAATCAATCAGACAAGTGGATCAATAAAAAACAAGGAAACACTGGACACCTAATTCGCCTTAATATAGCATTGTTTTTAAGTAGTGAGCGTCTACATGCTCGACAAGGGTAGAACTTAGAACTCTTATGTTATGCTATAATAACGTTCACTATCTACTTAGATGTCATCCAATTGTTCACATTGTCAACTTTAGTCATTTTGCAAAATAGTACGATGGTTGTTTATTGTCGATCTGGCTTACAGACTGAAATTCAATTTAATGACCGTTCCTTGCGAATACGGATAAACAACAACAGTATCATAAACTTTTTATACTCGTCAATCTCTTTTTCTATTTAACCCTCATGTTCTTTGTTACATTTTCTATGAAAAAATTACTTAGTAGAAAATATTCATTGAAATTTTGCATAGAATTCACATTATATAACACTGTCTATCTATTCGCAGTGCTAATTACAATTACGTACACATTGATTGCCTTTTGCACAAATGAATTTGTTCATTAACTAGTTGCTTATTTCTATTTCTTTATTTCCATTTGTAGTTATCTACTTTTCCTTCAGTTGAGAAGAGATTTTTATGTTGGTCGTTTAAGAGCACAAGCATTAAAGATTTATGAATTGGCAGCATACGCTATACAAGGTAGTTAAGTTTAATAGGATTAACAAAAAAATTCATTTTGATGCAGTTACAAGTTTCATAAAGTTTAAAAGTTTTTAAACATGACAAGTTTTATTTATATTATTTTTTTTCCCAAAATCCAACATGATCAAACATATGTCCCGTAGCGAGTAAATATATATAACGGTAATTGAGGCATATGATTGATTGGTTTTTGGAAAAATCTACACATTCAATACTATCGGGTTGCTATTTCATTGTATTAGCTTGTCAGGTTTTGAAATACTGAGAAAATCATTAATCATCCGAAGGAAATATGATGCCATTGTAAATTAAACTATAAAGCTTGTGGTTTATGTCAGGCTATATTAATTATTCTTCTACAATTGCTTACTTATTTACTTACTCTTGTCTGTTACCCCTAATGGTGCACAGGCCACCGATCATCATTCTCCAACTTAATCTGTCTAGGACCTTCCTTTTCAGTGCTGTCCAACTGCTATTCATTCTTTTCACGTGTGCTTCCAATTCTCGGAGTAAATTTTCTACAATATGAAATATATATATATATATATATATATATATATATATATATATATAGACATATTCTTCGACCGATTTATGATATCTGAGTTTTCATATAAAAAAGGTATCATGTTCAAAATACCTAAACACCTGATTTATTTGAACTGGTCTTTATCCGATAATTGCTGTAATTAATTGTTCAATCTTTTCAAGCGTTAAAAAACATTCATTCATATTCTTTTACTGACAATCTTATAAATTTTACCAGTGATGTTTCATGGCTTATCACAAATGAGCATAGTATTCACTATCTCATATGCAATTTATAGTTGTGAACAAATTTGTCGACTAAGCTGATGATAATCGACAAGTCATTGTTTTTTTTAATTTATAAGTAGTTATGAAATGCCGGCGATCAATGTTTTTTCATCTTGTTTACTTTATCGGGTATTCATGTTAGTTATGTTGTCGTTACAATGGTATTTAATTTTACGCCCACGTACAAACGATATTTTATGTAATGGTTTTTATCAATTACTAAAAATAGTAGCAGGATTTTTTAGGACTGAATATTGTCTTGATTTGCATAAGCATTAAGGATTGTAACATTGAAGAATAAACTGAGTTCTATGATCGCTAAATGTTTGTTGTGAGTTAAAGTTATTGAAATCATAACAATGATTTTTCACTGACTAGTAGTAATAGCCAAACTCGAGCTAGTGGTATTAAAGAAAGTCACTTGAGATTTAAATATCTCAATTATAACATTTTCAACTGAAGTACAGCATGAAAACTGGATTTGATCAATTTTTTATATTTTATGTGTGTGTACAGATGTTATGCTCGTCTCTAGGTATGCTTAAACTATAACGGGTTCACCTTAGTCGAATAATGAGAACAAAACAACGAACCAACGTCCACGTAGGCTACTGTGATCCCTTGACCGAATTTTACCAGCAAGAAGTCTTGATATAGTGTATAAAGTGTATTCTACAAACACCCAGCCAGCACACAATGAATCCAAGCACTCCGATTGCGTTTATTTATACTCTAAAGAGACGTCCTTGTGACAGTCACAAAAATTACACACTAAAATGACACAGTAATCAATCACAGTGAAGGATTTTCCTGATGGGAAATATGATTTCAAGGTCGACTGATCAGTCCATGAAATAAATCCAAAATAAAGATATTTATCAAGCGAGTTCTGGGCATCTAACATCTCCAACAGGAGGAAATTAGGTCGGTGAAATGATCATAAATCATTTCTTTTGATGAATAAACATTCAACTATGTAAACGAATGATGATCACTTCGGGTTTTAACTGATAACCCAACCAGATGTCATTTTGAATGTAAAATCTGTTTAATTCAGTTAATTCGATAATATGTACACTTCGTGTTATTTTTCTTTTGGTTAGGATTTTCAAGACACAAGTGTCTATTGTAGTTTTAAAGTTTTATTTAAACTTTGCAATGTCTTGAGATACAATTTTGTTTCAATTATAAATTTCATATAAACTCTATAACATTTCACTATTTTAAGGCAGTAGTTCGAAGCTTAGTTTATGTGATAACTTAGTGTCTATTTTTTAGAAGAATCCTATTTATGAATGAGTTTTTCGATTTACGTTTATCAATCGGATCTTACATGGGTTGACAAGTATATTGAGTCTTTGATATATTAGCACTGTGTTTTAAGCACAAGAGACTGTAACAGTTATTGAGTTCTGTTCATTCGGGAGTGTATATTTCTCAACAATTACAAATCAGAATTACTAAAGACTGGAAAAAATGTTCAAAAATACTATTCTAATCCGCTTGTCCCAGGCCATGCTAATAAAAGCAAGAAGTCTTGATCAGGTGTAGAAAGTGTATTCTATAAGCCCCCAGAAATAGGAGGTTGACAAGCACAAAAACCAAGCTTAATTATACAACGATAGCAACACCCTTGGGAGAGCCACAAAGTAGCGCACTAAAATAATCCATCAACCAATGACAGTTAAGGATTTTCCGACTGCAAAATATAAGCTGAAGGTCAATAAAGCAACTTAACCGCGAAAACATAAAAAAATCCAAAATTAGGACAAATTTTTCAGTGTAACATAATTTAACTTTATCGAATCATGTCTATTTAAGTACATGTTTCCTTTCTACAAACTTACTTTTGAAAATAAGACTAAAAATTAACTGATTTTAATAATTGTTGAAATATATTCTTTCTAAAGGTTTTTACTGTTGGTTATTTTCTTGAAAAAATATTTATTTAATATAGCTGAACATGGTCTCCAGCAGATTCCTCAAGGTTTTGATGTGGATACCATTCCTGGTGGTATGCGTGTCCTTCCTCACCTAACAAAATCGATTGTACGACGAATCAAAAATCAACTTGAACAAATTATGTAAGTTTTTTTTATAAAACTAATGTTTTTTTTTAAAATTTTATTTAATTGTTTCAAAACAAAAAAAATAATATGTATAATGAAAGAAATTTCATTCAAGGATTATTGTGGATTTGTGGTCGAATGTATTTTCATTGTTTATAGGGTATTTATCTCGGTGAGAATCACGAATTTAGCAGTAAAAATTTTTATAAGACTAATATTTCATTCCAGATATTTTGTTAGATACTGACGAAATATTGTACACGTTATAACTATATTGAAATGTTAGATGGTGAAAGAGAGTAGATATTAAGCCCTCCTCAGCTATATTGGCTGCGACATACGTTCATTCAGGTCTTATCATGCCAGGCAGGTCGACTGGAGAACGCGGTAAGATTGACCCTAAAAATGTAACACCCCATCATACAACTCGGATTTCCATTTCTGGCGGTAACGCCTTTTGAAGAGCTGAGCTAACACTATACAATCTTCCCATAAATAGCCGTGCGCCAACGGCCTCAAGCAGTTGTTCCTTGGGCTCTGTGGTCACGCTTCAAGGTCGCTCAAAACAACGCTAATCCGATTTCCTTTCCAGGTTCCTCAAGATTCCCCTTACACAGTGTAGGCAGCAGGGAAGAGACATCCCTTCTCAAACCCGTAAAAGCACAGGAGACCAAATCGGTCACAATCAAGTCCTCCCTACGCCTCAAATTACTCTCTAATCTCCACCAACAACCCTTCACACGTCCCTTTATCACATCGTGCCATCGACCATCCAGTAAGCAATTCTGTTGTTAGGAAAAGGATATTAGGTAAGGATGCTAGATCAGTTGGTGAAGTAGTGACTGCTCATCAGTTGAACTGGTTGGGACATGTGTTACAAATGCCCAACCACCGACTGCCACGGCAGGCAATGATGTCTGGTGCAGAGGTAGGATGAAAGTAAGTAGGGAGTGGCCAGACCAAATCATGACAGAAATTCATGAATTCACTGACTAGTGAACTAGTGAACTCAACCATATTGATAAGTGTAGACTACCTGGCTGGGGTCCACGAGATGATAGTAACCGATGGTTAGACACCTAGAATGACGTGACTCAAAACCGTTTGCAATGGCACAGGTGCATCTATTCCCTGTCTTCTCTCAAATTCTAATCTTCTAAATTCCTCATGACAGTTTCTTTTCTCGTTTTGAATTTATTTCACTGACATATGTTTCTCTAACCATATCTTCGATCCTCAATCTTTTGACTGTCACTAATACTTCTGCTATATCTACTACTGCTATTGGATTTGATTTCACAATTCAATCTCTTTGTGCTAATGTGGTATATGGATCTTGAACTTGGTACACGTACATACATATATGAGTGCATCAGCTGACTGACTGATTCATCAGAATTGGTTAAAAACATTGTTGTTGTACCAATCGAAATGCCTACTTATTTTTTTACCATAGATAGTCAACAAATACCTGAAGATGAAGATGAAACATTGACTAGAGGAGCATCAACATATTTGTTCACAAATTTTATTTCGTTTCATTATATTTTCTTCTTAGACAGATAGTTAGTTATGTGGTTGTTATTTACGGTAGTTTAGCTTGAAAAACGTACAATTTCAAATGACTTTAGTTAGTGTGCACGTTTTTTTTTCTTTTCATTCTTAAAAATTAACGAACACACATCTATCTCTTAACCACATGTATTCTTAACATCTGTTTTAACAATATTATTATTCATACCATAGCAATCTATATATCTTTCTTATTGATTAAATTTTTTTAAAAGCACATAAAATCACGTAAAATTCTTTATAGACGGAATTTTTGTTTAGATTATATCACTGATGGATTTTATTGACCATATGAATAATAATACTAATAAATATTATCTGTAGAAATGACACTAGAAATAATCTCAGCCATGGAAATTTGAATTACGTGAATATTACGCCAAAACAAACTCGAATCAGTTTGTTGGGCGCCCAGTTTAGGCTAAGCTATTTGTTTTTAAATTTTGACAAATAGGTTTTTTTTGTTTGAATTTCGGTAATTGCATTATTTTGTTTCTGTTTAAATGTATTCAATGTCCAATTTTTTTTTGAGATTGATAAAAAACATCTATCTACAATGTAAAGAGAATGATAAAAATAAATAATGCGTTTTCTCAAAATATTTACTATTTTTAATATATATATATTTGTATGCAGGCATACAAAATGTTCCAGGATTACATTTGGGACCTTTTCCAAACAATATGAAGTGTATATTTATGTATAGGCATAATTTCAAGAATTTCATATTATACTTGAAATAATGTAACAATTTGGCACAATAATGACTTATTTTGAAGGAAAGAATTTAAAAAGGAAAAGAAGTCTTAATAGAATAAAGCTAGATAATCCAGTTGAATGAAATGGAATGCATCATAGGATGGTAGAACATTTAACATTGTTGTAATCATGATCAATTTGTTGCCTTGACCATATTAATCTTGGTGCAGATAACCAATGAGTGGACAAACGTATCGTCTTAGTACAGTAACGTGTTACCTAAATGTGTTGGTTGATTTCCGTAAGCTTCTTAATTTTGAATGCATAAAGTCACCATTCAGCAGTGAGGAATCAAATTAGTCATTTTTATTCATATCTCATCTTAATGTAGCGTGAAATTTTCTTAGTTATTTGATAAAACTCCTAGATAAACGATGTTAATGATAAAATGTTTGCCGTCAAAGAAGTGTTGTATTTGCTGGAGCAGTCGGGATCATTTGACTGTTTAAAATATGATGATGGTCACATTGATATTTCATCCAATCCCCATCGATATCCTTGCTGTTTTACACGTACTTTGTTTGATGTTCCAAATAAAATCAACTGAAGAAGAATGAAGGCGATTCCGTGAAGAAAATCTTCTTTCCGATTATTTCGTTTACTGAAGCTGTACAGTAGTATTTATATGGTTTAGTTTATTAGTTTAAATAGTATTCAACGGTAAAATAAAGTGATATAGAATAATCATAGTTATAACAATGTTGAATCGGCCTCATATCGTGAACTGTTGATAAAAATCATCCATTGAAAGGAAGCACCTTTCGCCAATCGATTACTACATAAATTCCTTAAGTGAATAAAATCGTTGTAAAGGAGATTTTCTGCGTTGAATCGCCTTCATTCTTCTTCAATGACCTAATGGGTATATTCCGCTGTTTAAAATCATTTGATTATTTTTCAAAAAGTTTGAGTACAAACTGATGGATCTATAAGTACGTACTGTAAGTTTTTTTGTTTTTCAATTACAAAGTGGCATGTCTAAGACTGAAGCTATGGAAAAATTCATCGATGAAGCGTCAAAAATTGAAACCTATGGCATGGAACCTTTCCAAGTGCAAGTAAGTGTACACATTAGTTTGTTTTCGAATAATACTGAGATTTTGATCGATTTAATCATTGGGTTTTGGAAATTATTTTAATGAATGTGTAAATCAGTTGCTACATTACACAACCTACTCACTAACTACTTTGCTAATTAGTCAATATTATTTTGTTGTAAATCTAGGTAATTAAATTAGTTTAATAAACTATTGATTACCTGACATCTGCAAGTCATGGGATAAAGTGGTCTGAATAATTATAAAAGGCTAGTTGGTTAAAAAGTTGTATTTATCTTGGTCAATAAACAATCAAGCATCTACTGAGTCTAGTAAGACTCTAAATCAAGTTTATTTAATGTCAAAGCGACCCACAGAAGAATGTCAACCATCTTTTTCGTATATTGAAACACATGTTTGTGACAAAAATTGTACATGAAGACATAGTATTTATCTATTATTTCTACTGACCTATATACAAATGATTGTAAAATAATTTTTATGAAGCTTTACTGAGTAGTGACCAATATCACGTTCATACATGTCATTAGTTATGATCGAATTCTGTCAACCGCATCGCACTGTGATCACTAGTCTAAATGACTTGACATTCAGTGAATTATGTTGAGATGTTCATTGTTTGCGATAGTCCCTTCAATGTTAAAGGTATAACATGCTGATGAGTACCAACAACAACAAAGAGCCATAGTAAGGGCGATATAAATAACTAACCAATTTCTTTGAAGCACGTTCTTTAACATAATAAAAATCATAAGAATTTTATTTTATTATAAATTATCTACATGGAATTAGCGGAGACTTTTCCAAATGAATGTTTAGTTCATCTTAAGATGGATGATGGTTAGTAGTGGAATTCAGGATGCATGTTTCGTCCAATTCGCGACTCATCAGCTTACCGATCTATCGATTTACCATTTTTGTTTTACTCAAGTGTATCTTCTAAATTGTTTTGAGACTTAACTAATGAATACTTTTTATGTATGCATATATTCGTTGATTTAGAAAATTCGATTATATCAGATGATTTTGATTCCGTTACTATGATAGAAAATGATAAGAAAATAGACATTACGAAAAAAAAATTGACCATTTTATTATGATCAGGTGTTGTAGTGCAGATTGGGTCGATAATCATTGAATTATTTAAGTTTTTTTAACGAGCTAACTAACTAACTAACTAATTACACTATGATTTCATGTGACAGTTGTTTTGATGAACTCATTATGATCGAAAAAAAACTTAAACAATGGCGAATTATTAAATATATATATATATATATATATATATATATATTTCATATTTTGCATAATTTCTTTGAGTGGTTAATTTGAATTATGATAACAAGAAATAAAAAACACTTGTTGAGCATTAAAAAAAATTTATTTTTCTAGGGTTATTCATCTAAAAAATGTTTGCGAGATTCATGCAAGCTGAACTAGAGAGTAACTACGTCACACACCATGTTCACTGATTATAGTCTAAAGTAGCAGAATTAGCTTTTTTTATACATTAATCAAAAATTTTTTTAAAAAAATAATATTACAAAATTGACAATCAGTCGCTTTGTGAAATACTTCAAATACTGGTTTAGTTTATTTTTTCTGGTTAGCGTTTTTTTGGCAAGTTAGTTTTTTTGGTGGGATGGGGTCGCCTACCCCAGGGCTTGGGACCGGCAGTAGCCCCGAAGGTTCTACAGGCTGGGTTACTTCAAATACTAGTTTACAGTATTTAACATAAATAAACACTCTTTCTTATTGAATCAGTTAGTGTGAATTACACAGTGTTTCTAACTGAAAGCTTAAATTTACTAGAGGTATTGTACTGTCAATGAGCAAAAGGTAATCGCAATGACAGGTCATTTTTATTTGATTCAGAATGGGCAGACTTCATTGCAATCTGTTTTTTAATGTCAGCTTAGTTTGCTTGTTTGGAATAAGAATAACAGTTCATATAAAAAGGATGACGAAATGAGTCATTTAGAATTTGTCTAGATAAAATTGTGTTCAAGTAGTTGATCCTGATAGAACTAAGTCGAAATACAGTTGAGTCATTTTTAAAACATCAAACAAAATTTATACTACAATATCGTTTGAATTTTTATTGATAATAATTTTTAGTAAAATTTTATCGATTTTGCGATATAAGAAACATCTGATTTTACGATTTTACTGAAACGATTATATAGAGATGTTTTAAGTTGGAAACCTTATTCATTGGTTGTGATCTTAGTAATTGAGTTTTATATCCTGATATTTATCAGATCAGTATTTTTTTGCTGACCAAGTTTTCATGGAAATTAGTTTGGTTTGAAAATATTTACGATTAGCTGATCACTGAGTAGTGTTCAACGTCTCTTTAAGCAAGTCCTTGTTTACGTTGATCGAACTCGGTCACTCACGTTGCAGTTTGACTACTGGTCTAAGTGACTTAACATCACATACGCTATATAAGGTGAGTGAAAGTGTTGAACAGAAAATCCACGAACTAGGTTTCATGTTATTTCGTACATGTCGGTATGGTCTCGCCGTAATCTGAAAAGTATTAAAACCGTCTAATGGATTTTATCCTATGTCACGCGGCTTCACTAATACACTTCTACTGGGTCCGATCGATAGAATTTAATCAGCACTAACAAGGATTTTCACACTTGATGGCGAAGCGTTAGAAAATGTAAGAACCTTTACATATCTGGTTAGCCTCATTGGCGGTAAAGCAAGGACAACATTTCTACAATTGAACAACATCTGGAACTCAAAACAACTATCAGCAAGCACCAAAATCAGAATCTTCAATACAAATGTCATGACAGTTCTACTGTATGAGGCCGAAATTTTGAGAACTACTAAAGCCATCATCTACAAGATACAAGTATTCATTAACAGTTATCTACGCAAAATACTTCAGAGCCATTGGTCAGATACCACCTGCAACAACCCACTGTGGGAGACAATCGATCAGATTCGATTGGAGGAATAAATGGGTATGAAGCGCTTGAAGTGGATTGGACACACATTGGGGAAGCACCCAAATGCGTCAGAAGACAAGTTTTCACTTGGAACCATCGAGGTCAAAGGAAAAGAGGAGGGCCAAGGAACATATTACATCGAAAAATAGAGACAGACATGAGAAGAATGAACAATAATCGGGCAGAACTGGAAAGAGAAGAGGGAGGACAGAGAAGGTTGGAGAAAACTGGTCGGTGCACTATGCTCCTTTGGGAGTAACAGGCGTAAGTAAGTAAGTAAATTTAGTTTTGATACAGAATCATTGACTGAATGATTCTTTTGTTTTAGTTTCAAGGTTTAAAGTAAGGACTTTTAGATTATTTGGCAGTTATGTTATTATTCGAACACTAATTAAAAATCCAACAGTTCATACGGCTACTTTATAGAGCTATAATAATCTACTTTCATTCATACCAATCTATTTTACCTCCATTGTTTTTTAAGTCTCAAGAAGTACAGTTTCTTCCTGGATGTTTGAAACATTATTTTTAGAGAAAGTTAACATATTACTACTTTTATTCAGTAAATGCATGTTTATTTTTAAGAATATTTCCAAAACAAATCTAACTTTGGCCGACCAATTTCTGTTTTATTTGTTATGATTTATTTTAAGAATTTTTTAATAGTTCTAGTTTCGTAAATTACAATTTATAGAGATGATTGAGTCGTTTTGAGATTTTTTTGGTCGAAAGATTATTAAATTGAAAATTAACTTAAATATCGGCTTATACTATAAAATCTATTGGGATTAAAGTTGGATGAATAGCGAGAATTCGGATAAAGCATTGAGCTGAAGTTTTTTTCCCTTTTGGTTATCATCACTGAGGATTATTTACCAGCTTCAAGAAGCTAATGACTGCCTGGAGTTTCGTGATCTAACAATTAGTCTTTTGAATTTCACCCCTTACTTTTATCTCTGGTTAAATAATTGAATTTTTTCTGCAGTCTTGTTGGCCCAGTGGATTATTTTTCAAGGAATTCATAGTTACATTTTACCAGAGCAAGTTACAAAGTGCATGGCAAGGAGTTATCAAAACTTAATTTGGATGATATGACGAATTATAAGCTGAGTACATAGGGTATTGCTTTACAGACTTGGCTTGTGAACGATCGTCATGGTTAGGGTGCATTTACTTTTATTCCTGTTCAAATCTCAAACACCTAGTTTCTATTCAATTGCTTTTCATATCGCGACTCACATCAATTAAGTTCAGTTTGATATTTTTCAGTTTTTATTGTCTTTATTTTTGCATGCTATGCAAAAGGATGACAACACGTAATAATCGAATCTTAGGCAAACCTCAGCTATTATCATGAATCAGTCACTGTGAGGCCACCATTAGAAACTTGGAAGCACTGGACGGCTATTTCGTCATGGTATGGGACTAATCGAAACTACACATCCACGACTTCAGCCGCTTTCAGAATCCGAACATAGGCCCTCGGTCTCGCATGCGAATGCTCAACCTATAGACCAATGAGTTGGCATCCAGTGGTGTTAACGCCTAATTCTGATCAATCTGCGGTTTCGCACAACCTCACCTACTGCCTTCACCCGACAGGGTTAGGCTCCATAGGTTACGGCTTCCAACTGGAACTCCGAGAATTTCCTTACGAAGTTAGTCAGTAATAAGCACATTGTACTATTTTCACCATAGGGTTATAGAGATTGATGTTTACTATTGAAATCATTATTGTTCGTTTCGTTCTAGAGTTTCAGCTATACACATAATTTTGTATTCATTTTAATAATAATTGAGAATGAATGTAAAAGATATTTAACCACCACTCATGAAATCAGTATGGTTATTAATGGAGTTATCTCAATAAAAGTGGAACAGGATGTACTTTTATTAACGTTTATCTTATTTTAGAGTTAAAAATTGTCTATCTAAAAGCTCTATAGCTTATGTTTTGTCTGAAATCTAAATAAAACTATAATAACACATCAAAAAAAAATAGTTTTCTTGAAATAACAACTCATTTATTGTAATCTATTTAGTATATATACTAATGATGTTTTGTGAAACTTTGCATGAAACAGTTTCAATTTCTTCTTTTTCAAGTAATTTCTTATTAACTTAACCATTAGCAAATAATAATTTAAAAAAGTCAACCGGAAAGTTTAAGTTTTTCCTTTCTTTTTTATCTTGTTGGGGATGTTAGATCGCCAGAACTCGCTTGATAGATGCCTTGTCTTGGATTTCACGTATGCCAGAATGGGCTCATCAATTGACCTTGAGATTCCATTTCCCACCAGCAAAATCCTTCACTGTGATTGACTGTTGTGTATTTTAGTGTGCTATTTTTGTGACTGTCCCAAGGACGTTTCTATGTAGTATAAATAAACGAGAATTGTGTGCTTGATTGTATTGTGCTTGCTGGGTGTTTGTAGAATATACTTTCTACACTTACCAAGACTTATGATTCACAGCTTGGAATTCAAGGTAGCCTACCTTGACGCTGGTTCACTCTCTCGTTCGTGTTTATCGACTAAGGTGAACTCATAACAGTTTCAAGCGTACCTAGTGACGAACCTAACATATGTATAATGAAAACTTCCATATCTGAAGTTTCCGCTTGTAAAGTCTCGTGTAAAGTTGTTGAAGGTATAACTCTGAAAGGTGTTTCGATAAGCATAATTAAATTCCAGTTTTTATGTGTTCTTTTGCTAATTATCAGTATGCAATCAAATTGAAATGAACTAAACTAACTTTTTGATAAGTGAATAACTCATTCGTCAGTTGCAGTTCTCTATAATAAGTAATTGCAATTTTAATGACGTGCGTTTAAGTAATATATACATTTTTATATATATAACTAGTAATTAATTATGATAACTATGTGACCAAGTGACTAAGCTTTTGATATAATGGCTATGAGAATTACTTGTATGCTAAAAGATTGATTAAATTATTTGTTGATTTGTACTTTTATAACTAGCGGTCATAGTACAATTTTTAGTTAAAAAAAAACGTTATTGATTTGATTCTATAAAAAAAACTAGACACATTTTTACGTTTAAGCACAGTCGAGCAATCTAAGAGTTAAAAATTGATGTGTTTGTAATCTGATCAATTGTTAATATTTTCCCTGGATTGTGTCTTTAAATTAACAATGATAGTTTGAGTTTTCAAGCAGTTATTCATTTTTTTATCATGCTGAATTAACTGACAAAAAGATATTGTGTCATTAATTGAGATTTTCGTCTAAAATGAATGGATAGCTACTGCTTCAAATAAAACTTTGAAGCTACTTACTAAGATGTATAAAAAAGATAGATTTAATAGCAGTAATGTGTTAACTCTGATTGAAATATTTATAAGATAGTTTTGTCTAAACTAACAGATTAAAAAAAATCGCTCGATACACTTGTAGCCAGTGATTGCTAAAAATCAATACTCATTATTAAACAAAACGGTCCTTGTTATTTTTTCATTGAATGCTGAATATCAATAGCTGAGAATATGTGTTGCTCTATTCAGTTTAGTTTGCCTGAATGTTCAGTACCATCACTCACTAAAGTTGTTACATTTGGGTGCCTACAGTTTTCAAAGAGGTCAAAAGTCTTTCAGCAGAATGTCTGTGTTAATTTCCTTTGAACACTATGCAGTGAAAGTGTTAGGATATTGATCCAATATCCTAAGAGAATTATTGGTCAATTCCTATTGGTTAATTCCTACTGGTCAATTTTATGGTCGTCCTAGATATCAATGTCACGTGCTCCAATGTTATTTCCTATTGTTTGTCCTGACTATCAATGTCACTTCAAATGTTGCTTCCTATGCCAATGTCACAGACTTCGATGCTGATTCCTGTTCGACCAAAATGCATAAATACGCATTATCTGTAACGTTTTACGACCAGGACCAGGACCCGGTCCCGGACCCCCAGTCCAGGATCCTGATTTTCTTCTGGACTCTGAACTCGTACTTTCTGGATGCTTGTAGAATACAGGTTCTACTTCATATCAAGTCTTGTCTTCTTTTACTCAATATGGGGGCTGGGATAATCGGATTTGAGTAGCATGTCGTGTCACCGGATCCTCGATCCTCGCTCTCGTTTTCCGACTAAGGTAAACTCGAAATAGTTCAAGCAAATCAAGTTGACGTGTTTACGTGCTGGCGTAACAGAAAGCTTAGTTGAAGATTATCAACCAGCAACACTAGTAATTTTTTTCTTGATAAACGTGTTTGTCTACCAAGTAGGATGTATATTTTCCTCATGTCTCAACTAATGAAAAAAATTGTCTATCTTATCACATTCTGAGCATAACCTATGTACAGTTTTATTCAAGCGGCACGGTATACCGTTTTTCTAATAAGATAAAAGGTTTTTTTCACAGTAATTTCATAACACATTTTCATATTCTTCAGTCAAGTAGTAATTTGTCGACAACTTCTATTATTTTTTTTCATACATATAACTAAACATACAGTTGTGTACTATTCATATTTCAAAGGTAAATTACTTGACTTACAGCTGAAAAAGGAGTAATAATTGATTAGAGAAAAAAAGCATTGTTGTTTATAATTTGTATGCGTCGTTTCTCAACTTTATATAGTTATTAAGATGATAGTATGAATGTCTTGTTATTGTTTCAACTTCATGAGGTGAAATCTATTGATCATTTGTTTTTGTTAGTGTTGTTAACTGATAAATATTTAACATTTTTTTGTGTACCTATTGTAACGGAACTTTTGTTAATCTGTCGAACTCTCATATGATTTCGAGATGGCGGAGAAAATTTGTAGTACAGGTGGAGGATTGTTGTGGTGCTGAGGATGTTGTTCAGAAGAACAACGAAAGCACAACCGAAACATCAAGCTCAGAGAACGAAACACCACAACAATCTGTAGAACAACTAGGAGACGGAGATAATGACATCCTCCTAGTGATGTTGTTAGAGTACTTGATATAATTTTGTTATGGATTAGTACAAAGTTGACAGAAATCAAATAAGTTGAAGAATTTTAGAGGTTTAATATTTTGAATATGTCTCTCAATACTGTCAAATTTATCATTAAGACTCACTGGATGTAACTTGCTTTCTGGTGGACTACTTTATGTGATGTCTGTTTATACTACCTGGTCGACTTTCGCTATTGTAGATGAGAACGATTGTTTGAAACTATCATTATCTAGTGGTTTGAAGCTGAATGATTAAATCTTTAATCTACATTCTGCCATAAATTGATAGTGTTTAAAACATTTGAAAAGTTTTCACAGCTTTTATAAAACTTTGTCAGAACAAATTAAAAATATAAGTTATCGGTATTTTAATTTTGGTTTATTGATGTTTGTTGGACCAATCTGTTCGACCCTAAAAACATTTTTGGTAAAAGATCTTCATCTCAGTTTAACTTCACTGAAAGAAAATGGAATGAATGATTGATTTTTGGGTAGAGTTGGGTTCAAATCCCTGTAGATTCATGGATATGCGATAGAGTGAAGTTTGAAACAGTTGTTTGATAGCTCCTTAGTTTTCAGTTATAGATGATGGATATTGTTTCAGGAAATCTTGTGTATTATTATCTGGACAGTGTCTCTATTAAAAGCAATAATGGTGATTGGACAGAAGTAGACAGATATTAAGATACAATCATAAAATCTGGTTGTTATTGTATTGGAGATTTTTGAAAGTTTACATTACAGACTGATCTCGAATAAACACCCATTGAGAAATCGAAGCACTGGATGGCTGCTTCGTCGTAGTTTGGGATTCCTATGCAAGATGCGTACACGACTAGACACCCAAGATCTTTCATCTCGCACCTGAACTCTAAGCCATCAGATCATTTAGCCGGAACTCAATTGTTTGCAACTGCAACTTTAGTCAATCAAAGGCATCGCGCAACCCTTATCTCATGGCCTGTGGTGGAAAATTGTTTCACACCTGACACAGAGTTAAGATTGTTTTTGTTTATTAATTTGATTAATTTAAGTACTGTTTTTTTTATTTTTCACTGTCAACAACTAAAAAATGTTTGTTCCTGACAGAAATTGATTAATTTAATAAACTAAACAATAAGATGGTCCTTAATTTTTTTTCCAACTAATACCATATGATTTCATATTCGATATTGTGTATTCTTTTATGTCATTTCTCTTTTCAAGGATCAACGGCAAAATGGTTTATGTATTGGATTCAATTATAAAGGTATTTCAATATTTAAGGATGGTTGCAGTATCAATGAATTTGAATGGTAAGTATGCTTATTTTTCATTCAAATTCACATTTTTGTCATTAGCTTACAGTCAGTGACATGTTCAATATGAATTACTTGTTTTTACAATAGATTTAGTAAACACTATTCAAATAAAATGTCTTGAAAACTGATTGTCAAATGATCATTTCACGGTCCCATTTTTTTTATTATATCACATGTTTTTAGATTTGAAAGTAAATGATAACTTTAGTCGGTTATCATTGAAATGGAGTAGGCATTGATTAATTACACTAACAGTAAATGTCGACATTTTGATGATTAAAACTGGTTTTTAACATATATTTGCCAACTTTATAGTTCAATTGTCTAGACACTAAATTTTAAAGTTGTCAAAAATACTTTTAAACTTTATTTTTTACATTGTTAGTATAAAGTATTCATGTAATGAGTATGACTCAGTAAGAAAATTGAGATTGAATAATAAAACAAAATTTACTGAAGGCTTTTTAAATTAAACTCATCCATGTTTACTGTTGTCAGTCTCTTTCTTATTAAACAGAGACAATGATTACGAAGTGTCTGGGTCTTATGATTTTGACTGAACCATTTAAAACTACAATGTTAATGACAAAATGGAGATGGGTTACGTATGCACGTAAAGACGTCAACTTGATTTGCTTGAACTTTTGCCAGTTTACCTTAGTTGGAAAACGAGAGCGAGGATCGAGGATCCGGCGACACGACAGGTTACTCCAATTCGATTGTCCCAAACCCCCATTGAGTAAAAGAACAAGACTTGATGTGAAGTAGAACATGTATTCTACAAGCATCCAGGAAATACGAGTTCCGAGTCCAGAAGAGAATCAAGATCCCGGACCAAGGATCCAGGTCCGGGTCATAAAGCGTTACAGATAATGTGTATTTATGCAGTTAGGTCGAATAGGAAACAACATTGAAGTTTGTGACATTGACAGTTAGGACGACCAATAGGAAGCAACATTTGAAGTGACATTGATAGTCAGGATGACCATTAGGAATTGACCTTTATTTGTACTGTGCAAATTAAACTAGAACAGTCTCTTATATGCTTCTACTTCATTGTAACTATTAGTCAAAATATATAATCTATGGCTGTTAAAATGATTGCTTTCTTATATTGTGCTGATATTACTTAGTAGTATATGTTATTTCACTTAAAAATAAACAATAAAATGAAAAGATGAACAACACATAAATATAGTGGAGGTATCATGACCTAGTTGATTAAAAGTGAATTGAACATGACTTATAGCTATTTCTATTCAACTTTCTATAAAATCTATATTTAACAAGCCTATACCCTTGTTGCACAAGTTGTTTGAATATTTGGTGACGCTTTTGGTTGGTTTCAGTTTTTTACGTATCAGATTTTGTCAATGTTCAGACTTAGCTTCTACACCACCAGTTGACACATATTTTCTGAAACTAAAGATAACATCAAGGCAATCAGCACAGGATCCACATATGCCAAGGAGAGATTGATCGGTTGCGGTTCTAAATTGTCAAGGACGTTAGATCCCCAGAACTCACTTGAAAAGTCTTAATTTTGTAATCTATCCTGAAATTTTCAATTTCTTTTCGCGCATAAGACGCTCAGTTGACTTTCAGCTCACATTTATTTCTCACTCGGAAAATCCTTGACTGTCATTGGTTGATGGATTAGTGCAGTACGCTGTTTTGTGGCTCTCTAAAGGAAGTTTCTATCATGTATAAATTAGCTCGATTTGTGTGCTTGTCAACCTCCTATTTCTGGGTGCTTGTAGAATACGCTTTCTACGCCTTATCAAGACTTCTTGATATAGTTAGCGGGGCCTGGGACAATCAGATTAGAATAGCTTATCCTGTTACTGCATCATTTATACGCACTACATTTACCGGGTAAGGTGAACTCATAATAGTTTCAAGCATATCAATTCACGAGCATATCATAAACATCATGGTTTCAAAAATGTGTAACTTAACAATCTTCACAACCCCGTAATGCATTTAGTTTATTGACAAGTATTAGTCGGTATTAATTAATGGGAGTGTAGTTTTCGTACTAATTAATTTTCATCATTTGGAAAACTAAGTTTGCAATTTCAAATTAAATTCCATAACTCTGTAAAGCTGATTTTGTTGTCTAAAAATAAAAGACAGACATAAATGTTATTAAAAATTATTAAGTTTCTAAACTTGGTAAATATAGCTCATTTTATAAGTTGAACACATGACAATAACAAATCACTCGTCATCAATGTGTGTGTGTTAGCAAAAACTTCAATCGAACATTTTTACTCAAACTTATGAAAATGTATTAACAGTTATGTAATTTATTGTATTTTAGGCTTGATTCAATCAGTTTATGATTTCTCATTTGTTGCCATAAACTAATATCTTTGATAATCTAAAAGGATTCTTTATTAGGATTAAGGTTTTGTGAAGAGATCATTACATTGCAGATTACATCAAGCAGAATAATCTTTGCTAACCATAGACAATGATCATTCTGTGCAGAGCATAGCTAGAACTCTAAATCCTAAAGTTTCATACTTGACATGAAAACTTAAGAATACAATGGGCTAAATTTTCATATTAAGTTCATTCTGTAATTTTACTGAAATTGGTTAAGTTAAATTCAGAAACTTACTGGTCATTAGTTTTACTTTGTCTGTCAGTCAGTCAGTAACAACGTAGATCTTCGTACGTATGTACATCAGTTCAGGTTGCCATACCACATTAGCACAGAGAGGCAACTGTCAGTTCAAATCCCATAGTAGCAGATACAGTAGAACATTAGGGTTCAAAGAGATGATTCGAGTAGTATAATTCAATGACATAACTCTAGAAAGAGAAAGATAGAGATGATGAAGAATTCGGAAGGTTAGAAATTGAGAGAACATAAAGAGTGGATGCACCTGCACCATTGCAAACGACCTTGATCCATGTCGTCTAAGGTCCCTAACCATCGGTGACTTTCATCTCGCGGACCCCAACCAGGTAGTCGACATCTACCAACATGACTCAGTTCACTTGTTAGTGATTTCATGGATTTGTGCCATGTTTTGGTTTGGCCGCCCCTAGCTTTCTTCCAACCTACTCCTACACTACAAACTATCGCTTGTCGAGACAATAGGTGGTTGGGCATACGTAACACATGTCCAGTATGCCTACCCACCGACTACCTGGACGAGCTATGTTTTGTGGTGTAGTAGCAAGTTGGAAGACAGCTAAAAGGCGGCCAAATCAAAACAATTAATCGATTAGTTGTCGCAAACGCTTATCAGTTCAAAATAAAAAATACCCACAGGTTATGTAGTTTGTATTGACAATAAACTGAGTATTATCCAGCGTTTTTTCTGTCATTAACCCTGGAATAATCCATATGATCTTGCTATTTCTTAGTATGCTATTCACTTTTTAGTTTATAAGGGTTGCAACAGCATATTACTTATTTCTAATTCATGAAATTCTCAATGTACTTAATTTCCATATTGAAATTGTCCATCAATCATTGTTAGACCAACATTAGAAACCTGAAAGCACTAGATAGCCGCTTCTTCCTGGTATGGGACTCATCATCAGTGCGCATCCAAGACTTCTGATACCCACAGGGTTCGAACCCAGGACCTTTGAAATTACGAGCGAACGCCGCACTTCTGGACCATATTGCCTCAATTTTAACAACTTTTGGTCACTAAAATCTAAACAAAAATGGATTAATCCTTCTCTGGATTTGTATTAGCAAATTTTCAACTCATTTAATTGTCAATCTACTGAATGAGATCCATTTCTTATGAGATTGTTGTTATGAATACAAGTCTTATTATCAAATATTCTGTTTGACGTACATATGCATAATACTACTATCATTTTACAGGGCATTTATTAAAAACATTTATCCAGACAAAAAGAATTTGGTTTTGGTCGTTAGTGGCAAACCGGTAATTACTTTTGTTAATCAGTAATTTTTATGTCAAGTTCAATTTTTTTTACAAAAAAAATCCAACTTACATTGTATTAGCGAATGCACGTAAATAATAGTAAATGTTTTTATTTTGTCCTGTTTCATTTTAATACAATCACCATTTTTTGTTCAACCTCGGCATTGTTTCGATCGTTTAATGACATCTCCTTACAAAGCTAAACAAATCCTACAGATAATTGGTGTTGGTTTAATCATTGAAATCATGAATCGATCAATTTTCGATCATCATCAGAAACCTTGAAGCACTGGACTGTCGTTTCGTCCTGGTATGGGACTTATCAGCAGTGCGCAGTGCCAACTTCCCAACCGGGACCATTGCAAAAATGGTGTTTGGTGGTAATAGTTGTTGAGTTACACTATTCAAAATAGGTTGCAATAGCTTCATTACATCAATTCTTTGTGTCTCGTTAAATCTCCAGTTTACTGTCATTTATAATTTCGACTATGAGTAATTTGTATACTAATAATGCAAACAATGGCGGATACTACCCCTAACTCAGGTCCCATATGAATAAATCATTACCTGACATGAGAGTGTTTGAGCCCATTTTCATCAAATTCGGCTGCATCTCTTGCTATCTTATGCCATACTGTGTGTATAGCATATGCTATACTGCTATATAGAGCTGAAGGTTTCTAATGAGAACAGAGGTTAGCTGTGAACATTGTGGACGGCTTTGCATTGCTTTGGAAAGTATTGCTAACAGTCCGTATACAAAACTGGTTAGCAGGATGACCGATTTCATTGATACTGATGGTTAATTTGCAACATTATCGATGGCCATTGTCAATGCATATCACCATTGCTAATAATAATGAGCTTGATAGTCATGTCAGTGGGATGGGTCAAATTGGTCTGTTCATGCGGTGCATATTGATTGACTTGATCATGGATCGGAAGTAATCACTATATATGTACTAGTGTATATAAATGGTGTGAATGGTCTACCAGGGTGTCAGGTACCTGTTTGGTTGCTCCACAGGATTAAGCTGAACTGTTCACGTTGAAATAGTAACACGTGAGCAGTCTCCTTGGTTCTCCTAAAAGTCAATGTAAAATCACCCTTGACAATAGAGGGCCGATATATATAATTGTAAATAATAAACTTAACATAACAATCATAAACTTAGCATTTCTTACGAATTTGCTTTCATATTATTCTTTTTTTCAGTTAGAAGATGAAAGAGATCTTGTTCTTGGGTTTAAATGTAAATCACCTTCAGAAGCCAAAACGATATGTTTACGAGCACTCAACTGTAAAACATTTAACGAGTATGTTACTTGAAATTCATTAGTTACTGTGAATTAAATGTGCTATTATTTTTTTATATCATATGGATCTTTTTCACAGATTTTTTACTGTTTCATAGTTTCTTCTCTTAACTTCATCAGATAAATATTATGTCTGAATGTTTTCAGTTTAAAATCATTTTCGGTAGGTTGTAGTTATTATGTTAAATAAATCCTCACCTACCAGTCTATCATAACAGTTACAATAGACACACTGCTTTCGATTATAATTAGCTTCAGCTACTTTTGTGAAAAGTTCTCTACTCAGGCCATGATTACAACACTAGAAGCATAACTAATAATTCTATTTTCTATTCAAGTAAACCAATCAGAATGACATTAACAAGCGCATTATGAATCAGAGAACATAGTATATGGAGTGTGAATATCAATAATGGACATGAATGAATTTAGGACTGTTTTTCGAAATTAGCTGATGGATAAGCTCCTGATATACCACACAAGAATAATGCGAAAGAGGACAGGAAAAGGCCAGACTCATTTCGATAGGGAAGTGAATCAATGCTTATAAATGAGGGAAAAGTTAATTGTGTTAGAGATCCAATGGTCCAACTTATAATTTAAAATACTTGAACTACTTGCTATTTGTAAGTAGCATGAAATTTAAACCACAAGAAATAGTGTGACTGAATGTTAATCAATTCAAAGCATGGTTGTTTAACTAAACTGAAGATTTTAACAACGCTTCTCAGATATAAAAACTAATGGTTATTTTTATGATGGTTACTATGATCAGTCTACGTAACTAATCAGCATTTTCAGATGAAGATATTCTTAATTGCGATCAATTCGAAAGTTAGTTTAACTAGTTCAGAGATAGGAACCATATAGAAAATATTAATTATTATTGATGGTTTTTGTAGTAGGACTTAAAATATGCTCCCGTTGTGTGATTCTTACCTTATTACACTGAAATATCCACATTACATACATCAAATTAACGACAAATATAGAAGGAGTTAAGCAATTGTTAATGTGATGATTGGTGTAATAACATTTACATAATTGATAAGAAAGCGACACCATTTAATGCAGACCCCTTTCAATGCCAGACTTCCACTTTTTGATTTTTATTATTATTTGTAAGACTTAAAACATTACAACCGTTGTCATTTCACAAAACCTTCCGGTTAATTTAGTGTTTCCAGAAAATGGTTATAAATATAATTGTTTGTTAGAGTAAAACTGAGCAAGCCTTAATTGAGGACAACATTGTTTGTTTAAGTGTCTGGTTTCAAATTGTCTTAAGTAGTGAACTTTGTTATCCAATAAGAGCATTGAACAGATATACGCATATTCACGTAAAAAATAACTTGATTGTTTTTATAGATATAAACTAGTTATTTGAATAATATTTTTCGATGAAAATTCAGTTATTTGATAACATTTTGGTGCATTCATAGTAATGATTGCTTGTGATGCTGTTGGATGAAAATAATTAGTATATAACATTTTATTCTTAAAAAATAATCTCTGCACTACTATAAACCAATTAAGTACTATATACATAGAAGATAGCAATCTTCTCTACTATGTTAATTATTATTATTTAAAGCAATTAGTCCCTTGTAAATATTTTGAAAGAAAATAATGAGAAGACATAGTTAATCTAAAAAATCATGGACCTAATACTTTCAAATGGTTATCCACTGCATTTTATAAATAGGTGTAATTGTTAGTCAGCACCAAAAGCCTCCCGTTAGTTCTGCTGCGAAGGAAAATGTTTCTAGTGATAAATGAAACAGTGAGTTTTTAAGACCAGAGACTGAATGCAACCAACCATTGAGAAAACATATATTACACTGCTAAACTGTCTATGGTTGAAAGGACTTAGCTTATTGTTATGTCCTTTGCATGAGTCAGTCAGTCAGTTGCAACGTAGAACTTCGTACGTAAGTACATCAGTTCATGTCGCCTACCACATCAGCACAGAGATATAATTGTCAATTCAAATCCAATAGTAGAAGAGGTAGTAAAGGTATTTTAGAAGTAATCGGAGAAGTTAGAATTATTATTCACGAAGTATGATTCAATGAGATAAGTTTAGAAAGTAAAAACTAGAGGTGTTGAAGAACCCAGAAGATTAGGATTTGAGAGAACACAAAGCATGAATGCACTGGCGCCATTGCGAACGATTTTGAGCCATGTCATTCAAGGTCTCTAGCCATCGATTATTATCATCTCGCGGACCCCAACCAGGTAGTCGACAATTACCGACATGGCTAAGTCCACTCGTCAATGACTTCATAGATTTATGCCATGTTTTGGTCTGGCCGCCCCTAACTTTCTTCCAACCTACTCCTACACTACAAAACAAAGCTCGACGAGGCAGTCGGTGGTTGTGCATACGCAACACGTGACCCAACCACCTCAACTGATGAAGTTTCACCACTTCATCGATTGATCTGCCATTCTTACCTAGTACCCGTTTCCTAATAACAGCGTTGCTCACTCGGGTGTCCCACGATATACGAGCAATGCTTCGAAGACACCTATGATCGAAAACCAATAACCGACGAGTATCTTCTACTCTCATTGGCCATGTTTCACAGCCATAAAGTAAGACGGAGCGAACCACTGCACAGTACACTCGTCCTTTAGTCAGCAAACGGATATCTCGCCTACGCCATAAGTGACGCAGGTTGGCAAAAGCTAATCGAGCCTTCTGTATCCGCGCCGAGATTTCGTCAGTCACCAGGCCATCAGCACTGATGAGACTCCCAAGATAAGTGAAGTGGTCTACACGTTCGACCACTTCACTCCCTATCACTAGTTCAGGTGCCGATGCAACCCAGTCTTGAAGCAACATTTTGCATTTCGAGGGGGAAAACCGCATCCCGAACATGCTTGCATTGTTGCTTAGGGTAGTCAGAAGACTCTGCATTTTGTCAGCGTCTTCACCAAGTAGGACTATGTCATCGGCATATTCTTAAAAAAAAAAAAAAAAAAAAAAAAAAAAAAAAAAAAAAAAAAAAAAAAAAAAAAAAAAAAAAAAAAAAAAAAAAAAAAAAAAAAAAAAAAAAAAAAAAAAAAAAAAAAAAAAAAAAAAAAAAAAAAAAAAAAAAAAAAAAAAAAAAAAAAAAAAAAAAAAAAAAAAAAAAAAAAAAAAAAAAAAAAAAAAAAAAAAAAAAAAAAAAAAAAAAAAAAAAAAAAAAAAAAAAAAAAAAAAAAAAAAAAAAAAAAAAAAAAAAAAAAAAAAAAAAAAAAAAAAAAAAAAAAAAAAAAAAAAAAAAAAAAAAAAAAAAAAAAAAAAAAAAAAAAAAAAAAAAAAAAAAAAAAAAAAAAAAAAAAAAAAAAAAAAAAAAAAAAAAAAAAAAAAAAAAAAAAAAAAAAAAAAAAAAAAAAAAAAAAAAAAAAAAAAAAAAAAAAAAAAAAAAAAAAAAAAAAAAAAAAAAAAAAAAAAAAAAAAAAAAAAAAAAAAAAAAACATGAACCAATACATAGACACCCGATGACCACCGGTTCAATATTCCTAACTGTATTTCAGACATTGCTTCATATACACACAAACCCAGCGCACATCTCATCAATAAATGGCAATTATCAACTATGCATGGGTAATCCAAAGGTGGCTGTGAGTAGAGAGAGACTGTGAATAATAAACCGTCCCACAAAAATAGAAATAATAGATTAGGTGATAGTAATTTATGAGTTAGTAGAAAGTATATAATAAGAGAAATAGTTATACCTGATAATCTAGTTGATTGATAATTCTACTATTCGATAATTCATATCAGCACCACCAGTTTTCTCCAACCAACTCCGTCTTGAGCTTCCCTCTCCAGTTCTGTCGAATGTTTGTTCATTCCTCTCATATCTTTCTCTATTTCTCGGCGTAGTGTGTTCCTTGGCCTTCCTCTTTTCCTTTTGCCTTGAGGGTTCCATGTGAGGGCATGTCTTGTGACGCACTTTGGTGCTTTCCGTAGTGTGTGTCCTATCCACTTCCACTGCTTCTTCCTGATTTCCTCCTCTACTGGAATCTGGTTTGTTCTCTGCCACACTAAATTGTTGCTGATAGTGTCTGGCCAAAGAATCCGAAGTATTTTGCGTAGACAGCTGTTAGTAAACACTTGTATCTTCTGGATAATGCCTTTCGTAGTTCTCCAACTTTCCGCTCCATACAGTAGAACTATCTTGACATTTGTACTGAAAATCCTGATTTTGGTTTTGGTTGAAAGTTGTTTGGAGTTCCAGATATTTTTCAACTGTAGAAATGCAGTCCTTGCTTTTCCGATCTTCGCCCTCACATCTGCATCGGATCCACCTTGATTGTCGATGATGCTGCCCAGATATGTAAAGGTGTTAACGTCCTCCAAGGCATCTCCATCAAGAGTGATTTGGTTGGTGCATGTTGTGTTGCATTGGAGAATTTCGCTTTTTCCTTTATGTATGTTGAGACCTACTGCTGCAGAGGCTGCTGCTACACTGGTCGTCTTCTCTTGCATTTGTTGTTGCGTGTGCGATAGAAGAGCCAGGTCATCTGAGAAGTCCGAATCGTCCATCTGCGTCCTAACTGTCCAGTTGATACCGTGCTTCCCTCCAGACGTCGAGGTCTTCATAATCCAGTCGATGGATGACCAGGAGAAAGAGAAAGGGTGAGAGTAAGCAACCTTGCCTGACACCAGTCTTCATCTCGAAAGAGTCTGTCAGCTGACCACCGTGCACGATTTTGCAGTTGAATCTATGATAAGAATTCCGTATGATGTTAACTATTTTCTCAGGCACACCGTAGTGTCGAAGAAGCCTCCATAGTGTCTTCTTGGCTACGCTATCGAATGCTTTCTCGTAGTCGATGAAGTTGATGTAGAGTGGTGAGTTCCATTCAATTGATTGTTCCACAATGATCCGTAATGTAGCAATTTGGTCAGTACACGATCGATCCTTACGAAATCCGGCCTGTTGATCTCGATGTTGGGGGTCTACTAAGTCCTTCATTCTGTTTAACAATACTCTGTTGAAGACTTTGCCTGGTATTGAAAGAAGAGTGATGCCTCTGTAGTTCTCACACTTGCTGAGATCGCCTTCTTTGGTAATTTGATCAGGTATCCTTCTTTCCAATCTGATGGTACTTGTTCCTCATCCCAAATCTTCTTAAAGAGGTTGTGAAATATTTTCGCAGTTGCTTCTACATCTGCTTTCATTGCCTCTGCTGGAATGTTGTCTGGTCCTGCTACTTTGTCGCTCTTGATTTGTGTGATGGCCATACTGATCTCCTCAATCGTAGGTGCGCCAATATTAATTGGGAAGTCGGTGGATGCTGCTTTGATGTTGGGTGTGTTCAGTGGAGCTGTTCGATTCAGGAGTTCTTGAAAGTGCTCTACCCACCTATTTCGCTGTTCTACAGTGTTGCCGATTACTTTGCCTTCTTTGCTTTTCACTGGTCGTTCTGGTTTACGATAGTTTCGGGCGAGCTTCTTTGTTGTTTCGTACAATTATCTCAAGTTTCCGTCTCTTGCAGCCTTTTCCGCCATCATTGCTAGATCTTCCACATATTTCGTTTGTCAACTCTGATGCTCTTCTTCACTTCCCTATTTGCTTCTGTGTATGCAGCTTGTGCGGTAACTTTCTCTGCTCTTGTTCGGCTGACATTGATTGCTGCCTTCTTGTTCCTCCTTTCTTCAATTTTTGCAAGAGTATCAACAGAGATCCATTCCTTATAATGGTACTTCTTGTGATCCAGAACTTCGTGAAATGTTGAAGTGATTGCCTCCTTAATCCCTTTCCAATTGTACTCCAATGTTGCTTCCTCTCCATTGAGTAGATCCTGAAAGGCCTGGAACCTATTGGTGAGGGCTATCTTGAATTCGTTGAGTTTTACGGTATCCCGAAGAAAGGCCGTATTAAACTTCTGTGATGTTGTCTTCCCCGTTGTCCAGTGCTTCTTTAGTTTCAGTTTCATTTTGGCGACCAGCAAATGGTGATCTGAAGCTATATCAGCTCCTCTCTTGGTTCTCACATCCTCCATGGTCCTTCTGAACTTTTTGTTGATACAGATATGGTCAATTTGGTTTTGAGTAGTGTGGTATGGGGAAATCCATGTGGCTTTGTGAATGCGTTTGTGTGGGAATATTGTGCTTCCGATGACCAGTTTGTTTAAGGCACATAGGTTTGCAAATCTCTCACCGTTTTCGTTCCTTTCTCCCAGTCCATGTCGTCCCATGATTTCTTCATATCCAGTGTTGTCCATTCCAACCTTGGCATTCAGGTCTCCCATAAGAACCGTCAAATCCTTTGGTGAACATTTCTCGACGATTGACTGCAGCCTTTCGTAAAATTGATCTTTAACGTCGTCATTGTAGTCATTGGTGGGTGCATAACATTGGATGACGTTCATTGTAATGTCCTGTTTCTTTGTTTTGAAGGATGCTTTAATGATCCTGGGTCCATGAGATTCCCATCCTATTAGTGCCTTTTGTGCATGTTTGGACAGCATCAGTGCAACTCCTTGTGTATGTGAAGCATTTTCCTCTTCATGACCACAGTATAACAGCAGTTCCCCTGATGCTAGTCTCAGTTGTCCTGTGTGTGTCCAATGCAGCACCTCGAGGTTGTATCTTTTCATTTCTGCCGCAACTTGAAATAGTCTTCCAGTCTCCCACAATGTACGAACGTTCCATGTACCTAAAAGAATGGTTGCTCTGGTTGTCAGAAGAGGCGTGGTCCCCGTTACTTCCGAGGGAACTCGGCTTTCATCAAGCGACTTCATAATTCTTCTTCCAACTCCCAGGGCAGAGTTAAAATGGTTTGAATTATATTTTTCTGGTTAGCGTTTTTTTGGCAAGTTATATTTCGACGGAACGGGGTCGTCAACCCCATGTCCAACCCTTCTCCTTTATCCGGGATTGGGACCGGCAGTAGCCCCTAAGGTCCTACTGGCGGAGTTAAATGAAACGGAGCGTAGCATTAATACAGCCTTTAAAATACTGTATTGAAATTGTCAAGGATGAATTCTAAGCTTTTCATCTTTATCTTTCCCTACTATGTTAATTTTCTCTTGCCTTTGTTTACAATTGTCACTTTATGTCTGTTCGAACTTTTATGTAATTGACCTACGTTAATTTTCATATAAAATGCCTTGAAAAGCGTGTATGTGACCAGATTGTTCGAAATGTATACCGCAAATACATTACATTTTTCAGATCAACTTCATATTCCCATTGTTTTATCATAATTATTATTATTAGTATTATTATGTTCAGTAATCCAAAGGATTGAAATTTCCTAAAACAAGAATTATATCACGAAATAATTCTCATGACATATATGTAGGATTCAATTTGTCCTACAGATGTTATTCTCGAACGGTAAACGCAATATTGGCGAGCACAGAGTCTATGGGAAAGCTATAGTTAGAACAAGACCAATTTTGCTTTAAACTTTATCTGTTTCTAAACATAAAAACAATTAAATTAGTACAATAAATAAGGAAATTACAATTATCAAGTAAGACGAGCAAACATACCGACCAATATAGCGTGTCTTATGGAAATGAATAAAACTATGACTCACATCAATATAATAAGATAATAATGTTCTTCAGTTAGTAGGTCATTTACAACAAAGAAAGTTTATAGACATGTCAGATCAGATCAAGTGGTGGGAGCTTAAACCACAATTTGATTGGTTAGTTATGACATAACTACAATTCGTTATAGAAATAACTAACAATATATTATATATGATATATATATTTAATTATTGTTTAGGATACACTATTGTTTCTCATATTTCATCCTATAGAGTACAATTACAGGAGATGTCTCTTATTCCTCGACCTTTTAGAACATCTACTATTTTAGCTTATCGGTAAGTTATTAGTTATAAGTTATTCAACTTGAATAAAATAACAAACAAACAACCTCTTAGTTCATTGTCATGATGATTATATGTGTGTGCATAAATTTTCATCTAAAAGTTTTTTTTTGAGTAACAACTCTTCATTCGGATCATTCATCTCATTTGGTGTAACCGATTGAAAATTCATCATTCATTAACCTCGAATTCATTTATTCCTAAACAATAAAATTAATATATTCATGCACAAGTTAACATTCATTTGTATCAAACCCAAAAATCAATTCAAATAATTTTACATAGGGCGTTTATGTCGCTTAGATGTCGTTTCGGCTAAGCTAGCCAATGCTTATTTTTGATACAATTCGTTAAACTGTAATACTTTGCAACTTATGATGATTGCTTACTGAACTTCACTAACTTATCGTCTCATTTATTGTAACATGGAGGACATTGAAATTAAACATTAAAATATATATATATATATATCCTTAGTCATTGAGGTTTTTGTGATGCAAATGATTGACATAAATCTTCCACTTCACTCGATATATTTATTACATGCTGACTAATCTCATTTAAGTGATAGTGGTAAAAACAAACAGAAGTTGAATGAATTCATTTCATGCTTTCGTTTCCTCGGACAGACATGAAAATGTGATGCAAGAAAGCGAAGTGAAAACATAGTGGAGAAGGCCAGTAGACTAACGCCTTTTTATTATACATAGTTCACTTTGATAGCCAGATAAAAATACGCTAATGACATTTGATGAATAGAGTAAGCAGTACATACATATTGTAACACGTGTAACCAGCAGTCGTTGAAGGGCGGATAGGATCTAAAATCACAACAAACAAGGTTAGTTTAAAACACCTCACACAAAGAGAGAACACGAAGTGGTAGCTACGACACTCTATTATTTAAAAATTAAAATACGCGGGGTTTGTACAGAAAAGGGTGGGTAGTTTACCGAAGTCTTATGAGTCATCTTGTAAGTTCAGAGCACTCAGGGCTTGTTCTTCAGCTTCCAAAGCGTCTATGTTTGATCGCCCTGAAATAGAAAGAAAACAGAACGGGTTAGCAACATCACACATGGTAATTTTGACTCCGTTACAATATTACACTTTAAAAAAAGCAGTCAGTATTAAAATAGAATAATTGACAGGGTTTAAACATATGTGGACTAGAGAAAAATAAAGTAGTTGGTCTGTCCAAAAGTTAGGATAATCTTTGTAGGATTGACATAGTAATTAGTTACTACAAGGTGCCTGTTCCTATTTATGTTGTTACAGAATATTTTAACTTAGTCATTTATATAACATAATATCTTACGCTCATAGTAAAATACAAAAACCCAAACAGTTATCTCATCACTTAACCTCTACACTTCTTTATCGTTTAGCCGTGAATATCTCTACTATACACTCTGTAATCAGTAAATAAATACTGAATCATGTTTGTGATGGGGTTTCGTTCTCCTAACTGGATGCTTTGGTTGCCGAGCTTCCATAGTTCTTCTGAACCATATCATCGGCACAAACTTCACATAGAAGCGAAGTATTCGAATTTCTCTACGTTTGTCCTCTTTACCTCGTTCTTGATTGGTTGTTATGACAGGTTTAAGGCCAATAACAACCAATCAGGATCGAGGTCAGCAGGACATACGTACAGAAATTCGAATACTTCAAATTTACCTGTAGTTTGTGCTGATGATATTATTAAGAATAACAACCAGAGCATCCGGCTCAGAGAACGATACTCCACCCTAACCATCTACATGAGCTGCACTGGACGGTTCGAATCACGCGAGGTGCAGGAGTCGTGGATTCGCACTGCTGAGTAGTCCCATACCAGGACGAAACGGCTGTCCAGTGGTTTCAGGTTTCTAATGGTGGTCTAACATTGATTTATGGTTTCAAAAATGTGTAACTTAACAATCTTCATAACCCCGTCATGCAAATTACCTGTGCTCAATAGTGACTAGCTTCGTGAGGAATCTTCTCCGAGTTCTAGTGGGAAGACGTGACCAGTGAAGTTCAACCTGTTCGGGTGTAGACAGTAACTACCGAAGAATGTGTATGAGGTTCCGCAACTCCGTGAATTGATCAAGTTAGACATTAACACCATTAGATACCGGCCCAGTGGTCCGGTGGTTAGGCGTTCGCGCACAATACCGAAGGTCCTGGGTTCGAGTCCCGCGGGGTGCAGGAGTCGTGGATGCTCACTGCTGAGTCGCATACCAGGACCTAACGGCCGTCCAGTGCTTTCAGGTTTCTAATGGTTGTCTAACATTGATCCATTCATGCTTTCAAAAATGTGTAACTTAACAATCTTCACAACCCCGTAATGCGACTAACTTATTGATTTTGGCATTTGCAGATAAGACTGGGTCAAGTTGGTGAAACTTTAAAAACGGCCTCAATGTATTGTTTACTAGTGTGTGAATACAATATGTCTGTCTGTATTAAGATGAGATCGTAAATTATACTCCAGAATATAAGTTAAATTTTGATAAAATAATCGATCATAAATGTTAGCTGTCATTCTTTGTTCGTTGAAAATTTCGTATAATTTGTGGATCCATTAAAATATGGCACACCCTTACACAATTGTTGTTATGCTTGCACGTAGATATGTCAATTTGGTATGCTTGAACTATTACGAGTTTATCTTAGTCGCAAAACGAGTGCGAGGATCGAGGATCCGGCGACATGACGTGCTACTCTAATCCGAGTGTCCCAATCCCCATTGAGTGAAAGAAGACTTGATATAGAGTAGAACCTGTATTCTACAAACATCCAGAAAGTACGAAGTCCGAGTGTAGAAGAATGCAAGTATCTCAAACTTAGGATCTGGGTCTGGGTCCTGGTCATAAAACGTTACAGATAATGCGTATCTATACATTTAGGTCGAATAGGAAACAGCATCGAAGTTTGTGACGTTGACAGTGAAGATGACCAATAGGAAACAACATTGGAGTATGTGACATTGATATCTAGGATGATATCTTGGATATGATATCTTGGATGAATATCCTAATAGTTGTATAGCATTGTCATAACAGTAACTATAACCCTTATACTTTTGAAGTTGAAACTATAATGGAATCGTATGCATTTCAATAATGAAAGTGGTGACCACTGTGAGTACATAGATCTGGTAGCTTAGTGAATAACTTATTAGTGTTTAATCTACAAGGTATTGTGTTCTAGTCTTGATTTAAATCATAACATACATGGAGATAAATCTGTCTTACTAGTCCCAAATTGAATGAAACGTTGCATTCTAGATTTCCCTGTAAAACACATACCAAAAATTACCAAGAAATCATGACTAGAACAGTATATATCAAGGAAGCAATTAAAAAATTGATCATTTACAGTAAAAAAAAAAAAACATCCACAAACAAATTCATCAACTTTGATTAATATTTGATTTTTCTTTTCTTTTCACAGACCATCAGAAATAATTAATCAAGATTCTTTTAGTGATTCATCTGACAGTCTACAGTATTCTTCACTCAGATGGTAAGTAGTGTATATCTACTAAGTACTAGTTACTTCATTATAAATCAATAGAGTTTTAGGATAGCAATAACAGTTGTATCAGTAACGTTAGTTAACTTCTAAATCGCAAGATAATTAATTTAATTTTTTGGTGAGTAGATCTGGCTGTTAATTTGTTGGCGATTTTTCAACTGACATCATTCGGATTACATGAATTCGCTGTTTGATATTCTATGAATGGTCTGTAAAAATCATCCAGTTGTTCGAATATTTTCCTTTTTTCAACAAGTTTGACGCCACATTTAGATGATATGTGCTAAAAAGATCTTGTTTACATATTATTACCTACATGAATAGACAACAATTTATTCTATTTCTTTGAAACGTTCCATTACATCGATTCTATATTGTTGATGACAAGTAATTGGAAAACATTTTCAACAAAAGAGAATGACTTGAATCATAAAAATGTGAATTTTATTATTCATGTTGAAGGGTTGTGAGACTAAATTAGATGATCAAATTAGTCGTGAATCAATCATCGTTGATGACTGCTGACTGTAGAATCCGTAGGATTTGATAATCTCTTATAGTTCCTTAGTATTTATTACTGTTTCTATACATCGTCGCTAATGAGATCATTTTTAATATTATGATACAAGATATAAAGACAGACAGAAAAACAGATACAACGCAGAACTTCGTACGTAAGTACATCAGTTCAGGTTGCCATACCACATCAGCACAGACCCGCAACTGTCAGTTCAAATAGCAATAATTGAAGCAATAATTGAAGTATTAGCAGTAATGGAGAAGATTAGGGAGCGAAGATATGATTCGAGAAGTATAATTCAGTAAGATAAGTTTAGAAGGAGAAAGATAGAGATTATGAGGAATTCAGAAGGTTAGAATTAGAGAGAACACAAAGAGTGGATGCACCTGCGCCACTGCAAACGATTCTGAGCCATGTCATTCAGGGTCTCTAACCACCGGTGACTACCGTCTTGCGGACTCCAACCAGGTAGCCTACATCTACCAAGATATAAAGAGTCATACTATGATGTTTAGTTTGTCAATAATCGTTGAGAAACCATGAAACAAAATGAATTCATGTTTCATTCTTAGTGTTTCATTCAAATTAATTTTTCACTGGTATTTATTATCACTGCTAAAGACATCAATCGATAATTACATATCTTTTTTTTTATAATAAATCTATATATTTTGCAGTAAATATACACCAACGATAGATGTTCACACAGATGTATCATCACCATCAGCTACAACAACAACAACTACAACTACAACAAGTGAACTACGTAAAAATTCAACTAGTTCCGAAGCAAATGCCAGTACAACATGGTCAGTTGATTTTACACAGTTTAGTGGAAAAGAATGTAGTGATTATACAGACGATCAAGATACTGATAATCAAGCGAATCATAATATTAATAATAATGAAGAAGAAGAAAGACACAGATTAACGATATCGTATTTAGATCCTCCACCGAAACCGGTGAATAGAGTTAGTCCAAGGAATAGTTTTGGTGGAAGTATGGAATTACCTATAACAACGGATAAAAAACCACAAATTTCTGATTTATCATGGAAATGTAAACCGATACATCGTTTAGTGAATTCATCTTCTATTAATGTGAATAAGTAAGTTTTTGGTTAAGTATGTGTATATATTATTTTCATAATATGACAAGTTATAGTAATAATTGAATAGCTTACATTTACCTGTTCGATAATAAGTTCAGAAACGTTGATCATTGAACACATTTGGGTAGTCATTTGACATTGAGCGGGATTGTTGTTTCTTGCTGTGGACTAGTTATATACTAAGACTAAACAGATATTAAGTTTTGTGTGGTCTTCAACAGTAGCTAAAATAATTGCTCTGAAGAAAGAAATTGAAATTTCTCATCTTTTTACGGCACATTTTTGCTATCTATTTATCAGTATTTAGAGGATATATATCATCTGGATTGAATTTGAAAAAAAACTTTATGGTTTTTGGAAATGTTATTCGGCTTATGCTTTGTAGATACGTTTAAAAGATTACAATTTGTCTGCGTAATATCTTAGCACAAATTTATATCAGATTGAAATGTGTACGACACAGGTTTGTCAAAGAAATTTAGACTTTGATGAAGCATTGTAATTGGAATATATCTGTATCTAGACTGTTGATTAGAAGCTACAAAGCACTGGATTTATGTTGCTTTTAGTTTTGTGATGATTTAAGTCATTAATGTACATCAGTTTGAGAACCATCGGACGTCAGAGAATACTGGATAGCTATTTCTTCCTGGTTTTAAAAGCCTTTCTAATCAAAACAGATACTGTACACTTACGTTATCTACATTTATGCCGAAAGTTACAAGCTAATGAGAAAAATAACTAACTTCAATCTCAATATCAAAATACGGGATACCTCCCAATAAAAAATATCGAAATTTCCTACGATTGTATATAGTTTACTCGACATTGGTATGAATGTTATGATTGCCATAGTAATTGTTAGAAGATATGCGACTCTATACATTATGAAATGGGAAATTTAAGGGATGAATATTTGTACTCCTCACTAGAGCATATTTCATAGATTTATGGATGACATTTGATTTGATAATCTACTTCTTTAAATATTTATATTTCACTCAATTAACATGGAATAAAAGTGTGTCATATTGGGAATTTTCCTGAAAATAATTAAAAAAGTTAATCAGACAATAAAAAAGCATCTCGGAAATGTTAAGTTTTTATTGGGGACGTTAGGTCCCTAGAACTTGCTTGATAAATGCCTTAATTTTGGATTTCACGTTTGCCAGCATAGGCTGATCAGTTGACCTTGAGATTTCATTTCCCACCAGGAAAATCCATAGCTGTGATTGGCTGCTGTGTATTTTAGTGTGCTATTTTTGTGACTGTCCCAAGGACGTTTCTATGATGTATAAATAAACGAGATTTGTGTGCTTGAATGCATTGTGCTTGCTGGGTGTTTGTAGAATATACTTTCTACGCTTATCAAGACTTCTGTTTTGCCGTTTTCGGATTAAGGTAGCCTACCTGGACGCTGGTTCATTGTCTCGTTCGTGTTTATCGACTAAGGTGAATCCGTAGTAGCTTTAAGCGTACCTAGTGACTAACCTAACAGTTTTTATGAAAAATCACAGAGAGACCATAGGTTTTTCACATTAAACCTATTATGTATCATAGTTCTAACTTGTGATTCCTTGATCTGGAAACAAATATTCATGCACACTGTCTCATTCAAATATCATAATATATAAATTTCCGTAGAACATGCACAATTGTTATAAATTTAACATGTTTCATTTGAAAAGTTCCTGAGCAACAATGACTGATATGTTTTCTTTTTTTTTAATTAAAATTCTCATAATCTTCTTTAGTGAAAATGCTAAATAAAGAAAAAAGTATATATCGATCTCAATTTGATTATCTCTTCAACCACTTACTACCAATCATACTTAACTACAATAAACACATTACTTCTGTTCGCTTTCTTTTTGTTGTCTTCAAACAACATTAAGCACACAACTACACTAACTATCATCCATAAATTATTGATCATGCTTCAGCGATCGATTGATTGGTTGATTGACTAATTTATCGATTTTTCTTGTGAAACATAATACGACAGACATGAATCATGATGCATTCAATTCCGATTATTTTTGTCATTCTTCCAAGTTCGATAATGTGATGTATATCATTATTTGTTGTGTAAAACTCCTTTTTTTTTTAAAGAAACCATAAAAAAAGGCAATAAAAAAACCAACAAACACACAATCCAATAATTAATAGATTTACGTCTTTCATGATGTGCATTGTACAAAAAGAAAAACATTACTTCATCTCTCTTCTCTATTTTGATGCTTGTCTTTTCTATTTTCATTCATTCGGTTTTTTTTCTCATAAATATATAAATTTTTTGCTGATAGCCTCTACTACTACTACTACCACTACTACTACTACTATTACTACTACTACTACTACTATTACTACTAATACTGCTACGGCACGTTGCATGAATCAATGTAAAGATTTACGAATAAAACTGGCCTCATGAAATTTTTACCAATCATTTGATTTTTTATGTGTCTCATTATTATTATTTTGTACTTTGTTGTATTTGTTCAACTTGTGCATTGTTTTTTCTCTTTCATCAAACAACAAACAGTTGAATGAAAGGAACAGCATACTTTTCATTTATTTATTGATTGATTTATTTTCGGATAATGACATTGAACATTTTCCCATTGAACTACTGTTTTTAAAACAAGAAATTATAAATCAATTAAAAATTGAAATAAAATTAATTTGATAAGCATTGACACATTTTTTTTTCACTTGATCATTGAATGCTTGAATGTTGTTAAATCAAGTGAATATATTGTATTATTATTATTATTATTCAAGAATGAATATTCATAATTGTATTTGTAGATTCTTTTCAGATTGTCTCTCTTTTTTTTTGTTGAAAATTTTGCCAGTTGATTTTATTATTTTTTTCTTCTTAACTTTTCAATCCAATTTTTTTTAATTTGTACATTTCTCGATATGTTTTAAATGAATTCAAGTGTTACTTTGCGCTTACAGTATTAACAATTTCAATTGAGGAGATCTGTTTTGAATAACGATGATGATAATGTAGGAGATAGAGAAATACTCATTGATCATTTGGACCTGTTTATGCTTTAGGTATAACACATTGGTTGATTTTTCATTTACTCGTCTTTAATTTTTGTATGTTGTGTAAATGAAAAGATAAAATATGTAAAAAATAAATACAAAAAAATGAATAAATTTGTTTAAATGATTTGTTCATTGGAGGATAATTTATTTAGTTTGAATAAGGTTTTCATTCACGATAAAATTAGCTAGAGAAGTATTCATTGTTGACCTTATCATTAGATGGAATTTAACATCTTCATATCTGGCGGTTGACTTGGTATCACATTCAGTTCAAGCCAGTTCACCGTGCCAATCAATAATGGTTCATTGACAGTGGTGAGCAACGGAACAGTTCGAAATATAATCGGGGTAGTTGTGAGAGCTACAAGTTTTTAGTTCACTATATTATGGTATATGCCATAAAATGTCTTTAAGCAAAAATATGCTTTCCAAATTTTAGGATCCAAACTGAGGTTTGGATTGAGGAATAACTGTCCAGGTAGTTTAGATACGCGTCTTGCCCAGTTTAAATCCAAAACAAGTGATCTAGGTAAATAACGGTTCTAATATTCATCATAAATATAAATAAACACGATTACCTAAACAAACATTACCGCTCCGTTATCCCACCAACAATTGGTCAATTAATTAAATCAACAACAACAATAAATGTTATTCTCTCCTTCCTGGATAGATCAGATTCCTTCAAAAGGTAATATTTGGTTGCTTTATAACACAGAGTGCTTCCAATTCTGGAAGTGTGCTTCAATTCACAATCAAAATGCACACTTCAGTCCACGCAAGCAGTTCAATCAAAAGAGGAACAAATCAATATGGCTATTGCTATGAACAAGTGTCAGCTTAAACAACGTAAATACAGTTCAGAAAGAAACATAGAAACTCAGTAAAGGCAAAAGAAATAGAAACTATAATAAAATACAAATATTATCATCTCAAAATGGAATCGAACAGATTGACATAATGTACAACTGAAGGAATCAATAAGGACAAATTACAAATGTATACATGGAGGGATTTTCACAAACGAAGCCTTCAAAAATGGATCTTACAAAATAACATCGTTTATTTTACCTCAGTTCCTTATTTATACTTAGAGTGCTATTTGGTGATAGTTGCATCTGGTTGAGTATGAGTAACGTGAAAATTACATGTGTATGGTGTTATTAACTAAATAGATTTTAGTCCCGATTTAAGTATGCACTTACTAAGCTATTTTCATACATCAGTCAGTATTAAAATTTATCCATTATAATATGAAAATGCTTTGCGAATGATTTATGAATATGAGATTATCTGTGGTGACTGCATCAGACTGTCATTTATGGACTAAGGGAATGACGGAATAAGAATAGTCTTCGAAATTTATGTCAGCACTGTTGGACAGAAGAAAATAAAAGGGGAATAATATCTGACCGCATTTTTAATGCTGGAAAAATGGCAGTAAGAAATATAAATCTAAGATGAAACTAATGAAGATGATGAATATAAATTTTGGGTTAATAGTTCGCTTAATATTTTAATAAAACTAAAACATGAAAATATCTGTTCTGTTGTTATTGATTTTTGAAACCATGAATCGATCAATGTTAGAACACCATTGGAAACCTGGAAGCACTGGACTGCGGTTTCGTCCTGGTGTGGGACTCCTCAGCAGTGCGCATCTACGACTCCTGCACCCCGCAAGATTCGAACCCAGGACCTTCGGTATTGTGAGCGAACGCAATGAAAAATGAATCCAACTTTATAGATCTCAAGGGTCTCAGTTGCGCGGTTTGAATCTCCAAATTTAGTTTTAACCATTAGTCAATTACTTTATAGCTTGATGGGAACACCTCTTGTTTGTATTCAGTTTACCCCTATGTTGGCTAGCTCAAGACGTACGTCAAAATAGACTATGAGTTGTCATAAGTAACTTTGTCCAGTAAGGGTTCAGTTTAGCATAAACTAATTTCTTGTTTTTATATTTGCGCTTCAACTCTGGATTACCTCACGATCCAAAGACATCTGTAATAATAATATACTAGTAACTAGCGTGAAATTTTGCTATCAAAGGCCATTTTCCCTGTTAACGAAATCAGTACAAATCAAAATGTCTCATAATGTCGTTGCATTTTATTATACAATTATTTACAAGGCTTAGCTAGTCGTTAATTTTTTTTTTATTTATGGCTGGTACTACATCAGACATCGACTATTTATAGCTTGTGAGATTCAGGATGACTGGGACCGCAGATTCTCTTTGCTACTTCATTTTCTACGGTCGAACTAATTATCGACACAAATTGATTTTGATAAACTAATACTCGACTTAAAATAATATTGTTTGATCCCGGCTACTATTCATTTATTTTCGTACTAAATGAATAATTCAGTGATTGAGTAGTATCTTTGCTTATGACAAGAAAAGACTGTTATTCATTTATAATTGTTCTTTGAACGTTCCCATTAATGTTTACGACTGCTATAGATCAGTCTGTGCTCATAAGAAGATGGTAGTTGAGAAAAACCCGATCGATTCCATTCAGTGACTATCATTAATCATTAGCGAGTGTCAAGCATATTTTGTATTAAAATTATAGATAATCTTCATGACTGATTCATTTTATTAGCATATTTATTGTATCCCCCAATGATTAGAAAATTTTTAGCTTTAGTACTAATTGGGACATAACAAATATATAGCTTTCTTATTAAAGATTTCTGTTGCTACTTACTATTAGCAAGTAGTGTACACTAAATCTGCTAATATTATGGTTCGCTTGTAGTGAAGTGATTGTGATAAATTTCATATCTACTGTACTCATTTTTAGTATCCGAACAGAATGAGTACATTTTGAGAAGACATTTTTTTTATTTCCCATCGCTTTTCAGTCACTTAAAGATCAGCCTAGTTCGTTCATGGGGCTCGACACAGTGCAGATAACTCAGCCAACTATGAATCCATGCATCAGTGATTGTCTAACGTGAGATAATAAGTAAACATTAGAAGTAAACGGAAATAATGTTGTTAAAGTTATTTTCTGGAGAAAATGATATGAAATATGCTCGAATTATCTGCTGGTTTTCATTATTGTATTTCAGTTTTTAATGATAATGCAGAGTACACCGCAGGCAATCATTATCTTTTTTCGTTTTTAAAGTTAGAAAGTTTATTATTTTGGATTACTAGAAATCTTGTACTTTAATATACTTTAATATCCAGTGGCCGAACTATAACAAAATCGGGTTTTCATAGTTATATACTCAATACTCAGAACTTTGTGTCTTGTCAATTTGAAAATTAACAAATTAGAATCGTTTGGCTATTATTAGGAATCTTGACAATATGAAGCACTTTTATTTAAGAAATAGTAAACATCACGCAATAGACATCATTCAAAAGTGTTGTCAGATTAGGAGGCCACGTAAATTCACAAATAAAGTTTATTCCAATAATTGACTTCAAATTCCTTAGTCATACATACAAATTATTGATCTAAAAACCAAATTTTAAGTAAATAGATCCTTTGACATTATGTGCACATAACTTATAGAATTGTTTGCAAAACAAGATGAAATTGTTTACGTTGAAATGAAACTAGAATCAGTTTAAACATCTCAGTGAAGTTGTGAACTGAATAAACCGCATGAATTTAGATAATATGAGGAAATAGATAAAACCATGTAATTACAAATCTGATCACATGTTTGATTGAAGACTATTTAATGTTTTTGTATGCAACCCCAGTAATTTTTAATTTCGAATAGATTCTTCACGATGAAAGAAACAGCTGAAATGATTTCTTCAGAACTTAAAGTTCTCGTTTTTTCTAATTCAGATTTGTTTGTTTAACTGTGCAGTTTCTGTTGTCTTTATAAATAATATTGTGGTATGAGCTACTTATATGTAGTATATGACGTGAGTATCAACGTAATGTCTGGCAGCAGATGATGGGGGAAGATCAAGAAAGGGAGAGTGGGAACACAATGGAATTTGTATGAAACGCATGAATAGTGACAATGGATTGATTTTTTGCAACAGGAAATTGATCCCATTCATTATTTAGTTAGAAAAATGGAGAACAACTATGAAGATGAAAATCAGGTCGAAAGTGGAGATAATCATATTAAGTATGCAGTGACATGACAAACACCAACAGCAGCCTATTGAATTCAAGGTTAAACGATCGAGTTGTTAGTCATGTGAAGAGAATTGAATGACTCATTTCTATATGAAATTTATGCTGATGACTCCTGCTGGGAAGACAGTGGAAGTTTAATGAATAAACCACGTAGTTCAGTGTAAGCGAATTCGCGAAAATCATCCAGAATTACGAATTCTCTTTACCACCTCAGAAAAACTAATGCTTCCGTCATTTTAAGGTCATTAGGCTTGGATAATTTCGGTGGACGTATTTCTACTGATATCATAATTTAAAAATGATTTTGAGTTTACAAACTATAAATTTTAAAGATATGTTTGCTTTCAACTTGACTATTCTTTTGGATCATTAATTTGGAAGTATACCTGTCGAATTGAAAAATAATTCATTGAAAATAATATTCTTCATGCAGTGTGTTTGTTAATTATGTATCGCATAAGTTCTTGACATTCATTGTTTAAGAATCCTTAAACAGTTGAATTGTTTGAGCCTAATTTCATTCTAAGTCACAGAAATTTATACAAGTCATGGCAGACAAACTCTTCGAATTATGCGGTTTTTCAGTACATTAAGTAGATTACAATCTACGTGTTTATGGATAATAGAAATAGCTGATTAAAAGTTACCACAATATCTTTTTTTTCCGATATTGATTAAAATGAAATGGTAAAACTGTTTTAACTTAATAATTTGAAATTTATGAACAAGCTAAGACAGTTTGTTGAAATTACTTGGTTTTTGAAGATAGTTTTCATCATGGAATGGCTTCAAGTGGTGATTCAGTGAAGACTATGAACCAGAGGACTAATGTTCCATCCTGGTATGAAACTGCCCAGAAGTGGCTACAAATAAAACCAATAAGGGAACAAATCTTGAACCCTTTGTTTAGTGATCGTCTAGTCCACAGAAAAAAACAACATCATTTTCCAATAAATCTCGATAAACTAAAACGATTTCTGCGCCAAAACTTTTTTTGAATGAAATAAACCGAATGACAAAGACACCTCTTTATTTATTTATGTTTAATAATCCAAATGTGAGTGTTTATTTTTACGTGTATGTAAACACAATTATTGATTAATTAGAATGAAAAAAAAAAGAAAAGAAAACCTCTTCTATGTAGAAGAATTTAATTAAGTCAGTCAGTAAGTAATGTAAAGGTTTATCACAACAATGCTAATTGAATAATTAATTTATTGATTATGAAATAATGAATAGCTTTAGTGAATGCAAATTTTATTCATTCATTTGTATCATTTTTATTAGAAAAATTGATGAAAGAAAAAATACAGAATAAACAAAGCAGATGATAGTTATTAATAGCAAGTAAAGTTAATTAAAACTGAAGCAAACGAAATGAAATTAAAGCTAACTAAATTATATATAAGAAAGAGTATACCTCAAACTTTTATCACATAACAAGACAAAAATGAATCATATAGCAAAAACCGATGACATAAACATAAATTCAAGACAAAAAGAAACAAAATCTAACGTTAATTTACTTGTTGTCATTCTCTTGGTGAAAAAAACAATCAACTGTATTTTTATGGTTTTTGCAAAAACTAATAATAATAATTGACAATTAATTGACAATTTCAAATTGAATTTTTTCTAGTTGACAGTGTAAGTACATTTTAATTTGTATGAAAAATTTTATGACACTGAACATCGGCTATCACGTTTCAGCTTCAAGTATTCAGGGTCGTATATATGATTGCCTTCACCTAAATAACGCATTTGATAATCGTCAGAGCGTTGTTCAACTACTGAAATTGGTAAACTATATGCCATTACTTTACGTTTGTCATGAATAAGAACCTGTAGAAGAAAATCATTGGACATTAGATGGTTATTTTTTATGCATAAAACAAATAAGAAGTTCAAGTTAATTATCAGCAAACTGTAGTGGAGAATGTTATATTTCATTAAAAGCATGAACTGATTCAAGTTAGATTACTATTTATCCTGAAAGCATTGAACAGCCAACATGTCCTCCTAGTATAAGACTCCTAAGCACTACACACCCATAAACCTACACATGAAAATAGGATGCAGAACCTTCGATCTCGCGATCGAACGCTTAACTTCCAGTCCCCTGACTTGTTGTCATCCAACAGTGTTAATATCTAACTTTAATTAATCCAAGAAATTGAGCAACCGCCATTCATTGTTATCAGGCTGTGGTCTAACTTAGATTGATTCATGGTTTCAATTGTTAATTAGTTGAAAATGATAACAGAAATTTTAATAACATTCATTTCAGTATGAATAATGTTTCGTAAAGTTTTACTCTGTGTCACTTAAGAGGATTGTATTAATAAAAGGTATCATCATGCTCGAATCTCACACATTCCGTGACTGGAACGAGCGAATTAAAACTCTTTGAAAACTTGTTACCTAAACCGGTTTTCTTGCAGTTCTACAAAGAACACATTTCTTCCTTAAACTACATGATACCTGTTGAAATGAGACAAATATTGGGAAGGTTGGAACTTTCGAAACTATCTTTTGAAGTATATATATGTATATATATCCCTGTAATTTGCAGCTAACTATATTTTTGCTTCCAGCAGACTTAGTAAACGTTGCGTTATACTATACATCTTTCTATTTTTTGTTCATTAAAAATTAATTTTGTAATGTTTGCTCCAACCTTCATTACTTATGTGATATGATTATGTTTACGGTACGAATTATTATTCTGAGAAATTATATGTTTACTATCTAATCAATTTAATGGTTACTTAAAGAAGATTAACTAACAACAAATATCACATAATACCAACTTTTGTTTCCAGTTACATCTTTTTTTATATATTAGCAATAAGAGTGTCATATTACAATTATGTAATAGTAAAACATTTTATTGTTTGATAAATGATCTTACAATCATTTTCTGCTTTTAAACCCCTTTAAGATACTGAAACAAACACAGTGATGTTTTACAACTAATCATACACCTAGACTTAATAGATAAGTGGGTGGTAACATGCTGATATTAAAAGTGGTATAAAAAAATCAATATCACCTCTTACATTCAGGTTCATCTAGCTAGTGAGTTCTTCAAACAACAAAATGCATGTTCTGGATTTTACTGCTAGTTAAATTCATTCAGTTTCATATAAGAGTGACTTTAAGTTAAAACTATGTAGGTATATGACTTGTTTCAATTTCTAAAATGTTGATGATAAATTTCTATCCAATTGCCATTCATTCTTCTCATGTCTGTCTTCAATTTCTGGCGAAATTTGTTCTTCGGTTTCCCTCTTTTCCTTTGGTGTTGAAAATCCTAAGTTAGGGGTTGCCTTGTGATGCACTTAGGTGATTTCCACAATATAAGTCTGATCCACGTCTGAGGCCTTTACCTAATTTCTTCTTCAGATGGAATCTGGTTTGTTTGAATACACAGTAGGTTGTTGCTGACGGTGTCTGGCCAACGGATCCTCTGTATCTTGCGTAGACAACTTTTAAATTTTGGACAATGACTTACGTGGTTCTCAAACTTTTCTCCCTATACATCAGAGAAATCTTGACATTTGTACTGAAGATTGTGACTTCGGTGTTGGTTGACAGTTGTTTTGAGTTCCAGATGTTTTGCAATTGAATGAATGCTACCCTTGCTTTGTTAATCCGTCCATTCGCATAGTCATCAGACCAACCTGGCTCATCAATGAGGCTGCCCAGATATGTGGGGGTTTATACATCCTCCGAAGGTTGGTGCATGCTGTATCAGATGATCTTGAGTTTCCCTTTTTGTATGTTGAGACGTTCGGCTGCAGAGGATGCTGCTACACTGGCTGTTCTCACCTGTATTTGTTGTTGTGCGTTGGGTTGATCATTTATGAAGTACAAACCGTCCAGCTGCATCCGAACTGTCCACTGTATTCCGGTCATCTCCTAGGATATTGAAGTCTTCGTAATCCAGTCGCTTGTGACGAGTTTAATTGCTGTCCTCCATGCACGATTTCTCAGTTTAATCCATCATAAAAATTCTCTCTGATGTTGACTACCTACACCGTAGTGTCATGCAATTGACGCTATCTCATAGAGAGAGAAGTTTATGTTTAATAGTGAATCCCATTCAACTAATTGTTCCACAATGATCTGAAGTGTTGTGACTTAGTTAAAGAAAGCCCATTTTCCGTGGCTGCATAAATTAAATCAAACTTGATACCTTACATTTAAAAGTAACTGACAAAATTTTGATCGTCCAAGCAAACATTTAATAATAGAGTCAAAGGTTTCGATTACTTTCAATTAACTTACCCTAACATAATAAGTTATCTTCAATGCTTCTAAACAACTTTGCGGAACCGAATTAACTGGTATGTTTAATTTTAAATGACAACCGGCTTTACGTGCATCTCTAGGCAATTCTCTATATGTATCATTTTGTAATGCTTTTTGTGAATGTTCTGTTGAATTTAACGATTCACATGATACACGAAAATCACGATAATGACTTGGTACATGTGTTGTATCGGAAAATAGTCGTGTACTTTCACTTTCAGCTGCTTCCGTAAATGGTAAAGGTAGATTTTCAGTAAAGTGAACTTTTTCAGTACGACCATCGATAAAAACATTTGGAGGATATTTTTTTAATTTATATAATGCTTTTGTATCGGAAACTTTTAATCCAGGTATATGAAAGATTCGAAGTAAATAAGCTTCAGCATAACGTATACCAGCTGGTTCATCCGTAAATACATAAATATTAATGTCATCACAATCTTGAAAGATAATATTTTCAATCTGAAGAAAAAAAGAGGTGAACACAAATGTATATAAGTGGAATTTTATTGATTCTAATCAATCAAAAAAATAAGAATAAGAAGCAAAAAAGAGCACTCGATGCATTTAACTAAATTGACAAGTTTTTGAAAATAGTTTCTTGTAATCCGATGGAGTTTTCTGTGAAGTTCTTCATGTAAAGTTTCCAAAAATCAAATTCCATATTTCAGTTACTACAGGCTTGTACTTGCGGTTACAGCGGTAGTGGTTCAGAGCTAAACAGTCATTTGAAATAGTTCATTATTCAATTTGAAAAATTTACACCACTAGACGGTGATAACACCAAGTGAACATTTAGATCACGTCTTGATGGAATAGTGAAACTCAACATCTGATATTTTCCCTAATTGACCAACGGATTTTTATGTGAAAACAATTTATTACGAAGCAAGTTAACAAAAATGACGGGTTTTTATTCTCTATTTTTCGATTTGTATATTAAAACTTAACCAGAAATGTTTATTTGAAATGTACGTAATAAAAACTTCAAAACATTTACTTAAATATATCACATTTATGGTAGAATAATAATACTAGAGAGTCTTAGAAAAGTGATCACATGAAAATTATCAAAAAGAAATACAATTAGGTAGTAATTTTCTGTGAAATAATCAACACAACTGGTAAGTTTTTTAATGATTATACGTAACTACGTAAATCACAATGAAATTACATTATCATGCAGAAAATTCCAACTATTGTATAACAATATTCTGCCTTATTTTAATCAGCATACTTGTTTAATTATTGAATCATTTAAAGTTAACGAAAATACGTTACATAAGGAATTGCATTTTTGTTATCTCATAATCTGCTGATAGTTCAAGTGAATTTCTCCTTGATATTCTTGTATCATTTAGGTTGGATAGTTTTTATCTAGGATACTTTCATTGTACACTTTGTATAATATTATCAGGGTGGAATTCAAGTAGCTCGCAAAATATAATATTATCTCTTTAGAAACCTGGAAGCACTGGACGGCCGTTTCACCATCAACGGTGTGCATCTACAACTTCTGAACCTCGTAGGATTCGAACCCAGGACGTTTGGTCTTGCGCACGAACGCCTAACCTCCAGTTGTGATCTAACAATGATTGACTGATGATTCCAATGTGTAAAACCAATAATATCCATAACTCTAATTGAAAAACAACATCCATGTTCAATAGTTTATGTTAAATTCATTATGCGAAAATAAAATTAACTTCCCTTACTGTCTGTTAACAACTGGCTTGAAATGATCATATGATTTTGCATAAATCTGAGTATGAAAATAAGACAACTCACTAAGTTTGTATATAAAATATTAGTTTCGTTGATAATACTGTGAAAAACTCTGAGTCTTATAATATTATATTACATTTCAAGTGAAAAATTTCTGACTCATAATGAAGTTTGGATTAAATATACACAGAATAATAATAATTATACCTGTATTAACATTTGTCTATTTTCCATTGTAAATGTTTTCATAATGGCTGGTATTCGATCACCATTAGGTAGTGTATAATTTGGTGGACCACAACTAAGCACTTTAACATTTAAATTGTTTGTACTGATTGTGTCTGAATGATCTTCATCTAGTCGACTCAATCGTAATGTTGCATAGATATAATATCTAATAAAAATAAAAATTCATAGAAACATATTGGTAATCTCAATAAGGAGGAAAAAGTTGTATCTGCTTGAAATAATTTAACTAAACGAATTGACAGTTTCGCTTCATTTGAATGGGATTGGCAAAATTTGGGAGAGAACAAACCAAATTCCAGTGGAAGAGGAAATCAGGAAGAAGGAAGAGGTGGAAGTGGATAGGACACACATTGAGAAAAGCACTCAACTGCCTCACAAGACAAGCCATCACATGAAACCCTCAAGGTCAAAGGGAAAGAGGAAGGCCAAGGAACACATTACTCCAAGAAATAGGAAAAGACATGAGACGAATAAACAAAAACTGGAAGGAACTAGAAAGGGAAGCACAGGACAGAGTTGATTGGAGAAAACTGGTAGGCAGCCTATGCTCCATTGGGGATAACAGGCGAAAGTAAGTAAGTAAGTAAGGCTAAATTCAATCAGGTAACTGGTATAAACCATTGAAAACCATGAAAAATCTGTTTGTTTAAAACTGAAAGCCACAGTAATTTAACTCTTCAGTTAACATTTAACATTACAATACATCCTGTCCATAAGCAACGCTTATGCTAACTGACGTTTGTCTATTTCCGTTTTTTGTTTTTCCTAGCCTCCTGATAAGTAATATAATTTCATTTTCAGCAGTGTTATATTTTTATGTTTCATGAACTAGGTGAACATGGTAATGTCTAAAATTAATAGTAAAGTTTAGCCATTGACCTATACAACTTATTGATCACTACATCGTCAGTTGATTATTCCTTATACTCCGTAAACACAGAACAGTTGGTTTAACATAACAGTTCATTTTTAATCAATACTAATTGAAAATTTATTAAGTTGAATAATATTTGATTGAAAATATTAAATAGTTCCATTATTTTAGTTATCAAAAAAAGAAGTTTAAATCTTACCTATGAATAATTTCTACTTCACTTGTAATACCAACTTTACCTCTTAGTAATATGGAAGGATGTGCATCACTTTCAAGAGGAAATGCAAAAGGAATTGCATGATGACCAGGGCCAAGTTTAACTGGTCCAAGAAATGGTGTAAAGCATTGATCACTAAGATTAACTTCTTTAATTGGAGATTGCATAAATTCTGGTTGATCATAGGTGAATTTACGTAGAGGTGTTCTTTTACCAATTGACGTATCATCTGACAAAACATTATATGATATGGGTATTCGTTTCTAGAATAATAAATGTAAAAGAAAAAGTCAGGTTAAGCGTACTTGCTATATTCATCCAATGTTTATAAATATCACTTAACACAAATGTACAGATGACAAATAAGGTAGGAAATTAAACTTTTCATGTAAGATTACAAAGATATTTATTTTCGGAAAGTTGATTGTAGGTTGAACATCATAATGTATGATGTGAAAGATTCATTTTTGTTATTATGATTCATCATTGGAAAATCAGACAGTCAAAAAATGTGATCCTGATATTCATAACGAAAATAATCAATTTCTGGTTTATGTTTGGATGAGCAGCAGGGAGTATATAGTACTGATTATTTGATTGGTTAGCGTTCTAGGAATAAATACTTTTGTGGATACTTTCCAGAAAAGCTAAGCAAGGATATAGCTAACGTGGTAAAACTGCTAAATATTTGATTCAAATAGGTCATATTAGCAGCATAAATTAATAATTTTCAATAGTTTATGGGGTCAGTAATTGTTGCCAAAACCTATATCACTCAAACTCTCTTCAATAACAGAGATAATATCAAGTGGGAATTAAAAAACCGGTGTTGTATACAAAAGCGGTAAGTAGTCTTCAATCAAGCATGTGATCTGATTTGTAAATTGATTCTAGTTAACATTGCAACCTCATCATTTCAATATTAACAATATCATTTTATTATATAAACGAAACTTACTACTGAGTGATTTCTATTTGTTTATAAACCTCAGTTATTTCTATCCTAGTTGGTCTATTCCGAATTGTTAATTAGTTCGATTGATTACAAACTGGAAAAATGCTAGTTACAAGGTTTATTAACTTAAACTATTTGATTTAACTCACCGCGCTCCTCATATGATGTAGTCAACAACTAGAGCACAGTCACTTTGTATATGGGGTTAGATGACAGATCAGATATTTCGGTAATACTGTTATTTCATTCTTTTCCCTTATACTAATCCTCATTTATATACAGTTAATCAGTTAACGTGGTTCTTCTATCAATATGTTACACTGGTTACAGGCATGTAAACACATTTCACCTGTTTAAGCCTAATTTCAACGATTCAATAAATTAAAAATGTTCGTTGATAGTTTTTAAATAACAGTGGCAATTTTTACCTCCATATCTTGTTTCTCATCCGACGATACTGATTTTGTGATCATTTCCGTGGTCACAGTTAAAGTATGCAAATTTATTGGCTGTTTAAAAGTCACATAAACAATACCACGTAGTGCACCACCAGGAACTACTGCCAAGTCAAATATACGAATAATAACACGTTCAATGGAATCATTGAATTCACCGAATTGATTTGTTGAAATTGCCAGTTTTTGTTCCGGGATATCATTTAGATCAAGTTTTTTAATTGTAAAATAATCTTCAAATGTTGGACTTGCTCGAGTTACTGGTGCATTGGCTAGTTTCACTATTTTATAAATCATAATGTATGGTTTAAAAGAAATTAGTTTTATTATAAATTACACTGACGAAGAATATACATGAATCAATTAGAACTTATCTAAATGTTGATAAATTCAATTACTTGTCAAATTTCAAATAATCTGAAATTATTTCAAAACTTGAATAAAATAATTCAACATCAATAACGTAGTTTTTGGTATGATTGAGAAAATTTGTAGCTCAATAAGGATGAAAAAAAAGGTGGAGTTAAATTCGCTGAGATGAATGGTTTGGTTGTGAAGCTTACATTATTTTTTGAACAAGCAATGTAAACTTACGACCCGTTAGGACATTATTTTTACAGAAGGTTTGGTACTGGACAATAGAAGAGTGTTTTGTCACATTTAGGACTCATTAGTTGGGGGTACCTTCACTCCAGGATGTAGGTTTGCACCACAGCTCAAACCCAATGACTCATAATGCATAATCCACTAAACTATTAAGTCCAGAGTAGCCATTGAACTGTGGATCTGCTCAAATGTCACCAATCATAAATTGAATGTTACTGTTATTTGATAATTCCTTGTTTGTTTAAATAAGGTATAGTTTTCAGTTTGAAATGAACGCAATAAATATTTACAACTGTTCCAGATCCAATATAAAACAAACTGTGTGTTAAGTATTCTTCTTGATATTTATCGATACCCGATCAAATATTATTGATGGAAAAAGAGAGTTAGCTTAAATACGCACTCTATCTTTGATTTTCTTCCATTGACTCTTTGAATTTAACTAAATGAGTCAAAAATGAAACTAGTAGTTTATTTAAAACATTGTTGAAATGCATTAACAATCAACGTTGTGCATTAAAACACAAAAAAAAATTATTACTAAATGAAAAAATTGCAATCAATGACCTTGTATTTCTATGAGTTAAACATAATTTTTAAAATTCTTAAGACTACATATTTGATGTGAATTAGAGAAGTTAAATCTACACCGTCAACAAATAGTATAGTACATTGAGATGTAAAAATTTATATCGGATTTACTGTACTTGGTTCGGTTAGATCCTTACAGATGGTTTGTTTTAGGAAACTTTTTATATGACCTCATACTCGTTATCGTAAACAAGATTAAATTTAGAATGATTAGGACTACTTCTACTAAAAGTGTAACTTTATTTTGACACTGGAGTTGAACACACTAGATCTATCTATCAAACTCAGTCAATAGGTTTCAGTATATGAAGCAAAACTTTATTTCACATGTTTGTTGATTATTATCATTATTTAACCGACTTGAATTCTGTCTACTTTAAAAAGACAAAATGTATATGATGTGTCTTCAAAATTAACTCAAAATCATTTTCACATCAAAAATGAAATAACTTAGAATTTCAGTAACGGATTAGATGAGAAAAGCAGTTATGCATTAATCAATTGATCAACATTATCTTACGATATAATAGTAAAATTTCACTCACCTGGTGATATTACTTCACGATCTTCTTGTGACATAAGATCCCTTCTCAATTTGGGTGGTTTAGCATAGACCAATCTTACATGATGTCTATTACTCAGTAACGGTGAATTAATCATGTTATTTTTATATGACTAAAATGAATATTATAAAAATGTACAATGATGATTATTAAATAGTGAACAAGGTTTCAATTTTTTATATTAAAACAAAAGTTTTTTTAGCAATCAATATGAAATTTAAAATATCTAACCACTAGACTAATGAAATAACTATGCTTATTGTGATTTATAACACCAGAAATTATTGATAGAGATTCATCTTAGATAAGAAGAATAGCTCTGTTAAATCAATGAACATTACCGTCTTGAGAAAGTTTGCGTGTTTATGCAAAATCAAACTTATCGGTTGGATAATTTATATAGTTTAAGAAGAAAATTTCTAAGATCATTGAAGATTATTGGTCACTGTCTATGGAATTGGCCAATAATAATAACATTGTGCAAAAATGAATTATTCATAAGTCATAGGCTCATATTGCATCAACATATATTAACTAGTAAGTAGATAAACAACAACAGTTGAAGGTATGAATTCCTGAGTTTGTATTATTTTGTTTTTTGCATTGTGTAGGCATAGCTGTCTATTGTACTGAATAGTATTTTTGTGAAGAATGTATGCTAATTAAATTAAGTCGTTGAGCGTGGAGTATGCGTTTCATATCATTAATATTCTGTAGCCTACTTTCCATATGATCAAATCTATTTTTAGGCTTGCGCCCAAATGAATACACTTAAATTTTAGTAGACTATATACATTATTGAATTATATAACATTTTATTTATTTATTAATTTCTGAGTCAGCTATTTAAATGGTAACCAAATTACTGCAAAATGATTTTATGCATAAAATAGTCACAAACGGAAAACATACAGAAATGAAAGTGTACTTTTGAGTATCGATGGAGGAATTTAGGTAGGTTTTGAGGGCAGCAGATGTACTGGTAATAGTAGTTGAAATAAGTGCAAAGAGGAAGGAAAGAGCTAAAGCAAAAGTATCAGTGCGATCAATTCAAAGGATACTGTGTTATCAGCATGGTCAAACGTAAACAACACAGTCTACGTGATACTCTAAATAATGGTTTGAACTAGTTTGAAGATTTCAGCTCTAGGAAATTAGGATACATCTCAAGGTATTCTTGCTGCTCAAACGATATCTTGTCACTGCTTACCGATGGAATGGATTGGATGAATAAACTAAACAGTTGTACATCTGTTAGTTATTTTAGACGATTTTAAAATGTAGATCTCAATGATATTTTGCGTATGATTTACAGCCTTACTAATTCTATTCATCTATTGTTTGTATTTTTTTCACTGTCTAAATATTTTCAAACTTGTTATCACGTAATTTCAGAAATGTTTTATGATTATTTTAAAGCTTATTTATCCAAGTATGACTGACTGTGTGAAACCATTGACTAGAATTTATATTTTTTTATTATTTTTTTCAATAATAGTCTACCTGTCTTCTCATCATCAACTTGTACTTGTTATTCATAATACGTAGTTATGCGATCTATTTTCATTGCGATCATTAACTGAAAATGTGCCTTGACTGATTTCATACTTTCATTTACTCGTATGAATATTTATGTATATTAGAGTAAAGCCTGATAACAATTTATTAGAAAATACTATTATTCGTTTCAACTTGTTGTACTGATATTATAGTTGCTTTAAACTGCCACTGCTCCATTGGGTTTATATTATTCTGAACATAATGTTTCAGTTTAAACCCCAGGCTTCGATAGATGATTTTACACAAATTCAGCAGCATGCAAGCTGTATTCAAGAGAGCGAAAATACAATGCACCACACATGAAGTACGAAAAAAAACGAAAAATATCTGAAGACTATCTTTCAGAAGAACGGCTATCCAAGCAACTTCATCAAAATATATCAACCTAAAGCATCAATAGAAATGAAATCAAGTACGGGAACTAACAAACAGGTCACCTTATCATATGTTAAAGATATATAGGATATTTCAGCAGGATTACTGTGGCCGTTTGTAATAGGCGTAGCTCACAAACCAACAGACTTACTTCAGTCAATTTTATGTTATTCAAACTGAACATCATCAACAAAATAAGCTGTTCAAACTGCGAAAAATGCTATACCGGACAAAGTGGACGTTCTGTCCAGCTCTGCATGCATGAACATCAGTTACAAGTCAAACATCATGACATTTGGATAGTATGAGGTGACGAATTCATTTCAAAGTGTTTCTCGTACTGAACTGATACATTAGAGATTGATAAAAAACTATTGCATAACTTCGCGTTTTAATTTCGAATTAGGCAAAAGTACACATCATTGAATTATTATTATTGTTTCTTCTCTCAATAACAAGCATAGGTATTGTTAAACAGAATGAAGGAATCTGCAGACACCTAAATTCGAGATCAACAAGCTGGATTTCATAAGGGTCGATCATGTAATGACCAAATTGCAACATTAAAGATCGTTGTGGAATAGTCGACTGAATGGAAGTCACCACTCTACAGCAACTTCATTGACTACTAGAAAGCGTTTGATCGTGTGGATGCCTTGGAGTACATAAAAACCTTTACATATCTGGTTAGCATCATTGACGAGCAAGGTGGATCTGATACAGATGTGAAGGCACAGATCAGAAAACAACAGGCTGCATTTCTACAGTTGAACAACATCTGGATCTCAGAACAACTGTGAACAAACATCAAAGTCAGAATTTTCAATACAAATGTCATGACAGTTCTACTGTATGTGGGTGAAACTTGGAAACCTACGAAAGCCATCATCCACAAGATACAAGTATTAATTAACAGTTGTCTACGCAAAATACTTCTGATCCATTGCTCAGATACCACCAGCCACAACCTTCTAGAAAACCAAGACACTGCTTACCTTATATTATAAGGATTGTACCATCGATTATATCAAATATATTTTAAAGAATCACATTTTCCAACTTTATTTAACTATTTACAATTATAGTTATTAAACTTTTAACCTGTAACATAAAAGGCCTTAATTATATTAATAATAATAAAATGTAATGGTTATATTCTAATGAACAGAATTCTACTAGCTATATACTTACATTCATTAAATTTTCAGTAAATTGTGGATAAATTTCTTTGTGATTAGTGATTGCATCTTTTGCACGTACAATAACAATATTAGAAGATTTTAAGTATTTATCTGGTTTTATCTGCAAACACAAAACAAAAGATTATATTGAACAATGAATAGCGTAATACATGAAAATACATGAAAAGAATTTTTCTCCCTACCACAGTTTTGAATATCATTTTATGTACGTTTTATCTGATTGCAAAGAAAATAAAAATACTTGTGTTGCCAAACATTTTCCATCTCTGTTAAAAGCAAATGAATCTTGTTTTTAGTGATTGACTGTCCTTGAGTGGCACACTCCTGACTAATCAGGTTGAAAGGTTATATTGACTTTATGAAGTATCAGACAACAAGTTTTGATATTATATAAGTCATAAACTGATTGTAATACATATTTTATTTAAGACTTATAATACTTGTGAAGTTGTGAAATAACCATTGCTGACGGCTTCTTTGAGTACAACGTTTGTTCTCTGAACTAATGACTTCAAATACATGATTTTTTTGGAACGCAGTGGTACAGTTTGGTTTCAATTTCCAGGATTGTGAGTATTTCAAAGTTTATTGATAATTATGCATAAGCTGAGGACACAGAGCTACTTTTTTCGATCAGCATAGATGATGAAATATGTGTTGATCATATATAAAATAAAAGAGTGGAAGAATATCTGTAACTAAACTTTATATAGTTAAATAAAACTTCTAACCACGTTGTAAATGATTTCATAACAACTTAGCCTTCAACTGTTTTACTGGTAATTGTATGCATATATTAAAATATTTACTTAAGGATTATTTCGTTTCTGATCTTAATATGAAGAATTCTGTAGATGAATAGACAATGTTTACAGGATGCAACAAAATGTCGTAATGGCTGGAAAAATCATTGAGCAAGAAAAGCGTTGATTACTTGTTTAGCTTCATCAATATGTATAGAGAAAGCTTATTTAGGGGATGAAAGCTGTTCGAACTTTGTATTTAGATCGAATTTCAGTTCAACAGTTCTTGCCTTATTGTTAAGCAACTTTCTGTCATCTTAGGTTTAAAATATCTCTGTGTTAACGTTATACTGCAATTAGGTTCATATACATAGGAAAGCGTTAGTTACCAAAAACGTTCTAGATTAGTATTAATAGTAGGAATTAACTACAGTAAAACAAGGGCTCATAAGAGTCTGCTAAACACCTGCGACTGTTTAAAGTCAAATTATCTGCATTTAGGTTGGAAGAAAGCTAGGGGCGGCCAAATCAAAACATGGCACAAATGCATGAAGTCACTGACAAGTGGACTAAGTCATGTTGGTAGATGTAGACTACCTGGGTGGTGTTAGCGAGACGAAAGTCACCGATGGTTATAAACCTTGAACGACATGGCTGAGAATCGTTTGCAATGGCGCAGTTGCATCCACACTTTGTGTTCTCTCTAATTTTAACCTTCTCAGTTCCTCATCATCTCTATCTTTCTCTTTCTAACTTTATCACACTGAATTATACTTTTCGAATCATATCTTCACTCCTTACTGCTAATACTTCTACTATCGCTATCACTCTTGAATCTGAACTGACATTTGCGTCTTTGTGGTGACGTGGTATGGCAACCTGAACTGATGTACTTATGTAAGAAGCTCTGCATTGTATCTGTCTGTCTGTTTGTCTATAAAAATATATGTACAATATGTAGTTGTGATTGACTTGTTTCTTGAGACAATATACCATTTTTTATACCAAATCAGATAAGAATCAGTTTCATTTTCTCACATTATTATCCAATGCATCATAATATAAAATAAACTGTATATTATCATATTTAAGCTCTCAGTAATGATTTTAAATTATTTCGTTAATTTTAAAACGTGTACTTTGTTTCACGTGTTTTAATGCTAAGTAGCTATTTAAAAAACATACATCAAAATATTTCAATCAGTCTGATTTCAGATCATTAATTTTGCATACATAATTTTAATTTGGTTTTGTCTTGTCTTCAGAGCTTGTTTCAGTAGGAATGTATGATTTTAGTCATCCGTTTTTGTGATATTTTACACTGAATGAAAAAGACGTTTCTGTAAGATAATGTAAATTCGCATAGACAATAATTTAAGGCTTAAGTAAGTTTTTTTGTACTCTCTATTCTATTCGTTCATTAATTTTCTTAGATATAATGTTTGTCATTATAAATCATGGTTAAACAACAAGCCTGATGCACATGCACATCGCTGCTTTTTAGGCAACACAAGGATTCTCACTGTAGTCATTTTAGTGATCATCCCTGCCCCAATCGGGAACGTACATGTTGTCCATTTTGGCCCGCCAGCAGGTCGCACGTCCAGAAAGCACGCATACGAACAGTGGCTCCCATTCGGGCACTTACGAATCAATAGGATCCCTTCACCAATCCACTACCCGAAATCCTCGATTGGTATGGGCGGCAAGGCGGGCTTACCCAGCTGGACCAGGCACCCCGAACGGATAAACGAGCCACCCAGCAGTGCACTAACCAGTAGCCGTTCCAAACGTCTGGCCTCCAACTGCCTTGTGCTGATAAAATATACATCGATATGCAGAGTGTTCGGGACAACCACATAGGGTGGGCGTCATTAGTCCAGGATCTCTACGGCTGCTGCCCCGAATAAATCGTCTAGGGCCGCCTTCAAGTATCCTGGAAAGCTATATTCCTTTCAAGATATTTGCAACTACCGGAATGATAGAGGACAAGTCCTCAAACCATTATTTTAATTTACCTACGCTCGATGGACGGGATTCAGACTTAGAAGCGTTCAGTCCTAATCCCCCAGAGTGGCTAACCGCATCCACGGCCTTGCGACCATGAACACGTACCATTATTCTGGACCATGCTAGGCACGGTATCCTAAGCGTTCGGAACGGCTTTGGCCGCAGCGCTGTAAACAACGCCACGTTTGTAGCGGCGTCACGAAGAGGCAGACGCCACCACAACCCTAAAAGGCTCCATTTCTGCGCGTCACCTAATATACGCATTTAATTAGTTGACGAGGCATTTGGCTACCTTAAGAGAGGTATTAAAAAATACACTTGTCTTTATCCTGATAGCTTACAGTAGCAGAGTAACTATTCAGTACCATTAAAGTTGTGTACAAAATCGCTAATTTTAGCTTTCGGTAGATTTCAGATTTTTTGATTTATCAATATCAAGCCAAAGATGTTTGGTAGAAGGAATGATAGAATTCATTGATTGTTAGAAAATTAATTGAATACTTTTAAAAATGGTCGTTATTTTTGTAAGATTTTTCAAATATATTTCCTAAGCAGTACTTCCAATCGAAAAAAGAATATTGGTACGTAATCTTTGTTAACGGAAATGAGGTTAGGATTCAATTAATTTTTGTTACGCTCGTCTCTAGTTATGCTTAAACTATTATGGGTTCACCTTAGTCGAATAACGAGAACAAACAATGAACCGGCGTCTTGGTAGGCTACTGTGATCACTTGACCAAACTGTACCAGCGAGAAGTCTTGATATAGCGTAGAAAGTGTATTCTACAAACACCCAGCCAGCAAACAATCAATCCAAGCACTCGAATTGCGTTTATTTATACTCTATAGAGACGTAGTTGGGACAGTCACAAAAATAGCACACTAAAATGATTCAGCAACCAATCACAGCCAAGCATTTTCCTGGTGGGAAATGGACTTCAAGGTCAACTGATCGGTCCACGAAATAAATCCAAAATGAAGATATTTATCAAGCGGGTTCTGGGGATCTAACATCCCCAACAGTTTCAATAAGTGATTACATCATTTTATAATCTAGGAATAATAATTTTTTTGAAACGCTGAAGTAACAATTCAGATTAATTACAATTATCATCAGTAAAGGGTTGTGGAGATTGTTGTCTTACAAGTTATGTGTAATCGGATTATTTTTAGTTAAATATTTCCTCTTCAAAAGGTTGTTTCACTGACATCTATAAGCATATATTGAAATTTTCAAACTAGACAATAATAGAACAATTGACATTTATGGATTTTTGATAATAAAACACAAGCAATTATGTATCTTATGATAATGAAATATGAATAATCGGATTATTGATTCAGTAACCCTAGTAAAGAATTTTTTCCGATGTTTATCTAGTTGAAGAGTAATTTTTATGCAAACAGTTTTGCTAATTTTTGTATTAAATTACCTTGCAATATTCCATCAAATAAGAAGTAACTTGTAATTTGTTACTTCTATTACATGTAATTATTTTTCATTTAATAAAATACTTTGATCCTAATATCTACTCAGACAAACTGTCCGTAAAGTCATCATTTTATTTGCATGGGATATTTAATCGTACACAATTATCCCAACAGCTATTTACTTTTACTGACGTTTGATCTGTGATTCAGCTTAATCACCGAACTTATTCTAGAAAACTAATAAATGCTGTACTCTACATACTGAGCGAAAAAATAAACTATGTAAAGACATGAAATTCAACAAAAAAAGAGATTGATTTTCACAGGAAATTCATTTTTAAGTTGCGAATTCCACATCATCTGGTCCCAAGCTCGGAATAGAGTGAGAGAATAGAGTTCTGAGTTAGAAACCTTATTTTATAAAGAGAAACCGTGCTACAAAAAAACAAACGCCTAAATTGATAATATCAAGACTCACTTTATATTGATCGTCATTCGTGAATTCTTTGGATGGCGTTGGAATAGTTCTAACTTGAAAAGGCGATATCACCTCACTCCTTGTCATACTAGGTGAATCATCGATCGCACTAGTTTCAGCTGTAGGTGTTGCTTTTCTTGGTGAAAATGGATTATTCTGCACGATACTACTATCATTCATTCCCTAGGGTAAAATCATCATAGACAATTGATAAATCGAACTGAAAATATTAATTTCATACATTAATAAACATTTGAATAATAGTTTAATACCATGATAATATATTTCTCTGATTTAATTGGGCCATATTTTACTCTTTCTATTACTATGGGCATGTGATTTTTCAATTTTGTTGATTGTGTAGAATTGTATTTTTTGTATTGACTGGTCTCAATTTACTTTCTACTTGGTTACGACTAACCTTTGTTTAATTACTTTGATCAGTATTGAACTATATGCTCTTCTGATACCACTTTAATATTCTCGAATCTTCTTTTGTACACATTATTCATTTACAACTATTTTTGAATATCATTAACTTTAATTGAAATTTTTAAGCAGTCATTGTGGTCCATGTTTGTTTGGACTTTGCAAATGTACTAGCTCTTTCATCTCATACAAAGCAAAAAGAGCAACAATAGCCTCTGTGGAAGTCACACTCAACATTCACAAAGGAAAAAGTAAGACGCTTAGATACAGTATAACATAGAACAATTAAATCACACTTGACAGAGAAGCTCTTGAAGATGTGGAAAATTTTACATACTTCCGGAGCATCACTGACAAGTAAAGTGGATCTAATGCAGATGTGAAGGTGCGGAGTAACAACGTAATTACAGAATTTCTACAATTGAAGAACATATGGAACTAAAAACAACTGTCAGTCAACACCAAAGTCAGAATTTTTACTACAAACAACAAAACAGTTCTGCTGTTTCGAGCTAAAACTTGGAAAACTACCGAAACCAACCGTCAGAAGATATAGACAGCATCAGCAGAAACCTAATGTGGCAGAGAGCAAGTTTGCTTTCAGCTGAAGAGGAAATTAAGAAATAACACTGGATGTGGATGAGACAGACATTGCAGAAATCGGTCACCTGCGTCAATAGGCAAGCCCTGACTTGCAATCCTCAAGACAAAAGGCACAGGGAAAGACCAAGGAACACAGTACGCTGAGAAGTGAACTTCAAAAATAAATAAACAGAACTTGTAAACAACTGGAAAGGAGAGCCTAGGACAGAGTAGGTTATAGAATCCTGGTCGGTGGCACATGTTCCACAAGGAGTAGTAGGAGTTAGTAATGTGTATAAAATGAATGTTGTTTGTAAGACTGGAATCAATTTTACTGCTAACTAACTTAATTGTCAAGCTTAAATTTACTTTTACCAAACGTCATTTCTTCTAGCAAAAGTGAAAGGACAATTTATACATTCAATTGTATTTTTCGTACTGAAACTGATGTCATATATAATGAATAGAAAAAAACAAATCAAGTACAGGTAGCATCTATCCCAAACTATATAATTTGATAAGGCGTTGTAAGACATATCAACAAGTTACACGACGAAATGACATCATTTCTATTAAACTTAGCATATATAAATAAAAAATAAATGTTTAAAGCTACCAACATGCATAAAAATGTATCGATTGTTTATAAGAGACAATATAAAATGTTTTCGAAACATAATAACAATGATAAATTATACCAAATCTAATCAGAACCTAGAGAAATCTAATTTTGTTTTCTTTCTTTGGGGAAACAATTCATGAAACTATAGTTAGTTATTATTAAAAAAATATTTTGATAATGTCAATATAACTGGAATTATTTATTTACCATTTTATTAGAAAAGATTCTGGTATGATCAATCAAAACGATTAGATGTCATCTAATATCTAGTGTGTCAACTATGTACTTTGACTATAGATCATATAAGATTGCAAATTTAGATTCGTAAGTTTTTTAAAAAAACAAACATTTTGTGAATCAATTCAGTAATAAGTTTACAGTACCAACTTCTTTTGAAGTTGAATAATTATTATCCAAAAAATGTCAGAAAAATGAACAGAGCACACATATACATATATGTGTATAAACTAAGTAGATTGACAGTCAAATCATTAATGTGAATTCCAAGTATCGATGTTAATTTAACAGTAATACGCTCCATCAGTTTTAACTCCAATAATTAACTGACATAATCTATAAATGTGCAAAAAATGCACCAAGATCTGAAAACTAATATAAAACCAGAAAGCACGCAATGCTAGATATACGTTTGTAACAATGTGAAGAATTTTCCTAATATAACAATGCAAAATTGAAGAGTAGTTGCCAAAAACATAAGAGAGATAAGCTTGTACATCACTTGGCTATCGTCGGAGTTTCAAAGAAAACTTTCACTTCTTCCAAACTAGAATTCTTCGGTGTTATTTGGTTATGATTAAGAATAGAAATAATAAGACTAAGGTTTTACTCTGTTAAAAGATAATAATTCAATTAAGGAGTATCTGCAATGATGGAGTTAAAAGATTGTCACTAACTACATTGTTAAATTGCACTGCTCAATTCATGTTGCGTTGTAAGTGAGCATTTGAAATGCATTCTGTATTTACTTTTGCTATAGAAAGACATTTTCCAACAGATAATGGTCAGCTCGACCAGAGGATATTGGAAATGTCATCGCTGAAAGCATAAAGAAACTAACCTTCTCTCATAAGAATTGATGATAAACATACGCAAATATAGAATGTAGTGAGATTGTCAGAGGATACGCAAAATATGCAGAAAATGTATTCATATATACTAACCGTTATTCCTCTTATGGAATATAGATCATTACAAGTCGGTTCGCTATATAGGTGTCCAACATTATACATGTAATGTTCGGTACACTGACCTACCGATTACTAACAGCCAATAATGTTGGTTGTTTAGTTTCCAGATTCTACCTAACTTTACAGACCAAATATTTAGTATGGTGAATGAGGTAAATCAGAGTGCGTTTTGAATTTCGGGGGTTAGTCGGTAGGAAGTTCAGTGTTATGGTTCTACTTTGTTAAAGATCCATGAACAAAACTTGTCTGTTATACTATTCAGTGACCTGGTTTTATTTAGAGCAAAATGAAACCATTGGCTTCAAAGATATGGACAAATTTCAAGATAATTTAGTTAGGCTGAATTCAGTTTTGAGATCTGAATAAAGTTCATTTTACTTTCGTGGATCGATAACTAAGTTAGACATCAACAGTAAATGTTGAAACAGTTCACACCAAATAAGATTATACTTTTATAAGAAATTAATAGATATTTTCAGCAATCATTATCCATAAATAAATATTAAATTTGAATAGCATAAAATAGAATTTCTTGTGAATTCCATTAAATTAGCTTCAAGCTAGACAAAGTCAAATCCAATCACGTCTTGCTAACATTTTTCTAATGGATTGTGATTAGGAGTCTAGTTCAGAATTGCCATTTTGGTCCTGTGTGAAACTCGTCATCTAGTGAATTTCTATTCCAGTGCTGATATTCAAAGTGATGAGTGAATTCAATGACTTTCTCTCCATATAGTCACCCACTCACTCAACGGATATGATGTTTCCGTCATTATAAGTATGCTCTTGAACTAACCCATAACTGAAATTCAACAGTGAAATGTTATCAGTCTTTGTTGGCATTTACGGGACTATGTGAAGATTATCCTAATCCGTTGGTATTTGAAGTCAAATGTGGTGAGATTGATTCGCTATGCAAATATTGACAGTGAGATACAAGTGTTTTCAGTTGTAGAGTTCCTAAAAAGAAAGAGATTCCACCTCAGATTTCACTGTTATTTGCAGTCCAACTACTCTAAATATGAATTAGAAAATATCTATATCAAGGCAATCCTCTACTGACGCACAAATATCAACAAATTTAAGTCAATATTTGGTTATATTTGTTGTGACTTACACACATTAAAACACAATGGATTTTTAATAACGTACGATTCATGTGAGCATTTTAATATGAAAAATAAATTCCTGTGAAATATTTAACGTGAAACAGTTCACTAATTTTTTAATTGGCCAGTCAACACACAAGGTCGGTAGAAACTTCCAACACAGGCCGTAATCAAATTAAGCAACATTTATTATCAGGCTAAAGTAATAGGAGTTGATAGGCAAAATACTCAGCAACTAGGTCTCATGTTAGCCATCATTTTTTACTGAAGTTCATCTACGCTTACTGAGCACTGAGTAAGAACCAATGTAACTTTGTTTTCTTCTCAGCCGATATCGGATCTTACAATGAGCATTACTTGCCTACTTACTTACGCCTGTTACCCCCAATCGAGTATAGGACGCCCACCAGATTTCTCCAACCAACTCTGTCCTAGGATTCCCTTTCTAGTTCTCTCCAGTTTTTGTTCATTCTTCTCATGTCTTTCTCTATTTCTCGACGTAATGTGTTCCTTGGCATTCCTCCTTTCCTTTTGCCTTGAGGGTTCCAAGTGATGGCTTGTCTTGTGACGCAGTTGAGTGCTTTCCGCAGTGTGTGTCCTATCCACTTCCACCGCTTCTTCCTGATTTCCTCCCCCACTGGAATCTCGTTTGTTCTCTCCCATATTAAGTTGTTGCTGATAGTGTCTGGCCAACGAATCCGAAGTATTTTGTGAAGTCAACTGTTCATAAATACTTGTATCTTCTGGATGATGCCTTTCGTAGTTCTCCAAGTTTCCGCTCCATACAGTAGACATATCTTGACATTTGTATGGAAAATCCTGATTTCGGTGTTGATTGATATTTGTTTGGAGTTCCAGATATTTTTCAGTAGTAAAAATGCAGCCCTTGCTTTGCCAATCCGCGCCCTCATATCTGCATCGGATCCACCTTGGTTGTCGATGATGCTGTCAAGATATGTGAAGGTGTCAACGTCCTCCAAAGCATTTCCATCAAGCGTGATTTGGTTGACGCATGTTTTTACAATGAGCATTATACTCCTGTTAGTGACGACTAACTAGAGCTAACGAGAACGAACTTAAAGCCCGAAACTTTAATCATTTACTAACTAAACAACGCATGGTAGTTTCAAATCAGCTAGTCTGTTGACAGCATTGGAACATGATCAGGGAACTTTTTAACGTCTCAGAATAACAGACAAATATATGATGAGATTAAAAACAAATGCAATTGGACAGTGATCGATAATTTTTAGTGTTAAAAAAGTTGCAAATTCAGAATTCATTTTTTAATATGATTATAATTATCATTAGCTTCAGATGATAGGCATGTAAAACGGTGAAGATGAAAAACATATATATATATATATGCATATGCTATACACTAAATTTATACAATTTCAAAATTCAATAGTTTATGTATGCGAAATATGTGTAACTTACATCAGCAGAAACTTCAAAAGAATTTCCTGTCACTACAGATGAATTGGTCATATTCATCGTAGCCGATAGTTTATGATTTGTTTTCGGTGTAGATGAAGCAATTGCCACAGGACTAATAGTTCTTCTATTTACAGATGGTGATTTAGAGCGCTTATCAAACTGTTCATTATTTTCAGTTCTGTCATTCTATAAAGTAAGCGGAGTAATTGAATGTTTGTAATAAATTCCAAATTAATATTGGCAATTAAAATTAGGTTGTTACTTTTTAAAGAAAAAACTGAACAGATAACTGAATACAATATGACTGAGTAATGTATTACGCGTGATGATAATCACATATATATATATATATATATATATATATATATATACTGATAATCAAGTGTAGTATAAAAATAGTGAGGGAAAAAGTTACTATCGAATGTTTTATGAAATATCAATAATAATCTAAGAGTTTACTATTCTACAAGTAAGTTCCAGTATAATTCTCGTTTACTATGAAGCGATTTAATGTTTATACCAATAGATAAAATGGAAGTTAGTTTTCTATCATATCGTGTGTGTGTCATCATATTACACACATTATTACTCTGTACATGTAAAACAATATCATTGGTTTTTAATCACACGATTATTGAAACACAGTATTTAATGGTATGAAAGAATCACGTGAGCTATGAGTGAATTAGTTATTAGCAAAAGTTTGAATTCAGTCATCATCATAGACAAAAGGACAGAAAAAAAATGAAATGAAATTTTTTTTGTCTTAATTATGGCTAGGAATTTATGACCAAAGGATTTTACACATTTTTCGAACCATGAATCGATCAGTGTTAGACCACCATTAGAAATCTGGAAGTACTGGACAGCTGTTTCGTCCTGGTATGGGATTCATCAGTGGTAGTGCGCATCCACGAGTCCTGCACCCCACAGGATTCGAACCCAGGATCATACCATTTAATATTCATGGTTTCAAAAATGTGTAGCTTAACAGTCTTCACAACCACGTAATGAAAGGGATTTTAGTGAACTTATAGGTAGAATTAAATTGACTATAAACTCATAGTTATGTCATAAAACTTGTCATAAAAGTGTTAACATCAATTTTTCATGGAGAAAATTGTAGATTGTAGTTAAGTTGTTCTTAAATTTGAAACATTTCAATTTACAATGAATAAAAAATGAAGCATTGTTGAAAGAATTGTTATTCAAATGCTTCAGTTGAATAGTAGTATACATAATCCAAAATGTTCTCTACTGGTTTGATTTTCTGTTCCGTTATGCATTAATAAAGGGCTACTGTATGACCACAGGTTGTTTAAAAAAGTTAATCCATCCATACTGTATTAATCAGTTTTAAGACTATGTCTTAAATCCATAATCGATAACTCTTTGAATTGATGCCCTTACTACTGTCTTATATTTATATTCTGAAGTCATTGGTGTGACACTTCAGTTTTGACGGTAACCAGTATTATTACATATATTCTCACAACTTCATTTAAAGGTATTCAATTAACCGAAATATTTTTCAAAACTCAATTAAAAATCTCTCTTAGATTGGTAGAGACACGATTTAATAAATGTCTAATTTGATACAGTCTTCTCATATTAGGTTACAATCGTTCTAGATGTTGCATGATTCAAATACTTCCGGTCTATTTTTTATCCTGTTGTAAGATAGTTGGCAACCGAAAGAATTCTGCAGGTCATTTGAATTGAGCTGCAAAATGTTTTTCTCTAAGTTTGGTCCTACAGTAAGCCAGTGTTATATTTTATACTTTAATGGCTTATATTGCACTGAATAGTTTATTTTCTCTTTTCATGAAGGCTACTGAGAAAACTTTCTAATAGTCAGATACCACGTCTCCCCGCTCATCTCTTAATTCCAAAGAGACAGATAAAATCTCTGAATCTTTCTGAAAGTATGCGATATCTTACTAACATAAGGTGGAGCTGGTTTCACATCAAGCTTATTTTTGTCATATAAAAAGTCCTTCGACTACATGAAGCCCCTTTCTGGTTTTTCATTGATTACATGTTATGTTTCTGTCTTTGTGTTTCAATTAGATTATTGTGAGATTTCATACTTTCAGTAATACAAAGAATCATATATGATATCATCAAAGAATGATCGGTATCAAAAAATGTTTTTCAGAAGAAATACAGTGAGGGTATATATCTACATCTCCGGTGGGTTTCGAAATCAGAAAGCTTAATAGAAGTAACATACGAAAACAAATGATCCAGTCATATAGATGTCTAGTCGGAGTCTAATCGGTAACGATACCAGTGGTGACATTAAATGAAACAACTTCACGTCTTAGGAAAAAAGTTAATTGTTTCAGAAAGATACCATGACGTTGTCTAAAACTTCAAAAGAAGTATCTGATATGATTTGTCGCTACTAATTAAAGTCGATTTTGCTTTATGCTCTGTACACGTTCACAAACATGTTCTAATGTATCTGTGAACATACAGCGCTTCATTTCGTTTTTAACAGTATAATTTTTGATCTATGCGTCAGCAAACATTTTGATGAGCTTTAAAGTTCACAGCGAATTCAATCAGTCTTTATCTTCGCTTGTTTTAAATCAATATAGATCGATAAATTACTTCATAGCTCTCCTATGACAGAGATGCTTCACTGACTGTTAAAAAATCCATATTTTTGTGTTTCGTAGTTATCCCTACAGTGTAGATAATCTACATGGTTGATAACTAATATATATATTTTTGAAAACTTTTTAATTTTAAGTGGCATTATTCATAGTTTGCATCATTTTGCTAGTGGTTTTCAAAGTTACTTTCATGTGGGTCGATGTATTCAGTCTTAAATACAGTTATCTTCAAATTAATAATTATTCTGTTTATTTTATTGATATTTTTAATATTGATCAGAATAATAAATTTTCTTTATTAACTGATATCATCTGGAGAACTTGCAGATAAAGAGCAGCAATGGATGTTAATTGAGTTAAAAATGTCATCTGTTGTGTTCTGACTTGATCATCAGTCATGATTGAAGATTATTGAAGAGTACTAAATTGTCAAGAAACTGATTTTAAACTTGGTAATAAAAGTTAAATTTGTTCAGTTACATGACAATAAAACTCTGAAATGTAAAAAATTACATTTAAAAAAACCTCATTGACAGCAACAAGTTAAATAATTTTGACAGTTTTGCTAAATAAGCGGATCCGATATCGTTTAGAGAAATAAACGAGATCAACAGAGATATTAGATATTGTTTTGACATACAAAGTCACTTATATACTTGGATGGCAATTTCTGTTTAACTACTCGTTCAAAGTGTAGCTAATTTTCAAATGGAACATCGATGTTCTAAAGAGCTCAACCAAAAAAAAGACTGACTGAAAATTAAAATCTAACTGAACTTAAAGACGCTTATATGAACTTACAGAGGGTTTGAATCTTGGGAAGTGACGACAATTACTTGAATTCCAATCACTTGAATCATTTTCTGCAAAAAAATAAATGTGATATTTCTGATAGAAGTATCATCAAGCGAATGGGATAAAAAGCTATTATTATTATTCAAAAGACACTTTGACTATTAGGCGTTAAAAGCTACAATGAATGCTAGCGATTATGTTTTTTATTAAAAGGATAAATAAATCATGAATATTGAAAAGTTTTTATTGATCTAATGACCTTCAACTTCACAATTTCAACAATTTTTGTAATTAATGATTTTACACTCAAATAATGCATGCATAGAGTTGAGAATGACATATTCTCATAAAAGCTGAGTATTATTTGCATGCTATAACTTCACAAGTTATGAAATTCAATCTTATTAATAGTTATGTAGATAATTATTAATCTTTGTGCCTTAACATTCAGTAAAACAGATCATACAAATCGCACTTGAATCAACTGTTGTCAGATAAGTATTCTTACAAAATTGATTTACTATGATCATAGTGGTGTTAAAATTCACATCTCTTCTATAGCTTCTTTTGTATAATTTTCTTTACCCCGTGTTATAAATATTGAATTCATTTGAGAATACCTTGAGAGTTAATTAATCCATCTGTAACTTTGATGTATCCGGTGTGAACTGAACTGGTTAAATCACCACGAAAAAATAAATAAACTCATTAAGAATGTTTTAGATGTTGTAGACTAGTATTTATGAATTACAAGATTGTTCGAGCTATTTTTAACAATTTTCTATTGACTAAAAAGTAGATAATATCAACAAATTCTAAATCATAAAAAGAATAGAAAAATAGATGATTACTTTTAGAAGCCTGGCACTCAAGTCAATAAGCAATCAACAAACACATCCACATTGACCCAATTTATCAACTAATCTGAAAAATCATAGGTGACATAGGATCAAGAAACAGATCAAAAAGGGGAATACAACCAAAATAATGGTGCGAACAACGACAGGTTCAGGGTCAACAACAATCAATCAAGATCGAGGTTAACAGAACAAGCTACAGGTTAAACGTGGAAAAATTTGAATGCTTCACTTCCATCTGAAGTGAAGTACTGATGATGTTGTTCAGAAGAACAATGAAAGCTCCACAACCAAAACATCCAGCTCAGAGACCAAAACACCACCACGATTATTTTTATTAACATTTTATTATTATCTATCATAAGAATTTGTGGAGCGATGCAGTGTCATTTCAATGAAGGTATGTTTGAGCCGTTTCTTGTGTTTTTGAATGTAATTTCAATGGAATGTAGTCTGTGGAAACTACGGAATAGTGACTAATTTCACATCAATTTTTTTCAATATAGCACATATTCCTTGTTTGCTAGTGTTTGTATAAACTTATCATAATTATATGCATCTATAATATTTGAATTTACACCAGCTTCAATACAATAACTTATTGATATAAGTTGCGACATAGCTCCACTTTTTTAAAGCCATGACGATCTTGGAAATAGTCATCAATTTATTTTATTCTAGATATTTATTAATGTAATATTTGATGTGAAAATTAACGTTGTTAGGTTTAAATTACATCTGTGTACTTAACAAGAAAAAAACATACTAATATCATATTTGTCGATATGAAACAATTAGTCAGTGTTATATAAAAGACGGATACTGAGAATTTGTATCCCTGAAGTCGTAGATAACGAACTGAACCTCCTTAAGTAAATACTTATCAAAAATGGGTATCCATTGAGGTTTATTGCTAAAAACATTAAATGTAGGCCTCCGAAAACACTACTATCTTCTGTAGGAAAGAGAACTATCGATATGAATATTGATTCAATAGACGATATAGCTGCAAACATACTGAAATGGCGAATTTCAGACGCTCACAACAAAACGTTCTGCACAGCAGCTAGTTTTCTAGACCCGACAAAATCTTCCACCTCATTTGACTAGATTTATGTTTGTTTATCGATTTACCTGTTCATGTGGAGCTAGGCATATAAGTCGCAAGATGCATATTTTGTTCAAAGGATTAGAGAAAATTATTTGGCTTGATTGTAAAGAGATAGACGCAGGTCAGTATGAAGCTAAATAATCGTACACCTTTTGAACACTGGTCATTCAGTCAAAACAGATTATTAGTTAAGCGTCATCTATAAAATAAGTAGAAAACTGCTAAAAACAGTTGGCTTCCGTCTTCTCAGCATTACCGTAGCACTTGCCATACATCTGGAATAACAAGAAATCTATGTACTGAAGAAATTGGTACAACCGGTCTTAAAGGTCTTAATCTCTACCGTAATTATCATAATGGGGAAAAGCATATATTTGCGATTGCACAAATTTTAAAATGAATTCTCCGAGAAAATAACTCTTCGTTGAGCCATTCTTTCTTTTATGTTTCAGTGGGTATATATCGGTTAAATAAAAGACAGGCGGATAAAAGCATTGTATATTATCATAAAAATGAATTGAAAAATAAGACGTAAGCGGAAGGAAATGTTGAAATAAATAAACTGATATCATGAACCAATCAATGTTAGACCATCAAGGGAAATCTGAAAGCACTAGATAACCACTTCGCCCTATTATGTGACACCTCAGCAGTGCACAGTCACAATCGCGCAATCCTGAACTGAACTCAGACCAATGAGTTTGAATCCAACGATGTTAATGTCTAACTTTAATCAATCCACAATATCGTGCGATCATCGTTCGTTGTCTACAGTGGGTAACTGCATTACACTCGATTAAGTTGAACTCAAATGGTCATGACTTCGTAATAGAAATCTCAGAATTCTCTCATGAAGCTAATCACTAATGAGCATACTGATGATCTAACATGATTAGTTCATGATTTCAATGAAATTGAACAATCTTCACAACCTGATACTTGTAAATAAATTGTTTATAAGCAAGAAATTGACAAAAGATAGTCTATGAAGATTAATAGAACTGATAACAAGGATTGCAGTAGATGATATTTGGTACATATTTACGAATATTTTTATGCTCATAGATATGCATTTCTTAACCGATTGAACGTCAGGACGTACAGCTTTTGAAAAGCAATTTTAAAATCTTACGTAACCGTGAATTATGAATCTGCCGTGAATAAAAACAACAAGTTTTGTAAGGGTTTACCACTATTTTTTACCTCGTGTGATCTTATTTTAACAATTTTGCTTCCAACTAGTATAATGTTACCAATGCTGATGAATTAATAGCAAAAAATGTTTTAGAATTACATTACAACTAGATAAACACTTCAAAATGGTCATCTTATCTACATATATAGAAACAGAGAGATAGAGATAACACTTCAGTTCATGATAATTACTGTTTGAAGATGACACTTACTTGAGGATGAAAAAGGTTTTCGATTATTCTTCTCTGTCTAATTAAGATTATCAGCTGCTTGTTGAGAGGAATATGTCACAAAAAAACCCTATTTTTCTCAACACAAAACAATCACAAGCACCTGGGAGTGGTTTTGCAGAACACTATTATTCTCAAGATATAATTAATATGTGGATCATTTGGAACTTATACTACTATTATTATGTTATAGGATGATAATAAAAGAAGAGTTTATATATTTCTTATTCAATAAACTTGTAATATTCCATAAAGATCAATAGTTTAGTTTATTTTTTTATTCAAATTGTTATCAGAATTATAGGAATACTTACCATAGCTTGCGGAATCGACGCCATTGAATGAACCAGTCCTCATTATTTTTGTATCTAAAAATCGTAAAAGTATTGAGATATATTCATTGAAATAGAAAACAAACATGATATTAACAAAGTATATTTCAAAACTACTGAGAATGAAGTAAGTTGTATCGATCCATCTAATCTATTTATCGACTATCACGATTGAAAGAACTGACGCAGGAGGGAAACAATTTACAATAGTTCAAGAATACAGCTATGTATTTCTCTAAAATCATTGAATAGTTTAGGTGAATGGTCAATTGTTAAGAAAACACTATGAGTAAGGCATTACTGATTTTTTAATGGGAAATATTGTATAACACAGATATAGTTTTCCCAAAAAGCCAATCTGATAACTTAAGAATTATTTAGAATCCGACAAGAATAGGCTAATTCTATGCACTAATTAGTGTTATGAATCGTAGTCAGAAAAAATAAACCGAAATCGTTATATCAGCCTTATATGCATACAAGAGCGTTTATAAACCTTATAATATCTATATGGTTCATCAGTTTAAAAATAAAAACAAAATTCTATAGTTTAAATTCCATTTCAACAATTTTAAGTATTTTTAGGTACAATGCATAATTAGCTGTTTAGAAGATATGCTTATTGTAGTATTTTCTATAATCACAAAATCTTCATTGCATATTTAAGAATTGATCAATAGATTATTGATTGAATTTTTCTAGTTTTACCATTTTCAAGCCATTTTTTACAAACTCATGAGATTTAGTGGTGTTCTTTTTTTTAACAAAAATATTATCTATGCATGTGGGAAAATGAAGTTTCTTAATGACTCAGAAAATTTTAGAAAAAAGATATGCTGTTTAGCTAGAATTGGAATATCTCAATAAATAATTGATTTGGAACAATTAAACAATACTCAAAACTCATTGATCAATCAATTTGTAAATATTTCAGTCGTGGGGAATATCGGTTGGCACCCGAATAGCTCACTGATAATGTCTGTCACTGTGAAGCTAAGTGATCTGAGAATGAAACCTCCATGGAGAATCAACTCCCACATGATGACAAATATAGCTTTTTGATGAGCAATAAATAAGATGAAGCCCAGATTTATGGCGACTTATCAACTACCCTCCAACTACCTACCATCTAATCATAGCATCTTGTCAATAGAACCATTTTGATCTGTAATCATATGTCGAAATGGTCGACTGAAGTCGGTCAGCATAAACAACGAACAGACAACTATGGCATCGGTGTTAATGCACACTAATCAGTGAGTCGTACTACTGGGAAAAAAATGCTTGACTGAAAAAGAAATTTCGATTTAAACTAATTTTCTTTTTCATGTAGTCAAAACTGTAATCAAAACTTACTGTGTTTGACAACAGGATATTCATAATATGAATTTCGGCGGTCTTTTAGTGAGCAATCCTCTGTATACAGAGAAAAGGAGAAAAAGAGACACTAAATACAGAAGTACTCGGTTTTAGTGTTAATAGTAATTTCTTATGATAAACTATTTATTAGATTTACCTTCAATGACATATGTTAGGAAAGACTGAATAATGGTTGAAATGGTTAGTTGAATTACTTGAAAATACCAATGTGCGTGTTTCCGATAGATTTCTATCAAATCTTTCCATTTAACATGAAATTATCACTTTTGAAATTAAACACAGTTTCACTTATAAATGCCATTTTCAAGGAATATCAAATATGATAATGCATTCTTTTAAACTGTTACACAGAAACTTAGAATTCGCCATAACATGGTAGTTAGAATGATTATTTATTGTGTTACTTAAAAATTGCCAATTTTAAGAAAATAACTGGATTAGTTTCATAAGAAATTATCAACAAGTGATGCGTACGCATAAAAACTATCAGTCATTTCATAATTAAGCGTTCTAGATAGAACTAAACAAACAAATGAATATACAGTCCTGAGGAGTACTTGATGACGTCATAGCTAGATTTTTCACTTGTATTTCGTAGAGAAACTTCTAGCTCCACTTAACTTACAATTGTTCATCTTACAAAATTCAACGTATTCAAGTAATTTCCATGTTTGATTTATGTAACCCATCAAATAGATTTGATTGATTCATTTTTAGATGACTTGAATTATCTAAATGTTGTGATTTGATGATGAGTTTTGATTGGCATATGATCATTCTTCTTTAATCGCTGCTATGTAGCTATTATAATACATGTTTATATGGAGGGTTTGAGATGTGGCTAGAAATGGAATCAAGAACATACGTTTCACTTCATTTGACACTCTTCAGCTTGATGTACCTGGATTTCAGATGCTCATACGCAAAACAAGACTGATCAATTTTTGGTCAGAAATATTAACAACGGGATAGATAGTTCAAGCAATTTCAGAATTAATTAAATCTCATATCTATTATACATGTATGCTGTTTCAGCATATCAGTAAATAATGCGATCGTGTCTGAAATGAATGGTACTGGGTTTGAGTTTTGGAGTGAATATCTACTTTGGGATGCAAGTACGTCAATCTGATGAGCGGAAAATGTATAGGAACGGATGTCCCAAATTCTACTTCTAGCTACATTCTGTCTAATCTAAATAGACAAATAAGTTTGTAATTTTCTGTTAATTGCACTTTACGTTGACAAAATAATTACTTATATTTATACAATAGCTGAAATATTTTTTGAGATAGTGTGAAACCATTTTTTTTGCTTGAAATTTCTTACATTTTCAACTTATAGACATAAATTCACTTTTTAGCTTTATGTAAACTACACACATAGTTAAAATACTATCATTGCCAAATCAATATACGCCTCAAGGTCATTGAACAACAATCAATAAAACTGCTGTTTGCTAAAGGTTCTCAATTAATTTTATAATAAGTCACATTTACTTGAAAAAATCAAATCAAAACTAATGATTATTTTAGATTTCTATTGTTGCTAAAACAATTTTTACTTCAATATACATTGACGTCAAATGTTAGGTATAAGATATTTAAATAGTCAATGGTTCAATGTTAAATTTGAAAAGAGATAAGTTAACTGCATTTAACAGTTGATCAATAAACCTTGAGTGAGCAATGAATGAGAAAATATTATCACATTAGAATGTGAGCTCTTGATAATGTAAGTTTTACTTTGTTTTTCCTTTTAACTAGAAAATTATAACTGAGATTTTATAAGGATTACAATTCGTCACAATTATAAGAATCCATAATCTACCGTGTTGTAGAGAAAGATATCAGATCATACTTGTTTCCAGTGTATCTTAACAAATAAATTAAAATCAGTCCTTCAGTGTTGGGGTAAATGGATGGGTTTTTATATTCAGATAGTAATAGATCTGTTCAATGGTGTACATTGTCATACAACTTTTCTCATTTATTAACTTGAATAATCTTCACTTCTACACTATTTGTAGCAGAAATAGATTTTCAGTACTTATTACGCAGCCTTACATTGAATTTCTGTTTAATATGCGTTCATGTTTTAGTTGCTCAAGAGTTATTTCAATTATGTTTCGCCTAATCAGCATCTTCCACCGGTATTCAACCATAAACGTTTTCCTATCAGTTTTATCTATCATGTGGGAGGCATTTGATTTTTAAATTATTGGTTTCTAGTCTCTGAAAGAAAATATATCAAGAGTTGAAGTGTTTTGTTTGAATTTTCTAATTTTTAACATAACGATCACTTGTAATGTTTGTATAGTAGCTTATGGATGTATACAGGCATGTGTTATCAAAACTGAGCGTAAGCAAACCAGAAAAGGTTAAGTTAATTGCAATAATTACACAGTTGGTAAATAGATAACTGAAGCGCCTAACAAGACTACTTTCTGTGGTGTAATATACTGTACGGTAGTTTGTATTATCGAATCGGCTAATGATAGCGCTACTGTTTTACAAATTGTCCTAAAAAACGTTGCTCGAAATTTAAACATGTTAAACGATGTAAATAGATTATTTTTCTGAAGTGCAGTACAATATTTTTTTAGTTTATAAGCAGCCGAGGAAAATTTGCAAAATTAGTTAATTTGAATCCATTTCGAAAAAATTATTGTATTTATTAGCGTAGGTAGATTATATAATCCAGAGCACGTTTTTCGATTTCTTTCATTTAGTATTCATTAGCTGAATTTACCTGCATCTCAGTGTTTATGTTCACTCTGAAACTCGAACCTAGTGTTATCAGCCTGACACACTATTTTAGCTACTGAATCCAGATCAGTCGCAGCCCTAAATATTCATGGGAACATTCAAATAACCAAAACAAATGAATTAAAAATTCCCTCATTGAACAAGTCAGTGTCTATCTGAAATCGCGTAATGGCGTTTGAAGCGAATAGTACTGGGTTTAAGACACGAAGTGAACATCTACATCCTGCCGACGAACCCCAAATAGGACGAAACATACGTATCGGATTCCACCATTCATTTATGGTAATAATCCTTATGACTAAAGTCATTATCAAGGTAATCCGTAGAGAATGCACATATGTTATAGTGAGAGATCAATTGTATTCCTAAACACCAATCAGAAGTTACAATTAATCAATATTAATAAATTATCATTTCATTTGTTTTAAAACCAATTCATTATATGATTACAAATGATAAAAATATCAACAGTATTTCACTATTGAAGTGGCAATATGATATATATTTATGTAGAGTAACTTACCATCTGTATCAGTTAATGTATCACTGAGATTAATATTACTATAAGCTTTTCGAGTAGACTGTTCTGCTAATGCAAAAAAAATCAACAAGAACAAAAAAATACTGTAATGGCACTAAGTAAAATATGTCGTTTAGTTATCATATATAAGTTGTACTAGTCCACGACTACTTAGAAAATATTAGTCTAAAATGGTGGTTTGGGTAATCATGTGAGCAATATTTACGACTGTTTGAGAATAATTTCTTCAAATATCATTGCGAATATATCACTGTATATCAAGTTCCTTGACAATAAGAAAGCATTTTGATAGCGTGCACAGAATGGCACTATGGAGGCTTCTTCGACACAACGACGTACCTGAGAAGAAAGTCAACATGATGCGGATTTGCTGTGACGGATCAGGCAGCAAAATCGTGCGTGAGCTGCAGGTCACAGGCACATTCCAAGTGAAGGCTGGCGTCAGACAAGGTTGCTTACTCTCATCCTTTCGCTTTCTCTTGGTAGTCGACTGGATTATGTAGACGTCAACATCTGGAGGGAAGCATGGGATGCGGTGGACAATTCGGATGTAGTTGGATGATCTGAACTTAGCAGATGATCTAGCCCTTCTATTCCGCATATAGCAACAAATGCAATTAAAGACGGCCAGTGTGGCAGCAGCCCCTACAGCATTAGGATATCAACGTACACAAAGGGAAAGGCAACAACATACAACAACCAAATCACACTTAACGAAAAGGCTTTGGAGGTTGTAGAAACCTTTATATATCTGGGCAGCATCATCGATGAACAAAGTGGATCTGATGCAGATGTGAATGGACGGATTAACATAGCAAGGGCAGCATATATATATAACTGAAGAACTTCTGGAACTCAAAACGACTGTCAACTCACACCAAAGTCAAAATTTTTAATACGAATGTGGAGACAGTTCTACTGTTTGTGGCAGAAACTTGGAGAACTACAAAAACCGTCATTTAGAAGATACAAGTGTTTATCAACAGTTTTCTACGCAAGATGCAATTCATCTCTTGGCTGGACACTATCAGCGATAACCTAATATGGAAAAGAACAAATCAGATTCCAGTTGAGTTAGGAATTACGAAGAGAGGCTGGAGTTGAATAGGGCACACATTGAGGAAACCACCCAACTGCATCGCAAGACAGGTCCTCATTTGGAATTCTCAGGTCCAAAGGAAAAAAGGAAGAACAATGAACACATTGTGCTGTGAAATGTTGAAAGACAAAAGAAGAATGAACAACAGTTGGGTAGAACTGGAAAGGAAGGCCAGGGACAGAGTTGGTTGCAGAATGCTAGTCGACGGCGTATGCTTCATTAGGGGTAACAGGCGTAAGTAATAATAATAATAATAATGATTATAAAGAATGATGTAGATTACTGTCACGCTTCCAAAACCATATATGGAATCATTTCTCAAGTCACAAATACAAATTAAGCTATTTCGATCAACTCTTGATAACTAACCAAGATTTCCATAGGCTTTTCTTGCACTGGGCGCTAAACCAAAATCAAATAACTTTTCACGGCCATTCTCAACATTTGAGTAAGCTAGGAAGTCGAAAAAGTGAAATCTTTAAAACGTGATCAAAAAAGTATGAAATATATAAATCAGCTTAAAATATATACTAAGAAAAAGGTAAGGAATTATGAACTGTTTAAAAGGAAGGATGCTTTAAAACAGTGAAAATGTAGGAATTTTAAATGAGGTAGTTTGAAAATTGTAAGCTCTTGCATTCATTTGCTGATATTTTATGAATTGTACAAACTGATAGCTTGTACAAGCGGATATTTAAATTTTATTTTGAAATAAAAAACATGTTTCACCAAAATTATCTGACAAGTCAATTAAATTTACATCGCAGAAGCATCCGTTTATTTCCCTCCTAACAGTAGTTTGATATTCTTCTGTTAAAAAATGTTAGATGATAACATTCCAACTCACACTTACTACTTAAGTATATCTAAAAAGAATTTAGCTCTCATAAATGAGGAATATTTTCCTGGTTTTTCACTCTTTCATGTTACCTTAGTTCTTTTAAATATAGACCGCTGAACTGTGGTTTTATTGTGTAATTGTTGTATACTCGTTAGTGACTTGTGGATTTTAAGCATGTTATCTAGTAGAGTAGCGTGTATATACTGTTGAAGAGTCATAAACTAGAATGAAACGACTTTTCACAGTCTTCGCTGGTTTCACATGCTTCTCCAAACGACATTGGTCCATAATGAAACTGATCATCAATCAATAAATTTTCCGAAGAAATCAATTCACACTGTACAAAATGACGTCACATTCCTGATTACTGTGATTATAACACTTAAAAACATACAATATGCCCAGATTTCAAATTGTTATTCTTTGCTATTTGTTTCTTTTATCAAATACTTTGTCACAACACAATCTAATCGTAATTCTGGCATAGTATAACAATAGAAACAGAAGCTATTTGACTACAACCACGTAGCTTTCACCGAATTAAGAATAAAAGAATTTCTTGTGAAAATTAGTCTCGATAGTTATACGTTTCATTTTTTCTCTGAGTTTTATGTGACATTTTGTTTTAGTTTTAACTTTTTTGATACTGATATTTTTTGGAATGTGAAAATTCGATATTTCTACTATACTATGTATTGTTATCTTTAAAAGATATTGGCTTTAATAACGAATAGCTATCAATAATAGTATTGATAAGTATTTCTCAAACTAGTAACAATAATTCACCGTCGACTTTTATTGGCATTTTATCTTCCAAATGTGAGTATATATGGGTATGTGTGAGCGTGGTATAATTTTGTGTGTGTACGTGGGTGAGTACGGGTGTAGAATAGTACATACACAGTTCACAAACTGGTCTTTAAGACAAAGTATCATAAATCAACGCTTGTGTGATAGTTACAGTACACGATAAAGTCATCGAAACGGTGAATAAGTTAACTTATCGATTAGTTGATCAGAGTAGTTTTAAGCAATAAACTGATTAAATATTTGATTTCCTTGATTAGTTGGAATGAATTTAGCAAATATTTATTTATTTATTTTCTATATTGAACTAACATTTATCTATACATATATATGTTTAGTAAATAACTTTCAATAATAATGATTGTTATAGTCTTAGCATGAAGATATTTAATATTTACTTCTATCAGTATTATTACTATTCAGTGAAAATGGTTGACAAACTATCAAGCTGATTATTGTTCAATTTATCTGTTAATACTAAATGACTCATGATTTGATGTTATCAGTTGATAACTCTGGTTATAACAGAACGAGTTATTCCTATAAGCGGTTAACGAAATGCTGATTAGAAATACATAAACTGACTCGTTTAACACTTTGAGGCTTTATTGTTTAACATATGAGTATACAAATACACAAATAAAATGTGCTTACTAGTGACTAGCTTCGTGAGGAAATTCTTGGAGTTCTAGTGGGAAGATGTGACCAGTGGAGTTCAACCCTGTCGGGTGTAGGCAGTAACTACCAAAGACAAATGGATGAGGTCACGCAAAATCCCTAGATCAATCAGAGTTAGACATTAACGCAGTCGGATGCTGACCCAGTGGTCCAGAGGTTAGGCGTTCACGCACAAGACCGAAGGTCCTGGGTTCGAATCCTGTGAGTTGCAGGAGTCCCATGCCAGGACGAAACAGCCGTCGAGTGCTTCCAGGTTTCTAATGGTGGTCTAACAATGATTGATTGATGATTTCAAATGTGTAAATACACATGTTCAATATTTCCTGTTTCGGCTTTACAAATTAATGAAGTATCGTTCAATTGGATCTTTAGAAGTAGTTTTAGTGTTGTTAGTCAACAAATCACATTTCTATGCCGATGATAATGAAATTAAATAAAACCTTTGCATACACTTGTGTCACCTCTATTGTTCATCTGATGAGAAAATGTATGTATGTCAGTCAGTGAAATGAACTCCAGAAAATGTTTCTAAGATGCATATAGTTTTATCTCTCAAATAAGCGCCGACTAAGCTTTACTCCCTATATACATAGTTGTCTATTTCATAGACAAAACGGTTTGACTGAGTCTATTGCCTACCAGTATTATCCTTTCGTGTCTGAAGTAAACCTCTATATATTTGTTCAGACGCCTAATAATTCTCTATTTTGAAACTTATAATCGACTATGGGCTCAAACAGCAACAATATCAGTAAATCGATTATTTCATGATATTATGAATAAATAATAAAGTGAGCCAAGTATTTTTTTGTAAAAAGTGCATTCATTTCTAGATTCTGAATATGATCGAAGTAATGAATATTGAAACATTCCAAATTGATTGTCTCTATGCAATATGTTCAATCATCAATAACTTTCCAAAGATCGATCTGTTAGAATAATAAAGTGGATTTATTTTGTGAACAAAATTAACTATATGTATCTTAAAAAAATACCAGCCCTCCTCTATCTTCTATGCTCACTTTAATTTTTTAACTTGCATACTTGCATACTCTTCTAGTTCATAGAATTGTGATTTTATTTCATTGACTATAATACTTTGCAGTATTTCACTGAAAAAGTCTCAACTATAAAAGTTGTAGATAGTAAAAAAAATTACTCAAAACATGATTTTTTTTTTAAAACTGTTAATCTCTCTGAATAATTATTCCACAAACTGAACGGGTTTAAAACTCAATAATTGACTTTGAACAGTTTATGGGTATAAATGAGACATGATGGTTGTTATATCAAAACATTCTTTGAAAATGAAGAAAGGCTTAATATGAATACATGTATTTTCTATAGTTTTAAAATGTAAACACTGATTGTCACCAAAATGCTCATTTGAAACTTTAGGTCTAGTTGTATACACTTGGAAATACTGTATGTTGTTCAAGCAATAGACTGTTTAGCATTGTATCTAGCTGTGACCAAGTTATGTAGCTGATTGAAAGCATTTTGATTTATCGATAGATGTGTTCTGGTAGATATTAACCATTAGAAAATGTTACAGTGTAAATTATATACTTGTAATTCTTAGATGGTAAAGTGAGTATCGAAATGTGCACTCTTTTAGCTTATCGATAATAATGAAGTATATCACGTGACCATTTTTATAGCTGGTACTTTAAGAAAGCCTGAAAAAATCTTACAACTCACATTTCCGTCTGTCTGATTTGTACGATAGTGAGAGGCTATGTAACCTTGAAAAATTATTATATCATGGCCTAAACTCAAAAGTATTGTGACTGTCTAATTTGCACAGATTTTTGAAGCTCATCAACCTTCAAATCGATATAAATATATATCGTTAAAAAGAAATATTTTGGTACTTATTCTACGGTTCTGTGAAATAATAAAATGAATTCGTTGAGGATAGCTTGACTTTAATTCTTAAGTCTGATCACTAAATTTCATCTAGACCGTTTAATCAGCAAGAAAGACGAGAAAGAGTATAAAGTTACTCAAAGATACGTCATTTCTAATCTAATGAAATTTGAAGGTGAAAGATTTTATTTAGCTATGCTATTGATAAGATAAAGTATTATCACTTCCATGTTAGTAAACATTTTTTAAAAAATTTATGGGATCGTTGCGTTTGTAAATCAATTGTTAGTCGGTCAGTGACACAATAATTTACTAATTCTGACAAACACATTCATCTACTATCAATGTTACAATCCATGAAAGTAGGCTAAGAACGAAAATATAATTAGACTGAAAAATATTGAACTTGATACAACAATATCAACAAATGGTGTAATTCAGAAGGGGAGATTAAAGCCATAAATGAATAACAGGTACGTTCAGCACAGTAAAAATTAGGATGGAATACATCTACCATGTTGCGTTTAATTTAGGTATTTAATTAGAAAATGATACGTTTCAGTTGCAAAGCCTAAATAGAAAGTATGTAGCATCCGATATATTTGAATTCACCAGTAAACGACTTAGCACACTGTTATCACACTTTAGTTAAACCACCCGAAACACCTTTTCACAACCTATACCTTTTAGAGTGTGTTGGGATGGGTTATGATTGGGTTATCTATCTTCAGTACATAATTTAACTGCCTAATAAGCCACAGACGGGTCAATTTAGTCACAAATATAAGTTAAGATACATTTCTCTTACGTAATCTTCACTAAAGCAATTATTGGTATCGAAGCCTTCTGATGGCTTATGCTCAATGAAAGATAACAAGTGGAATAAAGTTAGTAAGAGCTGCATTAACGACAGTCAGGTATAAAATTTTTAAATTAAATTAGGAAAGAACAAAGTTTTCAGTGAATAATAGTTTTCATAAACTCCATCTTAAAGCTTTGTAGTTTTTATTTTAAATCCAGAGTTATTTTGCTTTAAAACTTAAAGTAAAAACAACTGTTTGGCTTATAAGTTCTAGTTATACAGCGTTTTCGGTTTTTTTCAGACTGAATATTTCTAAAAGTAAAAAGTATGTTATTTTTGTCACGTAAAATGATGAACGTTTTTTTTTAATAAACCATCACTGGAAAACATGTTTGCATGTGATCATTTAAATAATGACATGTTTGATTAGTTTGCCAAACAGTTTTTTTGTTGGTTAAAACTAATGATCAAGTATGAATGTTGTCTGTCAATGTAGAAGATATAGATAGAACTATGTGCACGTTAGATAAAAAAAATTGTTTTATTAAATAAAATACAGTTAAATGTTTCCCTAAGGACCAGATACAAGGTATGCAAAGGATCCTTAATTTCTGCAGCATAGGATGAACTGTTGTTAAACATTTAAGCAGTTTAATGACTAGGCTATCAGAATCAACTGGGATGAACTGTTGGTGCTTGTAAAATCAAGAACAAATACATGTTTTACTTCAATGTACATCATGATAAGGAATATTCTCCTCCTAACAGAAAGGTTCATACAAAAATCTTGCTTACTTCTTAATACAAGTCTGTCGTGTCAAACAAGGATATTTTTCCAAGTGTCTTGTTGAAATGGCTTACTACCTGTTTGTTAATTGACTGGGTTGATCATTTTATTTTCTCGGATCTGAGCAAATCATATTCTCATTGCCAGAAACTTATGACATCTTAGTATAACTGATGTTATTCAGAAATGTTGAAACTTGACTGATTTGACTGAACGTTTACTATGGGGTGCTTTCAATAGAATAAATTTACAAGTAAAAATTACTAATTATAAGTCCCTTTTCAACTTAATACATTTGGAAGCTAAGATAGACACCAATGAAATAGGCAATCATTTTTTTGTAAATGTGTATTTTATGAGTAATCGTTTATTTGCCACATGTATCGTTTGTAATAATGATTTTAAAATGCACGCCATAAATTAAAGTTGAGTTTAAGACTGTCACCGCATAAATACCAACTGAGAGGGCAAATCTAAATCAAATTTATGTATATATAAATAATTTAAGACTAGCAAAGATGCTGCATTACAAAATTTATAGATTATCATAAGCTCAGGCTCTGTTTCTGTTCATATGATCAACTGCAGAGTTGATGGTAAGAAGCTGTGTTATAAACACCTGTTTCCTGTCTAAGCATCTCCTCTTTAAGTGATATTTCCAATCATGTTACTGAACATGTTTTGTAGTCGTTTTATGCGGAGCGCAATAATAAATTACGAAATAATCTGTCAAAGATTGTCTCCTACGATATTAAATCAACTACCACAATATATATGCACATTAATACATCTATAAATATGTATGAGTAAAATTCTGAGAATTTAGGCTGATTTCGCTTAATTCACTGATTATTTTATAAAACGTTTGTTCATAATTAGTGAATGAATGTCTATAAAAGTTATGAATAGTTTAGGATCGTCTTGATGAGCTTCTATCAATTTACATTATGAAACATATTGAATCAGAAAGTTGTTTGAAAATTTGATTAGGTTGTACTGTTTGTGGTATAAGATGTCATTTTTCTAGACCTACCACAAAATCAGAAGATTTGGTGATGTATTATTTTGAAAGGCACCGTAATATACTACAACTTATATCTGTATCTAAACTAAATTTTTATCAAAGATTTATACGTCAATTGGCTAATTGTTTTAAACTTTAGGTCTTGACTGAACTCGAAATGTTAATTTTCAGTAGAAAATTTACAAACGCATTTTGTTTAACAACTGTTACAACTTTGGTAAGCTGAAGATTCATAACTTGAAGTCAGACAATTTTTCAAGCGTTAATTTTGTCAAACAGGCGTTTATTATTTTACAAAAAAGTACCTCAGATTAATGGAGTACAATAGTAACAAGTAGACAGCTTCATATCTTTAAAAGTAGAGTTTTACATTATCTTATCTTGGCATTCATTAGAAAAAATCTAAGAATAATTAAAACAGGAATGTGAGTTCTTTTGTTCATAACTGTAAAATAGAAAACTAAAATTGGCTATATTTTAACTAATCAGTTTTAAATGTAATATTATTTCCTAACAATTTATTATATACACATATTTTTGTATCGTGAAGTTTAAACCATTCTAGCCATATGACAGTTGAGTAAACACTGAGGTAAAAACAAACGTTTGTACAAAATTACATCTCATTAACTTTACCCAAATATCAAAAGCATTCATCTAGATGTTCTTAATTATTAATAATTTTATATTACAGCAAAATCTATTGACGAGGAATTACTCTTTGTTTGATTGATACTACTTTTATGGAGAAAAGAAAACACTTGTCTATGAAATACAGAGTCATTAAACAGAATTTAATCACGTATGAAGTAAAGTGATTGATAATTATGAGAGAGAAAAAATACAAATGGCATTTTCGATTAGTATACTTCATGTGTTTACTAAATTACATTTCAGGAATCAGATATCGACTGCCGTAATAAAACTTAAGAAATATAAACCTAACAGTAAGTAGTTTAGCGTGTCAGTCGATCTATTTAGCTAGTACGATAGTAAAGCCTGAAGAAATACCACCAAAGGAAGTTCAACATTCAATAGTCAATTACATAAATATTTATCTTGAAAATGAGTTAAAGTGGTGTAGTTGTTGTAATAAAAAACTCAATCAATATAAACCATGAATAAACTATCGAAATCACTGATGAAAACGAGAACATCACAAACTAACTTGTATTTTTCAGCATCGTTTTATCATATAAAAAAATTTGATTTTTACACTGATAAAATTGTCCCACCAAGGAATAACAGCAGCACTAATACAATAGGTTAAGCATTAACAATATGTATCCAATAAGAATTGTTTAGATTTTTCTGTAAAGAATTTGTAGTTTATAAAAGAACAGGCCATTTATAAGAAAACGTTGTTGTTGTTGCTGTTGTTGGTATTATTATTATCTGAAATAGTTGTATCTTGTTTTAAATCACTTGTTTGACCTATTCATCAGAATAGAAAATATAAAACGATTTAAGAAAAGCTAAAATAGTACAATCTACTGATTTAAATTGAGTTAGTGCATCCTGTATGTGCATGAACTTCATGTATATATTATATATATGATCACTTACGTTTGTCGAGTGTTCTGTTGAGTAAATACCATCAGTATGATTAGAAATAACATTAAAATGAATTATATACATATTCGTTAAGTTAGACCACAAGAGAAAAAACAAACAGTAGTATATATTGACTTATAATAACTAACTACTTAACTTACGAGCATGTTTTAAAAAATATGTACTACACAATTATGTGAGTGCATCTACTCAAAGTATTTTATACTTATTTGTATTTTTCATTTAAGTTGTTGTTGTTTTTTTTTCTAAGCACATGTGTCTCTATCATTATTCTGTGCATAAATCTACACTACACTAAAATATGTGCATTTATATCATCATCATCAGCCTAGAAAGTGAAATTCATGTTACCAAAGATTAGATTCTTGTGTTATTGTTGCATTCTATTAGAATCATGTTTGTACATACAAATGGCGACAGACATATAGCTGTTATTATGTGTGTTTGTGTGTGTGTGGCGAATAAACGATGACTCAATCTGTTCATTGATAACTTTGTGGCAAAAAAAACTTATTGCAGATAATTCAGACTCATGACCATATAGAAGGTGATTTAACAGATCCTCAAATGTTTTTGGTCAGAAAATTTCCTTTAGATACCTGAAAGCAGTGAATAGCTCTTTCGTTCTAAAATAGGACTGACTCATCAGCAATGCCTGTCCCCACACGATCCCAGCTCGCGAAAATTAAGCCCTGGACTTTCAGTCTTGTGAGTAAACGCTTATTTTTTCAGACCAATGAGCAGACATCCTACGGCGTTATTCTCTAACAACGATTGGTTCATGATTAAAAATGAAAAACAACAATCTCTATATCTGTATAAACAATATCATAAAATATTCGCACTAGTGACTATCTTCATGAGGGAATTCTAGTGGAGTTCTGTCATGTTGGATGTAGAAAGTAACTACTGAATATAATGGGTGGGATGGTACAAAACTTTAGACATTAACATCGTTGGGTGCTGGTTCAGTGGTTTAGACGGTAGGCGTTCGCGCGAGCCCTGTCAGCTGGGGTTATGGATGCTCACTGCTGATAGGTACCATAAATGGATTGTATTAATAATGAAATATTCTAAAATGATGGTTATAGAGAATAGATATGTTATATCACTTAGTTTGAAGTGCTTTAATTTAAAAATTGTTTCACACTTTTGAGATGCCATTAAGTGCTACCAACTCCTTGTTGCTGGCTTTTAATTTATGCTTTTCTTTAATGTGGCTAAAAATTGTGGTTATTAGTAAAGCTGCTATGAAATCATTTGTGTGCGTCTTAATTTATTGCGATATTTCACTGGTATAAATAATTCGTAAGGCATACTAATCAGCTATTTTTTAAGCGATAAACAGGAATCTAAACACTAGTTAGGGATTTTATAGAATGTGTCAATAGCATCCACCAGACTTTTACCTATAAAAACAAAATATCCCAGTCATAAGATTTTACCAAGTTATACAAGAGGTATACACTTTATTCCATACTTCTTCTACAGTAATAACACTGAGACCAGTCACTGAAAAAACTTATTGATCAAGTAAGCAGTCTGGTTTCACACTATCGATTATACAACTGATATCATTGCATTTATTACATAACCTTAGATTATGTACCTAACATCAAAACACTGTGAATGCGAATCGTGGATCATTTAGTGTAATGGCTAAACATCAGGATTGATGACCAAATAGAAATGGTAATTATTAATTCACAGTAATTAGTCATTGTGAATAATGTATCGACTGAACAAACCAAGACATTAGACATAGATATCGTTGTGAAATCGCTCACAACATTTACTCAAAAACAGATACCCAACTACTTATATGCCTAATAGTAGTTTATTCTAATAAGGCAGAAAATTAAATGAAAACTTAGCTTTAAAAATGTAATGAATTTTTTAACTTCAGCAATATCGTTCCCAGAAAATAATTGAATTTAAGCGTTTGTATACTCTGTTGTAATAGTCTAGGGAAAAGAAAGTCAACATTAAGCATGGAATATCATAATATATTTCAGTTGAAATAATCAGTTTTCTTAAGAAAACTTGAAAGGATTCAAACTAATTAAGTATTTTTAAATACAAACTTTTATGAATACAATGGACTACAAAACCTAATTTGACATGGCATGAATTCTTCACTAAAGCATAAGTATAGTACGCTACAGCTGTTCATTACCATTATGGCAATCACTGAAGAGAGGTTAGCTGAAAAAAACATTTGAGCAATGAATAAAATTATTAAGCTAGAAATTAAGAGAATTCAATCAATTCCTGTATACTTAGATATATCATTTAGTTGGAATTTATTTGAACTGATAAACATCATAATTTACTACAATGTTACTATTAACTGTGTGGCAGTTTATTTTCATTGATCTAGTTCTATAGTTTACCTAATAGTACAATTTGTTTTTGAAAATCTTAATTGAAACCATAAACAAATGAAATCAATGAGAGCTGAATTTTGGTATATTCCCAATGAATGTTTTCGATTTTGAACTTGTTGTGTAGATCCTTCCATTAAAACGCTCACACGGATAACTATCAGAAATAAATATGATTGTGAAATAATTGTAGTTTCCATTCACTCTGATCAATCAAATGATTTTGCGCAACCTCACCCATCGTCTTCGGTAGTTACTGCCTACACCTGACAAGTTTGATCTGCACTGCCGACTTAATGGTCCAGGGGTGAAGCATCCGAGCGCAAGACTGAGGGTCATGGGTTCGAACACTGCTATTAGCGGGAGCCGTGGATGCTCACTTCTGATGAGTCCCATACCACGACGAGACTGCTATCCAGTACTTCCAGGTTTCTTATGATCGTCTAACAATGATTCATTCATGACTTCAATGTAAAACAACGATCTCCATAATACTGTAATATGATAATTTAATTGGGCATGGCATTTTTACTCTTTATTTTTCAGACAAAAACGATTTTATCAAAGCTGAATAAAAAACTGCAGTCAGTAAACATTGAAGAAATTTTAGTGATTAATAATTTATGTTACAGTGATGTCGTTAACGGAGTCAGTAACAAAAAAGAATTATCGTTTACATGACTTGAAAATGTCTATGAGTATCTATGAATATATATTGCTCGGACTAACGTTTTTTGTATTTTCTAGTTAAGTTCCTCTAATGATTTGGTCAGTCATCCTTAAAAATTGAGCAAAACTGAACACTGAATTCACTGATCTGGTAACACATAATTATCCTAACACATATGTATTGACTGATCATAATAATAATGAAATTTATATGTTCATGTCATAATGTAATTTATTTGTTGACAGGAATCTATTAGTCAGAATGTTATGGCTCAAAAGAACAACTAAGGAGTACAAACTCATACTCAATCGATAGTTTTTATAACAAATGATTTATTTTTATAATATACTAATGTACTTACTTACTCACTTACGCCTGTTACCCCCGATCGAGCATAGGCCACCAACCAGTTCCCCCTAACCAACTCTGTCCTGGGCTTCCCTCTCCAGTTCTGTCCAATGTTTGTTCATTCCTCTCATATCTTTCTCTATTTCTCGACGTAATGTGTTCCTTGGCCTTCCTCTTTTCCTTTTGCCTTGAGGGTTCCATGTGAGGGCTTGGCTCGTGACGCAGTTTGGTGCTTTTCTTAGTGTGTGTCCTATCCACTTCCACCGCTTCTTCATGATTTCCTCCTCCACTGGAATCTGGTTTGTTCTCTCCCACAGTACGTTGTTGCTGATGGTGTAATACAGTAATGTAGTTGAAACATTTTTAATCGATGAAGTAATCTCAAGGACTTTATCATTAACAAAAAAGCATAGTAAACTACTTTTTTCATCGATAATATCACTCTTTATCTTGGAATGATAATTCATGAAACTGAATTTTTTCATGAATTCACTTGCTTTACATTTTATCTGAAGTTTGCAAATGCTTTTGTTTTAAGATCAGTGGCAAGTATTCGCCTATTTAAAAAAATGACTGTTCAATAATTGGTTGTGGGATTTAGGAAACTGCAAAACATATCAAATAAACCATCGTCTTATTCTATATTTAATATACTGAAATCTTAACCCAATCAGTATGTAATCTTTTAGAACTGATCACAATAGTTAGAAAGTGATATAACTGATATTACAGTCATTATTAAATCACACCGATGTCTCTCTAGTTAACTGCAGTGTTTCGTACAATCTAATTAGCTTTTACACTTCCATTTATCTGTTTTCATTTTTGTTATAGTTTTTAACAAGACATGAAGAGATCAAGAGACCTTTGTGTAAAATTTGGTTAAACATCATTAAGATTTGTGTAAGCAGCTTTCAACTATTAGTTTTATGGGGTATATTCGTAATGTCGTTTAACACATTCAACCTAATGCTCACTATTGATCGAATCTTTTCATATTGAGAAAACGTTTCACCAATGCTAATAAGTAGTTAGATGACTATAATCAATTAACATGGATTATAATACATTTACTCAGAGTATTTATTCCGAGAGAGAATGATCTTAGATGGTGTGAATATTCAAAGCTGGAAAATGTAAACGCTTACAAATAACTGAATCTTACAACGTATAATACGTAAGTTATTTCAGTCACATACTTATGAAAATCTAGAAATTGTAGTAAACTGTGATACACTAGAAGATGTTACTAGACTTTGTGAACCGTGGGTATTGGTCCACGACCTATATACATGATTTGATGGATTTCTATGCATATATATAAGTCTCACTGAAGATAGGTTGACGTTTTTATGTAAAATACTAAAGTTCAAGATAGAAACAAATTAATTTTTCACTGATTTTGTAAACTGCAACCTAAAATGCAATTCGATTCAATCCATAGATTATTAGAAAAATTTACTTAAAGGGACTAGTTGGTACATATATCCGTGAGGTATTAGAAACATTACAGCGCTGTTACTTTATTTATGTTAGAGACCTCATTTCTGTCAGTCACGTTTTGTGATCCAGTGTATAACTAGTAAAAAAATATTCACCTGAGTCAGTTTTAAATGAGTAGAAATTATACTTATCTTACATGACACTTATCTTCACGCTACTTTAACACAAAAGTTCACTCCTCGAAATGCAAAATGTTGCTTCAAGACTTGGTTGCAT